CGTTACTCATCGCTCAGTCAGCGTCCTCTGGACGTCACATGCTCTCTTCTTATACGCTTACTCATCGTCCTCCCCAGTAGTATATAAGGAGGACTCTGCAGGCCTCTGCTCTTCAGTCGTTCTCTCACAGACTGAAGAGTAAGTCCCACACTACCTATGCTTCCTTACATGTTTACTTACTAGTACTTGTAGCCTCTCTTTGTGCGGCTTACAGGTACAGTACTATGCAATCATAGTCGTTCTCTCACAGACTGAAGACCTCTCTTTGTGCGGCTTACAGCCTTCCAGGTTCAGAGTTCATCACTTCAGTGCCTCAGTATGCGCAGGGCGGAACCAAACCGACATCATTGATTTTATGAGTGAGTGACTATCGCCTCAAGTCGTGGATTTCCCCTTACCCACTACGGCGTCAGTCTAGACACACTTTCCGCTACGTCCTACCAGTTCCGGGTCCCAGGCTTCCTCCTCGAAGAGTCACTCACGAGACCGGCTTTTCGGAGTGCAGGCTGTTTATGAGGAGCTCAACAAAGCACAGGTATCAACTGCTCATACACTCTCCCAAGTGCTGCTGGGACTAACGAAGGTATCTCAGGGTGTTTGGAGCTGCGCGTGCTAGTCACCGCACCGCAATGACATTGGACGAGGCCGCGAGCGCGATACAATGCATGGTTCCCCGGTGGAGAGCTCCCAGCGCAAGCACGCCTCGATACCAGCCCGTGGACTACATCAAGCCCGCTCAACGTTGCTCGCGCTGGCGCAAGTGCCGTCCTAGAAACTCGGCCCTCCTGCAGCTGCTTGTCCTCCCCCTCCTTTCCATGACAAACGGCGTGCGGGCGCAATTCCTCGAGATCTCCACTCCGCCTACACTCACGCAATGTGTTCCCACAACCATTGTCTGGACGGGCGGCATGGCGCCCTACTTCCTCTCCATTGTCAACGTCCCGGGGAGTACGCCCCCGGGTCTTCCAAACTTCTCTCTGGAGTTCAACAATCTGAACACCACGGTCTTCACCTGGAATACGGGGTTCGCCGCAGGGACTCCGGTGGTGTTCCGTATAAACGATTGCGACGGTACCTCGTCGAAGCATACGGATGCGGTGGTCACCCAGTCCGGGGCGATCGATACCTGCCTTCCGCAAGTGAACATCGGAGCGACAGCCGCATACTACGTAGGGGCTCCCACGACGACCTCCTCAGGCCTTTCGATGCCGAGTGCGGGACCTCCTCCGGCTCCGGAGAGCACAAACTCGTCCAGACGCGGTGGCCACAGCGGTGCCGGCATCGCCGGAGTTGTGCTGGGTTCCGTTCTTGCTGTTATCATGCTTGCTATGCTCGGGTTCCGCATTGTTGCCAAACGCAGAGAATCTAGCACGTCGGTCGACGGAAGAGGTTAGTCCCGCGTTTCAACGGTGCCGTTGTGGAAGCTGAACAAGGTCTGCTCAGGGAGGCCTAACGCAATATCCCCACACGCTCAAGACAGCGAAACGCGATCTTGGACGGCCACGTCGTCTGCACCTTGGAGAGTCGTGCCTTCGCAACAGACACGCGCTGGGACAATCAGGCGATCTGAGGCGGATGTCGCCACCCATTCAGCATCAAACGGAGCGTCCCGACCTACCTCTCTCGCCGTCCAAGCCACAGTCCCGCCGCCTTCAGACTCAGACTTCGTCGTCCACGACGACGAAAAATGCGAGGTAGCAGACGCGCGTACGGCGAATTTGGAGACGGCTCCGGAAGCCGTTCTTCGTGGGTCCTGGTCAGACCGGTGGGGGCGGACAGACCTTGGCTCCCTAGCACAGGGCCAGGTTCGTGCTTGTGCGATGGACGGCGGCGTGAGCCTTGCGGGGGGGCGTGTCATGCAGGCAGTCGAAGATTTGGACGACGGTCGTTCGAGCTCGGCGGGTTCGACGCTTCCACCCCCATACGACTCCTCGTACTGAGCATGTCGCTTCATCGGCTTCGTAATATTGTTTTGTTCCCCGTTTTAGGTTCACCATAGTCACGACGCTACTATATTCCACTGGGGTCTCTGGAGTCACACGGGTATCTACATGGTTGATAACTTTCATTAGCATTCGAGTCCGTGGGGAAATGTGATACGTATAGTTGCGCAGAACCCACCGAGATAAATGGATACTGCCGAAGAGGAGGCGACATATTGCCACATTTGAACTTTGCAACCATCTTAACACGATGAATCCCGAACATTTGGCGACAGGTGACAGACGCAGGAAGGGAGGACGAAAGATGACAGTATCACTTCGAAGGAGCGCATTGTCTGTTAACCCAATGGTTTGCACGCTGTTACATGTCCACAGCACTCACTAGTAGCAGCACTTAATCAACGTCGTCTTCCAATCCTACAGTTCGTCTTCTGCAGCTTCTGACGAAGATGGGTTGGGTCGCTATGAAATCGAAAAGTATCAGTAACCCGGTCAAACAACACGATCAGTTCCCCCAGGATGCTCACCTTCCTCTCCTGTATCATCGCGATACACTACCATCTTCCACTTCTCCTGAATCTTCTCCATACGCTTCTTGCTCAGCCTGAAGCTCACGCGCACCTGATAGTCGACGTCCTCCTGCGCGGTGAGCACGAAGAACGTCCAGGGAGCATGCGAGCCCGCGCGGCCCTCGAACGTCTGCCGCAACCCGCGGATGATCGCACGCGCCGTCCCCGCGGCCGGGTCGTAGAACAGCAAGCGCGTGACCGGCTCGAACGGCGAGTCGACGCCCATGAACGACGTCGTGAACGGCAGCGTCGGGGACACCGCCGCCTCCCACACGTGCACGTCGTCCGGGTCGCGGGAGAACCCGGCGGGCAGCGCACTCGCGACCGGGAACGGGATGGCGTAGTACGCAGACGCAATGATCGTCTCGAACTCGACGAGCCACGGGTCCGTTCTGATGCTCCGCCAGGGAACACGCCGGCGGAGGTACCCCTCGGGGATGGGCCAGAGGTCGGTGTAGGGCTCGATGTCGGACACCATACTTCCGCTGAGGACGCGCGCGAGGAACTCGGAGAGCCAGTGTCCCGGGAAGCCGACACGGTGGAGGTGCAGCAGGAGCGCGAAGAACGCAACAAGGTTGTGTGGGAGGCGCACGGCGTATGGTGGATGCTTCGCGCGGCCGGAGATGAAGGTGTTGAAGAGGACTTGTGTCAGCCACGTCGTGAGCTCGTCGCGCGTGGCGAGCTCGTCGAGGGGGCGTGGCAGAGGCATGGAGCCGAGAACGAGGATGTCCCTGACGACGTCGGAGCGAATGACACTGCATCCTAAGACCCGCGGCACGTCCTTGGGAAGTAGGAGGGAATAGCTGATTATAGACGTCAGCGAGCGCATACACAACTGGAAAGTGATGCAAAACGCACGTAGTGAAGTAGTCCTCATCGCTCCCCCACACGCCCTTGTTCACCAGGCAGTTACACGCCGCTCCCGCTTGCGCATCGTTCTCGAGGCTCGGCGTCACGTAGATGGCTAAGTTAATAATACCATGCGTATAGTCACTTCGCATATCTGGGTGAGCAGGCAACAACACATGTGTTACGGGAGACGACTCACGGAACGTTGCTGTGCCACATCCTCATAAACTTCTTCGGGAACACATCCGGACGGCCAGGATTGTTCCCAAAAGTGGATTTGGCGAGCACCTCCGAGAGGCCGCCGCTGATGAGCTCAATCGTGACGCGACCGCTCAGGACGCGCAGCGCGTCCGCGACCTGGTCGAAGAACGTACTCGCTACGTCCCACGTGAGGATGTCCGGATCCCCAGTGCTCGACTTGCCCTTGCGACTGAATTCGGCCATGAAGTCAACGTTGTCGAACATTCCGAACTCCATTTTCCGATATCCGTTCCCGCTTGGCTCGTATTTCGGGTTGTTGTACCGAGCGTTCTGCAACATAAAGGCACAGTATCAGTGACTTTTAAATTCCGGAATTTGGTTTGGAAACTTGCGTAGAACGTGATGTTGGCCTTCCAGTCGCTGTTAACGTGTTCCAGGATCTGTCGGACCAGTCATTAATTACGGTTCAAGGTGTAGTTTCCAGCCTCCACTCGGACCTACGTACCTGAAGTCGAGTTGCTTGATCTATAGCGCCCGAAGCTTTCAGCTGACGCCAAGCCGCATCGAAACCAGGGTGTCGCTTCCGCAGAGCCACAGGCGGAATGAAGACCTTCGTCGCCTTATACCACTGCGCCTCGCGGCGCCCAGTATGCCCGCTCATCTCATTCCGCAGGATGTCCACATACATCGCCATGTTCGCCTCCACGTGCGCGCGCGCCTGGCGCTCAGACACCCCGGCGGGCATGTGGGGCATGTCCATAAGCGTCGACACGGGCAGCGTCCGCAGCGCCATCTCGTACATCCTGGTCTTCTCCGACAGGCCGGCGAGGTAGTCCTGGTGGTGCCGCCCGTGCCCGCCGCCGAGCCAGAGATCTGCCGCTTCCTGTTGGCCCAGGGGGTCGGTGTGCGCGTGTACAGCGAGGACGCGGGAAGTCATCTTCTGCGCGGTGAGCCAGTACGCGAGTGCCGCCTTCAAAGGAGGAATCGACTCGGCGTCAACGTGTAGTAAAGACGGGAGGCGCGGGGGTGTGTCGGACAGGCGCTCTTGCAGATCCCACGCCAGAATCTTGAAGCTATTGCACAGATCAGCGCACAGTAGGTAAGTTATGCACATCTATGCATACCGGTTGTAACAGTATCCGGGCATGACAACCGCGAGGAACGAGTACATGAGCGTCGCTTTGATCTCCAGGCGGGCTACGGCATCCGTCGTCTCGTTCAGCTCGTGCAGGAGCATGAACATGCAGAGGTTGCGGGCGATTGTCGCGGGTTGGATGTCCAGCAGAGTGAGATGTGTATGGAAGACCGACTGGCGGGCGGAGGGGAGTTTCTTGAACGCTTGGGATAGCCCTACAAGCGTGCCGAGTGCATGACGCCCTACATTGGCGAACAGTATATTCAGTTTCGCTGCATGAAGAGAGAAGAGCGACTCCTACCATCTCCTACTCCTCCGAAGAGGAATGAGAGATTGGACAGTTGTTCCAAGGAAAGCTTTCCAAACGCGAGTGGAAACGGGCTTGTTTCAGGGTACCAGCCCTTGGTGAGGTCGATTATGCGGTCCATCCCAATCTACTCGCGCGAGACGTGGGTCAGGGGCCGAGACATAATGGGATGTATGCGTGATACGAACTGTGTAGTACTGGAGACCTTCGTCGCTGGCAAACGAAGGGTCTGTTAGCGCGCAGGTGTCACTTTAAAAATTGGGCCCTGGACTCACAGAGGCTGTGAGAAGTGGGGCATACGGGCGAAATCGTTCAGGCATCTGTCCCGCATGACGGTAGATGCCAGAACGTCGGATTCCACTTCCGTCCACGCCTGCCATGCGCGTGATAATTCGTCACTCGCGGCAGAATTGGCGTTGGACGATAGACCTTCCAGCCTCGTCTCCCGGAGGCCCTTGATCTCGCTTTCTTTGCGTCGGATATCTCCAAGCGAAACCGGGTTCGCGCTCGCACCATGGCAGAGCGCCTTCGCGAGCCGAGTTGAGAGCTTTACGACGAGGGCTGTCTTTTCACCTGGTCGATCTTTCAGGATCTTCCATGCACGAAGGATGGCGTCGATGCACGGCGAGTAGTCTCCTGCCTCGTAGAGCGCCGCACTGAGATTGGATGGGTAGACAGGGTCCTTCTGGTCGGATTTCTCCGCCTGAGGAGACGCAGTTCAATCGTGGTTTCTGAGTAAACCAAAGTATGCGATGCGCTTACCTTTGAGTATAAATCAGCAGCTCTAGAGAGAGTAATGGTATCACGTAGCCGCAAGAACAGTCAGTCTCACTGTCGTAGTGTTCCTCTTTGGGGCTGCACGTACTTGGAAAACTGCCCTTTTTTGAAACAGTCATTACCGCGTTGCTTGAATTCAGTCGCGGATTTGGACATGTTCTTTCTTGGAGATATTCTCGTCAACGGTTGCTAACGGACGCCAGATAAACAAGAGAAAAATTGGAAAGACGCTGCGTGCCAGTGAGAGTTTCTATAACCCGGACATCGAGGCTTCGAGAGAGCCGGCTAGCGAGTTGAGCTCGCTGAGTGAGTCCCAGTTTGGGAGTTTGTCCTACCACTATCTCACTCAGCAACGACCACGACAGGGCCATGCTTTGCCCGCCACCACCGCATAGGCCGCAAATTCCGGTGTTCACCTCCCCTCCGAGTGCTAGTTCTGAGCAACTCTGAGGCACTCGAGTCTGGCCTGCTTTGCACGGTTCCTGCAATAACGATCTCGCCGCGCGCCTTTTCCTAAATGGCGTCGCTGCAGCCCCACGCGAGCGGAGGTTATGTGTTGATCATGTGCGAGGGCAATGACGCTTGTCTCCGTCTGTCGCGACCACTTCCCGCCGACCTGCAGCTCAGCCAAACTCTTCGCTCTCTTCTCGCTCATTCTCGTCGCGACAATAGCCTGAACGCGTGGTGTGTAGAGAGAAGGGTGATACTTGGTCGAGCTATAGGTCAATAGGTGAGTAGGCCCGCAATTTCGACCAATGTACGCGTACCGATGACACTGCAAGACCTTTTCCCTCAACGCGACAGAATCCTCCGTTCAGCGTAAGAGCCTCCTGTCACCAACCGGTGCGCATGCAGCAGCACGTCCGCGCCCTCGGTCTAGTTCGTCTCGGAGTTAGGCCCTTCTCACGTTTATCAAGCACCCGCGCCCTCCCTCGTGCTCTACCGTCTTTGTCATACACACAGACGTCGTCGATATCACGCTATCCAGCACCGTTATTAAGCTTTGCCACCCCCGCAAAGCCCTCGCGAGCCATGTCGACCACTACAACCAACCCTGCCCCGCCCGAGCAGCCACAATGGAACTTCCCTGTGTCTCCTGTGCCCGCGAACCCGCTCGGTGAGGGGAGGTTCATCAAGACGGCCGCGGCCTTGATCATAGGGTGCGTACCGACGTGCGCGGTAACGTATACGACGAGGGCGCGCTGAGCGCGAGCCCACAGAGACGAGATCCTGAACGGCAAGACGTTGGACCGCAACTCGAACTACTTCGCGCGATTCTGCTTCGAGAACGGAATCGAACTGTGAGTAGAGCTGCACCTCCGCGCAGGTACGTCTCGGTGACACGCGGCCCATGCATCCAGGAAGCGGATAGAGGTCGTCCCCGACGAGGAAGACGACATGTGCGTCTAATTCTCTCGTTTCTCTCCGGCTATATGCGCATCGTCCGACACTGCTGTATAGCGTCGAGGCCGCACGCCGACTTGTCAAGACGTACGACTTCGTAATCAGCTCCGGGGGCATCGGGCCCACGCATGACGGTGCGCCGTCCTGCTCTTGCTCCCTTCGACGTCCGTAACTCATGCCGCCCGTAGACATCACCTACGCGTCGCTCGCGAAGGCGTTCGACCAGCCGCTCGAGCACGACAAGGAGGCACTGCGGCGCATGACCGAGATGATCAAGCACCGGCCAGACTTCGCGCAGCAGAACGAGGAGCAGCGCACCGCGCGCGAGCGCATGGCGCTCTTCCCCGCGCGCGCCGAGGTGCTCTACATCGCGCCGGACATCTGGGTCGTGAGTGTCCTTCTTCTCTCCTACGTCTCGTGCGGGCACCCTCCGTGTCCGGCAGAAATACTGAGATGCGATTCTGCAGCCCGTCGTACGTCTGGAGGGCAAGCTCTGCGTGTTCCCCGGCATCCCGCGGCTCTTCCAGCGCATGCTCGACGGCCTCGTGCCCTTCCTCCCGCTCCCGCCGCCCAGCGAGCGGCCGTTCCGCCAGCAGATCTTCACCGAGTGCGTCCATTTCCCCTCTTCCCCTTTGCCTCTGCTCCCTCCCCTCCCTCCCCACCCGCAGCCTACTCATATGTATGCACACAGGCTCCCGGAATCGTCGATCGCGCCGTTCCTCACGACGCTGCAGGCGCGCACGAAGGAGGCGGGCGTGCGCGTCGGCTCGTACCCGCTGCTCATGAAGGGCGTGTACGTGTCGCTGATCGGACGCGACGCGGACGCGGTGCGCGTGCTCGCAGAGGAGGTCGCGCAGGAGCTGAACGGGCGGCTTGTGAGCGAGGAGGAGGCGCGGAAGGAGAAGGCGGCGTTGTAGCGGACCGTCACTTATCATGGAGGACGTATCCCGAGGAAGCATTCGAAGAATGGCATATCAAGCAGCACCCCCGTTGGACCTGACCGGGACCATAGCAGACGTGACCGTGCGAGAGAACAGCGATCGTGCATTAACGAGCGAAAGCGGAGGCCCTTGGCCGGTGCCGTAACTGTACATCTTCTAACTCATGACGGTTCGTGCAAGGTCATCTCTAGAGGACGAGCGTGGGCAAAGGGGGACCCGGCGGCCGGGTGGTCGGAGGGGGACACGATCCTGTATTTCTCCTACTGACCAAAGCAGAACGAAAAGGAGACAGAAACCGAGGGAGAAAAACAAAACGGGGCCGGGCGGGGTAGTACTAGTGGCTGTGGTGGTACCTAGTGATATCGAGATGGAAGCAAGCACCCTGGCTAGATCGAGAGCAGATACACGACGTCCGGTCGTCCCTCCTCCTTGCTGCATGCGTCGGGATCAGGACGCTTAGAGGAGCAGCGAGAAGGCGACGACGGCGACACCGGCGAAGCACGCGACGGCGCTGCGGGAGACGGTGGCGGCGCCGTTCGAGCCGGTCGCGGACGCGGTGCTTGACGCGGCGTGCGACGACGAGGTCGCGGACTTGGACGCCGCGGAGCTGGAGGCGGCGGCGGAGGTGGCCGAGGACGCGGTCGTGCCGGTGGACGCAGCGGTGCCGGAAACGGCGGTGCTGGCCTCGCCGGCGGCGATCTGCGCCTTCGCGTCCGCGGTGAACGCACCAGTCATGCCGGTCATCCTGAAGGTACATTAGCACCGTGGAGAGCGGATGCATAGGCGGCCTCTTACGAGAACTTGGCAGAGAAGGCGAGCGCGGGGTACGCCGTGTTGGTAGAGTCCTTCAGGCTGAGAGACTCGACGCGGACGAAGCTGGACTTCGGGTTAGGATCCGACAGAAGGGGAAAGTTCGAGAGTTGTACGCACTACTGGTCGCTGTTCTCACCCTTGCTCGCGTCGGGAGTGAAGACGACAGAGCTGGTAGTCGAGACGTCGACGCTCGGGACGACCTCCTGGATGAGAGTCTGCAGTTTCCATTAGTGTGAAATTCATGCAGACGGATGGGTGTGGGATAGACGCAGCGTGATACGCGATGAGACGCCCGCTGGCAGCGGCCGACAGCGACGTGGAACGACACGTCGCCCACAACGACGCATCTTCCGCTCTACGCCCGCACGCGTTCCATCCATGTAGAGGCTGGAAGAGAATCACATACCTGTTGGATCTGGCTACCGACGTAGATGGAGACCTTGCAAGGACCAAGGTCCTTCAGGGTGGGCGACTGGCCATCGTCCTCCCAGGAGATAGTGGACTGCGAGCCAGCGGCCCACTTAGTGGACGCGACCGGGGAGGTCATCTGGGAAAGAGCAGTGCATAAAATTAAGCATTGGCCGGTTCATAAACTCTAACCACGGCAGACACGCACGTAAAGGTTGCCGAGGGCGGGAGACGCGGCGGCGAGGAGGAGGAAAGCGGCGGCGGCGAACATCTTGATATATTTTCCTGGATTAGGATAAGGAATGTGGTGCTTAGAGAGCGGAAGGGTGCGCTGGACGGCGACGGAGAGGGCGGGGGCGTTGAGGACGTGGGCGTTGGAGGGAGAATCGCTTGACAACCGATTTTGTATTCCTCCCGGCGTCGGGCGGAGCTCGAATTCATATACGCGTACCTGATATTCGCCATATCCGGACGATGTCCGACTTATTCTTGTCCTCGGCATCTATAATTGGCTTGGCCTCCTTCCTCCTCGGTGCGGGTCCTGTGCAACTTCTCTTCAAAACGCAACCTACACAGCTATGTACGTCGACGTGCACGGGCTTGGAAGACCGGGGAATAAGACTTATGCACAACCCTTCAAAGTTCAGACGAGGGAGATCATTCCCAGGCAGCGCTGTGCGCCGACGGTACCGACGCGACTACAGATCGCAGCGTTTTAGAATTTGACAGACCAATGTGCCTGCACATGCTGACTCTCACCGGTGACCGCCCACTGCAACTGGGTGGCCCATTTGACAGATATATCGCTCAAAGTTCAAGCCTCAGGCCTTTTGCAGGCGCTGCATGTGTGGGTATCGGGAGCTTCGCAAGCTCCGGGATCCCCTTCTTCACGTCGCCTCTGCAGCTGGGAACCAATGTTAGTAGAGAGGTACACTCGAATGGTGCCTCCAGCGGTGTGTCCTTGCTCGTCGGCCCGACGACGTCGGACGACGTCAATGGACCACACCCTTTAGCTCTCTCTCTCGGATGACAAGCGCTGACGTCGTGCAGATACGTATCAGGTCGAGTACGATGAGAGCTACCACAACATCCCGGTCGTCGACGGCGTACCAACGACAAGGCGAAGCTATTGGATCGATCGCCTTGCTCTGACGAGCAACGAATAGCTGAGGATCAGGTTGGCTACAGCTTGGGCGGAGTGCGGTGAGCTTGGCTTACCTTCGTATCCTTGCCTCCGATGGAATGCTCCCCGTTACCGGCGAGCGTGCCCTACGAAACATGGTGGCTCCTCGCGCACATGTTGTATATAGGCTGGTCCGCTAGGCCTCGAAGACGTCGTCGACATTCCCGCCAGCGACAATCGCTCGCCATGGTTTCGGACCGGGCGACAGTACAACAACGACCATTAATCAATCGTACATACACAGCGCCAGTCCTCGACAGTTCAGAACAAACCGATAGCTTAAATGAACGTTTCCTCCGCAAGCCGGATCAGAACGCACGCCATGCGGGCTCGGAGCCCGGACAGACAGAAGAGCCGCAGCCTACACAAGACGCTTGGACAGCGACTTCAGCGACAGACTCCGGAAGAACGCCCGCACGCCCGTGCCCGCGCTCTCCCGCCTGAATGCACGAGCGTCGGCCGCGGTGCTTGCTGCCCGGTGCGTCGTCGCGGCGGGCGACGGCGGCCCCATCGTCGCGAGCATGGCGATCGTGATTTGCTGCTCGAAGCTCCATGCGCCGGCCCCGGGGATGAGGTCCGCGCCTCTCGTTTTCGGGCGTACGGCGGTTGGTCGCGCGATTGGTGTCGGTCTAGCTTGAGTATGGTAAATGTGCGGGTATGTTGCCTGGGGTGCATGTAGGGATGTAGGGGATGTGGAGTGGTAGGCCTTCCTAAGGTCGTAAACAGCAGGTCGGCGACGGATGACGTGCAGATGGTGACCGGCGCTGGGCGACGGCGGATATGACGATCCCAAGCTTCCCGAACGAGAGCCAGGCGGAGGGTCGTGGGGCCCGGACTGGAGCGTCGAGGCCATGGAAGACGATACGCTGAGAGCGGCCGGCAGGCGCAGCGGCGGACGCAGCCCGTCCAGCTCCAGAGAGTTGTCCGTCTCGCGGCGTGCCAAGCTCTCCGCTGGCATCCGCGGGGACAGGTCGAACGGGATGTCCCTGAGCTGCTCGTCTCTCCAAGTGCCGGTCCCGCTTGCCATACTGTCCTCCGAGTCCGTCGCGCCGTCGTATGCGCGCAAGTCAAGTCCCGTGTCCTCGTCGTGTTCCTGCCAGACGACCTCGGGCAGAGGGGGAAATTGCAACGCAGCCACGCCGTCCCACGCGCCCGCGACGGGCTCGAAGAACGGGTGGTCTTTCGCGGCGGGTCCATGGAGGCGGTCGTGGGGGTGATGCGCGCTGAGCTATCATTGCATATATAAATGTCAGTGTCCGCGAAGCGAGTTTCATACCCCAAGCTCAACGCACCTCGCCCGTAAAGTCCTCAAAGTCGGGATCCACCCGCACACCGTTTTCGCGCGCTTGCTGTCCGTCGCTCGCGCGCTCCCAGGCATCTTGGCGCTGGGCGGACCCACCATCCGCCGCCTCTCCTTGAGCGAGTTCGCGCAACATAACGCCGAGGCTGTAGAAGTCGACGCGCTCGTCGTAGACGAGGATGCTCGAGCCGCTGCCGTGGACGTGGCCGTGTGCGTCAAGCCCTGCCTGTGCGTGGACTCCAAGTAGCTCTGGCGCTGCGTACCGCCGCGTGAACGACACCTGGTCGTCTGGCCCCAGCACGATCGGGCCGTACCGCGACGCGCAGAGGCGTAGATCGTCCTGTAGGGAGTACATGAAGTCGGGGTCGTTTAGGTGATGTGGGTGATTAACGAGGGTGGGGTTCATCTCCGGCAGCCCTGGCATGCGCTGCGAGGAGCCGAAGTCGGTGATGACGGCGTGCCCGCCGGGGGACACGAGGATGTTCGCGGGCTTGATATCTTGGTGGATGATACCCCGCTCGTGCAGGAATAGTAACCCTAGGAGGAGCTCAGCGGAGAGGAGACGTAAGGAATGAAGGGCCTCCGCGTAGGGTGTACAAAGAGAGGGGCTTGGGGGGAACGCGATGGGGAGGGAGAATGATACAGGAAGAGGGCTGAGTCGGAGAGATGAGGCGAAGGCGGCTGAGGAATGGTCGCGCAAGCGCAGGCATCGCCGGAAGTGCGGGTGAGAGAGGGGGGCGCAGTGACGGTCCTATGGTTTTGGAAGCATACTATCAATGTTTGGAGCGAAGTAGGGAGGCATACTGGCGCACCATTATGATAAATACGTGCTCCCGTGTTTGAAACACGCCCTGCAGCTTCTGCTGGAACTCTGACCCGCATCCGTAGGGGGAGGCAACCGGGCCCCAGGCTATCTCGCGTAGTGCACGCACTTCCGTCTTCAGCTCTTGGACGTCATCCATGTTCATGCCCTTCTTCGCTAGCACCTTGACGGCAACTTGCGAACCGTGCCCGCTCGTGATCCCGGCGTCAGACGCATTTTCGGCGAGGAGTACCTTGCCGTAGCCTCCGCGACCGATGGTTCCGAAGAAGTTCAAGGACGAGAGGCAGAACGCAGTAGGGAAGACGACATCCGCAAGTCCAGAGGTTTGCACCAGCGAGTCGTCGTGGCTGTCGTCAGCCAAGTCCAACCAAGGCTCCTCGAGGGAATCTCGTTTGAGGTTGTGTTGCCAAAAGCTAGCTTTAGAAGAGGCGATGCAGGGCTGCGAGGTCGCAGCGAGCGTGTTGTCGTCAGACCACGAGCCCAGAGGTACCTTGAGTGAAGAGCCCGACGAAAACCCAAGAGCACTGCACGAGGCTTCCGCGAGGTGAGGCAGATCTGGAGCCGAGCAAGATATGGGCCAGAGTCTTGAGGTGTTGCCTGAGGCGCAGGTGTCCTGAGAGGTAAGGTCTTCCACAAGGATGCTAGGCACCTGAATGATGGAATCGTGAACGGCGCGTATGCTAGAAAATGCGGTCGCATAGGAGAGCTCTTCCGAAGTTATTGAGGATGCGGATTGAGTGAGAGAGGGGTATCGCGGAGAAGTGACTTCAGGAAGTGAGGCAGCGCAAGGTGAGTGTAGTGAAGTGCCAGATGTTTTACTTTCGGAGGGGGGTACGCATAGAGTGAGTCCAGAGTAAGAGGACATCCTGGTAGGGTAATCTGTGAAACTCCCTCCCGGGAGGTGATTCCTAGTATCCATAGCCAGTAAAAGTCTAAAAGACCCTCAAGTACGAGATCGGCTGTAAACCGACTGAGTGTCTTTGCCAAGAGCAAGACTGGTGGATTAGGAGGTAGTAGCGTATGATAATTAGTATCCGAGATATCGCCTGAGTTAGAGACGCGACACAGTGTACAGAGCCCCCAAGAGAGATGGTGAAAGAGGAAGCGGAGGAGGGAGGTGGAGGGAGGTACAGGGCCCGGGCGTCAGCATTGCGAACTTTCATCTTCACCATATTTGGCGTTTGTTACGTAAGGTACCGCATCAGTGATTAAGCGCCCGCACTGTGCTCTGCACCACCGTTTCCTGGCTGTTTCGTAACGGTCCTCTCTGCTCACAACCACCTTCACGTCTGCCTCGACCTTCCGTATCCTGCATAGAAACGCATCACTGTGGGACGTAAACCATGGCGACAAGCGCATCATCGTCCGCGGCTGCGACACTCCAAAATGTTGCTCATGCCGCTGAGGAATTCGTGGACCAGCTGCACCCCACAGAACAGGGGCAAGAAGAGCAGGAGGAGGGTGACGATGTAGACAAGGAGAAGTCCATGGAAGCACGAAAGAAGAAGCTCGAGCTGCTGAGGAAGAAAATGGCAAGTGTCATTTCAGCCACGATGCAGCCGTTGCAGTGTTGGCTAACCAGACGTACAGAGATCGTCAGCGCAGGCCAACCGTGCGTCCGTCATTGAGGAGAGCGCAAAGGCGAAGGTCACCGCGCGAGAAGCTGCAAGGATGGAGCGGCAACGCAAGCTTGCGGAGACGTTACGACAGAAGGCCGATGCGGAAGACCGGGGGGAGGACATCGAGCGGCAGAAGAACTGGGAGTATACGATTGAGGAGAACGACGAGTGGGAGAAGAAGCAGGCGCGAAAGGCACGAAGGGCTGATTTCTCGTTCAACGGTGAGCCTTGCAGTTCCCCCTCAGGCACATCACCCGCTGGAGGCGGCATAGAGAGTGAACTGCATTCCTAACGAACTGAACAGACGATGCGGATGCGGCACGGAGGAAGTACAAGAAGGACTTGGACGCCATCAAGCCCGACCTGGAGACCTACAACAGGCAAAAGGAGATTGCCATGGGGTTGGCTCCTGGAACGCTTTCGAAGGCAGGGGCGGCAAGTGGCTCGTCGGCGGTGACCCACTTCGACCCCTCTGGCGGAGCATCATCATCAGTACGTTGCTCTGTGTTATCAGTCCCACAGGCAGTTACTGAACTACGTGACCTTCAGCTTGTGCCGTCAAGTTTGCAGCAGCAGCTTGCGGCTGAGAACCTGTACCGCGACGCCAACACCCTGCTCTATGCGGACAGCAAACCGAGCGAGGCGGCGATTGACAAGGTCATCTCAAAGATCAACAAGGAGTACGTTTGCTTCCCTGGCTTTCCTTGTACGAGTTCTCATATCCTGCCAGCGTCGACAAGAAAAAGAAGTTCTCGCGCAAGCGGCAGAACGAGGACGAGGGCGACGTCACCTACATCAACGAGCGCAATCGGGTTTTCAACAAGAAGGTGTGTCCACCGCCACAGTCCAAGGAATCGATTTCTCATGGCCTTTGTAGATCGCGAGGTACTACGACAAGTATACCGCGGAAATTCGGGCCAGTTTCGAACGTGGAACGGCTCTGTAATTCGCTGCTTACCGTCTTCTTTTATTGCGACTACTGGACGTTGTGTATCATCAACGCTATATGTACCATATGTCTTAATATCTATGCAATCTCTGCTACCATTGCCGCCTCCACGAACCAGAAAGATATGTCGGAAAACATAAGCGTACGATCACGTGAAGGCGCGTTGAACGGCGCGTCGAGGGCGCTTATTGGCTCTCCACACTCACCATCCGCCACACTCTCGCTCGTCTTCCAGCTCGTTCAACACGACGTCCACGCCGTGACTCGCCGCGTAAATAGGAGAATGCCCAAGGGCCCTGTTGTAGGACCCTCACAAATACCCAGCAAACAGGTCCAATTGTTAGAGAACAAGGTAAGCCATAACGACTCGCGTGAATACCGGCTCCGCGCTCACCGCATACATCCAGGTAAACAAGTTACGATGGGTCAACGATGACCTCAACAAGAAGGCATTCGAAGCACAGCAGCGAGGGCTTCGCCTTGCAGAGAAGCTTGGTTTCGGGACTCTCGAGGAGGCGGAAGCTGCCCTTGCCACCCAGGCCGCGGAAGGACAAAGTCAGCTCTGCCAGTACCCCTCCGACGAACTCGCGTCGCATGTTCAGGCTCTGCAGTCTGAACTCATCAACCATGTTAATCTGGGCAAGACCACACTGGGCGCGTTGAACGATGCACTAGAGGAGCTCTCGGCGTGGAAAGAGGAGAACGCTGCTCTGAGGGCTGAACTGGAGAGGGTGTCTGCTGAGCGGAACTCGGACGATGCGGCGAACCCCTCGGACGCCATAGAGGTCGACTACCTGCGCGAAGAGCTCGCTACGCTCCAGAAGCAGTACACCGACCTGCAAGAAGCGAAGGCGCGGAGCGACGAGAAGCACGCGGAAGACTTTGGACGTTGGCGGCGGTTCAAGGAGTGGCTCGTGGAGGAAGAACTGCGGCAGAAGGAGAAGCATGAACGCGCCGCGAAACGCAGGAAGCTGAGCCCGCGCGGCGAGGATGATGAGAAGGAGAATGAGGGTAGTCTCAGTCCTGATCGCCTTTCGGCGGGGGAGCTCGAGAAGAAGTATGGAAACATCAAGCGCCGATTGCAAGAGATTGGCCCTCGGTTGGGGTCAGACACTCCGACACGGGTTCGGACTCCTGGTGAGTGCTCTCCGTCCACGATACGCTCCTCGTCTAAGTCTGGATAATGTAGCGCCGAAGAGGTCCAAGAGGAAGCCATCTGTCTTGAGTTCTCGAAACCTCAACTCTCGCTCTATCCCTCCGCCTCCCCCCACTGCTATCGCTTCATCGTCCAAGTTAGCAGAGACGCCTGCCCGCCCGCAGAACCTCAAGCGCGATTCTCCGAGTAGCGTTGTCATCCCTGACGATGACGTCCATCCCTCATCCGAGACAGAATTCGAGTCACAACGTACGAGTCCTCCCGTTGCAAGTTTCGTTGCACGTATTGACTCGCCGCAGCGGTGGCGTACCTCTTCCCATCCCGGATCGACGTCACTGCGGTATCTTCGACGATCCCTCAGAAGCGGCCTCGGTCTCCCGTACACGACGAAGACTCGTCCGAGACAGAGCTCGAGTCGCAAGGTACGCCGTTGGCCCCTTCTAGTCACAGTTGGCGGATCTCTTATGCATACGTCCAGCTCCGAGCTACTTGTTCCCGTCTCAAATGGCCCCAGAGCTATCTGCCCGAATATCAGACATGACTCCGAAGACGCGTCCTACTGTGCAGCAGGCCGTACAATTGTTCACACCGGTGTCCGTAGTGCGCCCTCAGAAGGGCCTCAAAGGGAAGGGGAAAGGGAAGGGAAGGTCGTCCTCTGAGAACAGGCCGCCGCCCTCTTCCTCAACTGCGTCAGATCCGTTTCATCCGCCCCTTCCGCCTGCTGAACAAGAGGACATCAAACCGGTGCTACCCGAGACTCCAGTCTCTCTTGGGCCAAGGAAGGCTCAAGAACGTGTCGTTGCGGAAGGCAGGAAGACCGAGCCCAACGACGAGAACGCTGCTCCGAGTACGAGCGATGGCAAGAAGCGCCTCAATGACTACTCCGCGTTCAAGGGTCGAGGTCGTTACGGGGAAGAACAGCGGTACGCATCTCAATATCCTCTTCGCGTGGTGCGATGCAAGTTGTCCTGATGCGTACATCAGCGCTGGCAACCAGGAGACGACGATCAACGCGCTATATGCGCTCGACCCAGCGAACAACGGCGGCAACGACTTCCAGTACGAGGAAGTCGTGCGCGACAAGCAGAAGCGCAAACACATGCACGCGGGCGACTGCGAGTGCTGCCGCGACGTGAGTCATCTCCTTGTCTCTCTCCCTGCCACTTCCTGAGCACGGTCTTCGGTCGACCAGTATTACGACGCCGTCGGTCCGCTCCCGCCGCGCGCCCAAGCCCCTCTGTGGCGCTCGCCCGACTCCACGCCCTCGAAGCCACCGCGCGGCGACTCCTTCGGGGATGCGGGCGCCGCTGCCGCGATCGAGGAGCACAAGCAGGCGATCTCGCGGCACCGGCAGCACTGGCCGCGCGCGAAGACGCCGCCGGGCTACTGGAACATCGGCTTCCCGGACACGCAGGAGGTCGCGGCGATGAACGCGGAGGCGGCGAGGATGCACGCGCAGAAGCGCAACATGGTCGCGCAGGAGGCAGAGTGAGTCGTGCGTCCGTATGGCGTGTGAGCGATTGCTGATGAGTTGCGCGTCGCAGCAGGCGGGGCGGGCGGTTCAAACGGCGGTGATGCTGGGACGAGGTCTCTGCGTGGATTTATATCACATCATTATGTTTCGGTTTCACTTTATGCTTCATGGAGTATGTTACCGTTGCTCATCTATACCTGCGCCGAGCGAGGGAACTCAGCGACGTAGACCTTTCATACCTAGAACGTGTACGAAGTGAACGCGCGATCGTAGACCATTGGCGAATAGCAAGAAGCTCTGAATGACCAGCAAGCTATGGAACAATGATACAAGTGATGGTATAATATGTACAAGAGATGTCCGTGGTATCTATGAGATGAGGTGATATGAAGCGTGATGAGACGAATGTGATGGGTAGACATTGTGCGACAGGGATTCAGGCAGTGAGATGGGAGGTACCCTGGCGGTACGTGAGATAGATCACGCTGAGGGCGATCAAGGGAGGATGACGGTCAGGTCGTTTCGAGAACCGACATGGTGGACAGGAATGTACGGTAGGATGCGCGGCGTGGATCGAGGAGAGTGCGGCAGAGGAAGGCGTCCCCGAGAGATAGCGGAGTTGATCAGAGTTGTGGAGGATGCGGCAAGCCGGTGAATAGATTGAGTCGTCCATTCGGGGAGTCCTGTTAGGACTGGGTTGACGACGGAGACTCGGGTGTGCAGAGGAATGGGGCCTACGGTGGAAGCGCACAGGACGCCAACCGAAGTCTCGAGGCGGGAGGATGTAGGCGGGATCGTTCAAGGCACGCTCTTCTGGATCTTCGTAGCCCTACTGCTAGTAGAAGCCCCGTCTATAAAGGATGAACCGCGCTTGGAGCCCACCGGGACTTGGTCTTTCGGGTAGACCCAGTCATCGTCGGGCTTCTTGTCCGTGCCGCGATCGTCGGGCCATTCCATGTTATCTAGCGCATAGGCGAGCTCCCGCCTCATCGCCCCATGGGTCTCCAAGTTCTTGGCAAGCATCTTGAGCACCTCCCGGGACCGCTTTGAAGAGGGAGACAACATCGAGTCGTTCGGGTCGGCGCTGGTCTCTTGCGCAGATGAGAGCGCCTTTGCTAGAGCCCCCCTGGCCGTTGTCTCGACGATTTTGGCTACCTTGCCTTTCTTCTGTACCGCGTCTTCAGTTTCTTGCGCCAAGGTGTAAGCTGCGCTGAACCAAGAGAGGAAGGTTGTGAAGAGCTTCTGCGGGGGGTACTCCTTTCCTTCGGGGTTCGCGCCAGGCCATTTGAATCGTAGATTGAGGATTTTGCCGTCTTTCTTGAGGCTGTAGGTCGAAAGATCTACGCGGCCGTCAGACATCGCCGTCTTCTTGACGTGTCCACAAACGCGCCCCGTAGAATGCGGCGAATAATCGTCAAAATAATCGTGAAGCAGGCGGGGAACCTCTGAATCGACGCAGTTGTGAGGCAGTAGACGGAGTGCCATGTAGAGCGAGACGTGGAAGAATGATTCGAGCTCGTCCGGGACAACGATGGTCTTGTAGCGGTTATTGAGGGCATTTACTGATAGAAACTGCCATGTGCCCTGGAATACCATAGTCAGCGTCAACAGCGGAAGCAGCCGTATTCCAAAGCATACCGTTCTGTCAGGCTGACGCCCCTCTTCCGTCTGATCCACGAGCTTCTTCGACAACTCCCAGTCGTTGAGGAGCCCCACCCAATCGCCGCTAGCAGGCTCACGGTAGATCAGGATATTGCCAGCGCTGATGTCGCGGTGGATGATTCCTAACTTGTACGCTTCTTCGTGCGCTGAAAGCATGATCAGGACGTCAGTGTGCAGTCGCTAACAAGGTGCGAGTGAGGCTCACCAGTTAAAGCGCAGAAGATAGCGGTGAAGAGCTGACGGCCATGTACAAACTCCTCGAGCGGTTTCCCTACCTCTTTGACAACAAGGCGGTAGTGTTGGTGGTGCTTCAGATGACACTTCTTGTCAGGGTGGTACCTTGGCCACACTTCCTGCGTCTTCGTCTCCTGGCCAGGTACATCACCGTGACAGATGAGCGTAGGCACGAACGCGATCTCGTGCGTACGAAGGACCTCCAGGATAACGCCCTCCTTGTCGATGCTGTCGCTGACGACACGCCAAGCATCCTTCAGATACACGAAGTCGTTTTTTGTGATGTCCGCGTCGAGGGCGACGTAACCGCGAGTTGTTCGGCCGGCGACGCCTGGTGCTTGGAAGTGTGGCTTCCCAACAAGGAAGTAGCGCTTTTGGCCCTTGTTATGTTCATCAGTGACTTCCAACTTCCACCATGGCCACTCCGAGTCAAGCGACGTCTGGAATTGCTTCCCCACGTAGTCCTCCTCTTCCAAATGCTCCACACGCGCCCTCATCCGTTTGGCCTCGTCCGACTCGGGATCGAGACGTACCGCGGTAGTGTCGTGGCCGCGGTCGGCGGCAGAACGGCCGATGTAGCAGCGCAGGAACTTCGCAAGCTTCGCGCCTTCCTCGCGGTAGCTAAATTTCTCCGTGGCAAAGATTCCCGAGCGGTCGATCCGCACAATGCGAGCGAAGTCTCCGAGGAAGAGCAACATGTACTGGCAAGTACGGTGCTGGTGTCGGAAGACGTGGTTGGCGTAGGACAGAATTTGGCCGAAGACGGCGCGGCGTCCCTCAGCGATAGGCTCGTCGATGTCGATGGTCTGGTCGAATGGGTCACCACCGGTGGCATGCATCTTGCACTCGATCGCGATCTCGACGAGAGACCAGACGGTCCGGCCGAACTTGTTGTCCGGTGCGATCTCGAGTTTTCCGAGCGCGCTGTTGGGATACATCCCGCAATCAACCGCTTCTCGCGACTCTTCGTTGGTGTCAGACTTGTGCGGCGTGGGAACGAAGGTGTACTCCTTGCAAATCTTCGCCCTGTTGAGCGCTGAGGTCTGCGTGTAGCCGATTTAGCATATACACCACTACCATTTGAATGACGGACATACGATCTTGTCATACATATCCACCTCGGACGCGGGATCGTCCATCTCGCTGAAGGGGTTGCGGTTAGACTCGCGTGGCTTCATCTTCGCTATCATGGACGACGCCGGAGGACGCTTTGTTGACCATCGCGACGAGGTCTTTTTGGAAGACACTGAGTTCCAAGGATTCGGGATCGCCGGACGGGATGAGAGGAAGCTCGGTGACGACGACTGTGTCGGCTTGGGGACTTGCAGGAACTCGAGCATGAACTCGTCGTACGTGATACAAGTGATCTTCCGGTGCATATTGGAGCGCAGTTCTGCCCTGTTATCCGTAAGGTCGCCTTTTGCCGTGGCGTATGGGCTGTTAACGCGGAACGTCTTGTGCGGAGAGTCAGCAGTGTCGCTCGGGGTCGCCATGGTGGATGAACTGGGGAGAGAGATGGTACATACCAATTACGGAGGGTCGAGTTTTTATACAGTCAGAGCTTTAGCCACAGACAGGCGCTTTTATTTCCACGTGTAAGGTGGGATCCGGACAATGGTGAGCGAGAGGTGGGTGGTGGCTAAGACGAGGAAGTTGAACTCAGCAAGCGCCCGCCAGTACGCGACGATAATGTGACACCATGTCACGCCATCGAGAAAGCGCTCTGTGCTGGTGTGGCTGTGCCGCTACCTCACCGTTACAAGGAACGTTAATCGAATGTCCGGAGTCCGGCGAATTTTGCAATTCATTCTAGATCTAGAGCCTCTTCTCTTGATTTTCAGGAGTACTATACCAACATTGATACACACTCAGCGCTTATTGGACTAGTGATCTAGCGTCTCAAGGTGGTTGCATTCTAACCTTGGAGCGACTGGCAGAGGCTCGCTACTGTAACTGAGGGACGATGGTGTACTAAGTACTACTGGAGGATAACATCTTTCTAAGTACCTTTTTATCCGTGCTCTAGATCAGTGCCGAGGTACAGTTCATCTCAAGCCTGTGTCCCGATTGTTACCTCAACGATCTACAATGTCTTGAAGGGATCATTTCGAAACGCATTAATGGGGTAGTGGTAACCTGGGTCGTTGCCATCGACCCGCCGGGGGTTCGATTCCCCCTTAATGCATTCCGGGATGAGACGCTTGATTTTTTCCCGCAAAAACGTCCGTCTCAGAAAGATGAAGCAATGTATGGGTGTTTTCAGTAGCCACGTACCATGCTATAACTCGCAACGAAGTACCTAGGCTCCCATCCGAGTTCCACAACAGTATGATATATCGTTCAAGTTCGCTACTTATCAGTAGTTTACATCGTTTCTAGTACATCGGCTTGTGCGTAATTTGACGATCGGTATCGCCACATCAGCTGTAAGTAATCTCAATGACTGGATTTAGTAGACAGTGTAAAGCGCTCGCACCCCGAGAGTACTTAGGAGTACTTACACCAGTCTCCGCCTACAGCCCTGAACCCGTACTTCCTCTAAACTGGCGACCCTCCCGTTATGCACACATACGCTCCCTGTAAACAGCCTCCGTCGTGGCATCCTTCGAGAGTGTGAACGCAGCGACGTCCAGGTCCGGGAACAGGCCGCACAAAAACGCTGCAAGCCGACAAGTCTCGCTTTCGCTCAGAGGCGTGGCATCCGAGAGACGCAGTGTCCGCAGCGTCTTGCACAGGGGAGGCGAGTCCTTGTTACGGGTTGACGGGGGAATGGGTGCTTCGGTATTGACGTAGGGGAGCGACAAGCTAACGAGGCGCGGACAAAGCGACGCGAAGTGGACGAGCGAGAGCAGCGTGGGCGCCGGCGACGGACGGGCGTCGGGCGGGTACTCGATCTGCAGCGATATCGTCCGGACGTGCCGTAGGGCGACGGCGAGCGCGTGCATGTCGTCGTCGGAGAGACAGGGAGTGAAGAGGCGAGCCTTCACCACGAACACCATTGTGAAGCGTACATCCTCCAGGTGCTCCAGCGCGGAGAGGGGCCCGAGGATGTCCGCAATGGACCGTCGTTCTGGGACGACGACCTCTGGGGTGCGGTTGCGCCTGATCTGGTACGAGACGGGGGCGTCGATGACCAGCCGACGCAGGCGGGGAGCGAAGTCAGGCTCGGCCACCTCGCGGACGCACGCGCACAGCGTGTCGCAGTTGACATAAGTCACCGGGCCGGCAGTGGGCCTCATCGACAGCTCGAGCTCCTCCAGGACGGGACATTGGAGCCAGGCAGGTAGCAGCGCAACATCCTCCCATAGGCCACAGATCACGAGACGGCGGAGACACGGCGCCGATGTGCGCTCCAACCCCGAGGCTGGTGCCAATGGGGTACCTGGTGGGGTACCCATCCACATGATACCCGCGTTGAGGCTCTCCAGCTGGGGAAGCGCAGATATCAAGGCTTGTAGGTGGGACGGCTCCGTTATTAAGATGGGCTGTTCCACATTGAGATGCCGGAGCTGCTTCAAGACGGTGAAGCTCGTAAAGAAGTCGGCAGATGCGCCCGTCGCACCCTGGATTGCCAGAGTTAAATGTTGCAAATTTGGAAAGGTGTTTGATATGGTCGGGGCCATGTAACAATCAAGGCGTTGCGGGCGGTGGTACTTGAATTCGTAGCTGCATATCTCGAGGGTGCGCACAGAAGGAGAAGCGAGGATGGAGAGTCCCGTCAGTCCTGCGCCCTTCGCCCGCCCAAAACCTGCGAACGCAAACTCGCGGAGGTACGGCAAAAACGTCTCCCCGTGATTGCGACTGACCAATATCTGGAATAGCTGGAGCTCGAAGCCCTGGATCTCGAGTCGACCCAGCTTTCGGACCAGAGCAGCATAGCGGAGGAAGCGCGACCATGCATCGGCTCGGGGATCGGGCACTTTTTCGCTTTGCACCTGCAGATGTGACTCATTAGCACCACCACACCGTCACGGTATTCCGATCTCACACACTCACAGCTGAGGCATCCGGGATACTATTCCAGCGTTTGTTGATAGTCTTTAGGGCGTTTTCCGGGACACTAAGCACTGCATACAACGGCCGTAAATCTGGCAATTCCTTCCAGAGCACTGCCGCTGCGGGATCGAGAAAGGCGCGGCATGTGAGGGCGAGGCTGCGAGCGGAGCGACGCCTATCCGACTCAGTCCATGAATCGATTTCCTGCAAGACCAGGTCTAGGGTTTCTGCGCAGCGTAGAGCGCGATGGCAGGCGCTGTCGAAGAAAGGGTTTGGATTGTAAAGAAGATGCGGTGAGAGACTCAAAGCTCGAGTAGACATCTTGGGTAATGTAAGGATAATTCACAAGCGAAGTTTGCAAACCGGCGGTGATGGAGGTGACTGAACAAAGAGCATGGTCGCCCAGTGGCGCACCTACTTCACTGGCCTGTGTGGTCCAGATTTCCCACGCCTCTCAACCAGCCGCTAAAGTAGGGCAATCGTGTGTAAGACCAGTTCACGTCCTTCTCAGTCGCCTCACGATGGGAGAGTGTCATCCCAGCCATTATTCTAAATGAGAGCAATGCGATCGACTCACTCCCCAAGGCCAACGCTCAGCTACTATACAGGATCACACAACGTCGAGTACTATTATAATTGAGTGCTAGTACTTAGTCGAGACGCCCGGCCGCCATAGCCACTCTGGCGTCGTGCGCTCCTCCATCCGATGATCCAAGGACTGCGATAACCCCACGCGCCCACGCCGAATATCTGCGTAACAACAGTAAATGAATAGAAACTTCCTTTGAGCGCCGTTCAATGAACAAGGCCTTGCACGCACAAGCCCACACACCGTCCGTCAGGCTGTTTTCCCGGTAGCGTGATACTACTGGTCAATACATAGTACAGGGTCTATACCGACCAACGATACATGCATATGACTGGAGACATGAGGGACTACCTTGGTCGCGCAAATGTGCTTTGGCCGTCCGTCTTGCTCTTGACGGGGATCATGTTGTAACGGATTGCGGAGCGCGGGATGGGGGTTATCAGCCGGCCGGACGCTAGCTGACGGAGCAGCCGTAGCGGGTGGTAGTGCGCAGTCAGACGGCCGACGAGGTGCGCTATGGCCGATGGTCAGCCGAGGTCAGGTACGGCCACTCCGGAGCAATACATACCGTAGTGTCTGAAGATGGAGGAGAGTGGGGCAGGCTGGCTCTGTAGCCCGGAGCGCTCATATAGTGAAGTCCGCGCGAGTGTGTTAAACGAGGACTTACCGTGAGAGTGAGGGGTCCTGCGCGGGAGCGTTGTATGCAGACGCCTCCTGCAAAGACACCGCAAAGACGTGTGAGCATTCGTCTAACGATGTTGCGTGTACGACTTGTGCCCGACGAACGTACCCGGAAGACGCAGCGGGTCTTTGACTCGTAATAACAGAGCAAATAGCGGAAAGTGGTTGAGCAGAGCGGTAACGGTGTCGAAGACGGCGTGGATCATCATGATTGCGAGACGTGCCTGTGTAAAGCAATGAGCTGAGACGCAGGGTTGTTCACTGAAAGGAGAGACTGACCGCGGCGAATAAGACATAGTACGTCAGCACCGTAGGATACAAGAATGCGAGGAGGGTGAAGAGGATCGTCCCCAACAGCAGCTGGTCGAGATCGTAATCCCAAGTATCTATGCGATTTCGCAGCACGTTGTATCGTTTCCCTGTTGGTGTGGTGTGGATGAGCGAGATACGACGTGCACCGCGTCTAGCAAACAACGTACCGCGGAAGAGGTTCCACAACGACCCCGCGAGACTCAGCTGGTGGCGGAATATGGTCGCCGAGATGAAGTAACACGCATACAGGTGGGCCGTGAGCACACCTAGCGTGTCTGAGAGGAGTGATACAATCATGGTCATGCCAAGGCATCCGCTGAGGCCAATGAGCCAGATGAGCGCCGGAAAGTACGGCGCCATCCGCGTGAGCAGCCCTGGAAACGAGCGCAGATGAGTGAGTCAAATCTTCACGGATGAGATACGGGCGCGAACGGCGACTAACAGCCCCATGCCGAAACGAGTCCGATCAGAGAATGACAGTAGAATTGACTGAGCTCGGTGTTGAGCTTCAGGCCGGCCGGCCAGTTGTTCAGCCATAGCAGCGCGAGCTCCATACGACGGACAAGGTAATGCTACAAGCCCTTCAGAGTCAGTCTTCGAAAGTGAAAAGGATCGGGCGAACCTGGAGGAAGTCGTCCGACATGCGGGCAAGAACGTCCGAGTTCTCACACAGGAAAGACCCGAACGCGACGCCGATGATGGCATCGTTCAAAACGAGCCACACGCAATTGTGAAACCTATATCCGGCGGTGTGAAGGTCCCGACGCTGCTATAAACCACGATTGAAACTTACTTGATGTACTTTGATATGGACACGACCGTGCGGGCCTTGTCGTGGTATACATGTGGAACCTCACCGGCCACATAGGCGCCTTGCTCGAGTCTAACATCGAACTGGCCCGCTGTGGGTGTGTTCAGAGCCACTTACTATACGGACCACGACCTGGGCGGGTACCCACCTGTGGTTGAAAAATCTCTTAACGCATTCAGACGTTTGACGACCCGAACGAGCTTGCTTCGCGGCTCTTCAACATTATGTTCCGAAGGCCGCTGAGATGTTTCTGGTGCACTGTAGCTTCTCGGGAACGCTTCGGTTGCAATAAGTGATCTTGACGCGGTCGCAGAGTATAGTTGGCGGTCGACTATGTCCGCAAAGAGTTGCGCAAAATTGGCCTGTCCATCATATAGCATCATGACCTTCACAAATAAAATGCATGCTACAGTATACTTACCTGTAAAAGCACTTCCTCGTCTAGGGCGCTACCTCTCCGCGAGGCAGGTCCACATGTACGAGTAAAATCAGCGCTTAACGAAGCATTCACGTTCTTTGTCGCGGTAGGTGATTTGTCTTCCGCGGAGTCCTGCAAAGGCAGAATATCGAGTTCGTTGAAGTCGAACGTGTAGAACCGCATTGATTGTCGCGTGTGTCGCTGGTACAACACAATCTGGAAGTCGACTATGGAGCTGGAGCGTAAGCGCACAAACACATGCAGCGACAGCATACATACTGTCTTCCTGCTCGATACCACTCAGCCGAAACTTCGGATAGCCGCGTTTCTGAGTGGTGGATTCGCAATAGCCAATTATTTCCGGGCTCCGCGTGAACATATCCTGAACGGCGCGCCATTGGGGATGGGCGATGGCAGCAGCCGCGATCCCCTTTGGGTCTTGTTTTGAGTCGTGTGCATTGGTTTTCTACTTGCACCGGGTTAGCAGTGGATTTTTCATGCTCGATTCAGAGGTTGCACAGACCGTCTCATGACTGGAAGGTCGAAGAACGCCAGCTACGACAAGGAGAGGGCTCGTCCAACCGTAGCAGATGCCCTCGCTCAACAAGAGGTCTGAAGGCCAAAGGACGATGGGCATTACGAGTCAAAGAGCATATCTAGCATATTCTTGAATATTGTATGGGCTGGCGGGTGTCTCTTGTACGAACCTGGGGCTCAAGCGGCGAGGTGCAGTGACGATCCGAGTGAGGAGCGAACAAGCGGTACTACAGCAGCCTTAGCGCCCGCAAACTCGCCAAACTAGGGGGGGCCGCAAGATTCTGATCTAGTCATCAGACGCTTGTTGCTTTCAACCACCATGTCATCCTCACCTGCGGCCACATACACTTCAGAAAGTGCCTGCCATCGTGCACTGCGATGTGAGGAGATACTAGGTCAGGTCCTGCAGGAATTCGTCTTGTGGGACGTGGCCTTGAGGCACCAGTCTCTCCGTAACGTCGCACTCACTTGTCGTGCATTCCTTCATCTTGCGACTGCTTCCCTTTGGAGCGAACCGCCAGGCCTGTGGCCTCTGTATCGTATACTCATCGACATCCCCGAGGTGTTCCTGAATACCTCTTCCCAATGGGGCCCATTTCCATCCAGGCTTATCCGAGTGAGTTATCCCGCTCATAAGAACAGCACACGCTTCGTTGGGACTCATGTACGATATTTCTCATTTTAAAGCTTCAGCAAGGGCAAGTCCCCGACTCTCGGTCAGAAGTGTGGGGAAGATTTCTGCACTACGGCGCACTCATCCGCAAAACACCTACTATCCACAAAGGACTTCGATGAAGACTTTGCAAAAGATCTATTTATCCTTCTCGTCGGACGGAACGACGGACGCTCGTGCATGCCGTTGCTCAGGGAGTTTGACCTCAGAGCAATGCATGGCTTGGAGCCGGCCCACATGCTAATTCTGTCTTCATTAGCTTCCCCCACCGTCACCGCACTGGAGATACTCACCGGATATCGTGGCGACCAGGAATCCTGTAATCTCGTCCAGAACGGTTTAGCCGCGACCGTTGCAAAGGCTTTTCCCATCATATATTCACTGATTCTCAAACTCCAGGGCGAAAAGATAGAAGACCCCTTGAAAATCATCACCGATCTCGTTCCTCTCAGATGCCTTCGCCACCTCACGCTGGGCCGGCGCTTTGCTTCTCACTGCGGAACATCCTATCTTCAAGCCCTGTTATCTACACTACCTGAGCTCGAACTCCTGGACGCCTACTTCAACAAGTCTGTGGTGGCGGCGCCTTCCCCCGCTCCACGCCGTATCGTGGTGCCTCAACTCCGCCGCTTGATTTGTCGCGGCCGTTGGGAAGCCGTCGCGGACCTGCCGTCCGCCATTCAGTGCCCCTCCCTTGAAGAGCTCCGCATAGCACTGCGACACGCTCACGGACCCGTGTCTCACGTGAACTGCGACGTCCTCTGTGCATGCGTGCGTGCTACTGCCGACCCAGACTTCGCTCCTTGCCTGCGCAAGCTAGATATCCGCGCGCCGGTTGGCCGTCAGATTATCTCGGACTCGACGCCCTCTCCAGTACGCCGGACCCTTGCGGATATCCTCCATCCCCTCTCTTCCCTCGAGCACCTGAAGGATTTCTCCTTCGTCATGACCTTCGAGTATCACGTACTCCCCCTCATCCCACATACTTCGGATAGCGACATGCGCACTTTCGCCGCAACGCTCAGGCGCGCCCGGCGCGTCGCGCTGGAGCTCAAGGACATTGCGCCCCTCGAATCGCGGCCCACGCTGCGCTCCCTCGTCCACTTCGCGACGCTCTGTCCGCAGCTCGTCAGCTTGTCGATATCGCAGGTCGACGTCGACTCCGCCATCCCTAGCGAGCCATTCGTGCGATGCGACACGCTGCGGACGCTGCGTCTCGTGGGCACAACTCCTCCGAAGGAACCGGGACGGCTGGCCGCGTTCCTACACGACCTGTTCCCCCATTTGGACCTTGCTGAATGCGCCTTCCCGGACTACGTTGGGGAGGGCGCCGTCGTGCAGGACGAACTTCGCCTACTACAGCAGGATGCTAGTGATCACTGAGTTGTCACATGCGAATCATCCTCGTCTGGAGCCGGCCAGGCGTCTTCGGCGCTGGAGTCCTCGCCGCCAGCTACCCCCAAGTCGCCTCCCGCCGTTGGCCGAACCCAAACTTATCGAATACGTCGTCTTATCGATCACATTTCCGGCACCGGCTGCATATGCATTTCACTCGCGTCGGCACTGACTACGTGCCCTAGAAGACCGCGCTCGTGTTCGACTTATCCACCATCATCCTGTTTTGTGCTATACGAAACACAACTGTGAGGAGTGGCGCACTGCTGTCGCGGAGCGGGGATGGAGCAGCGCGCTCACGCCGTGCCGGCACACAGACGTTCTCCTGCTGGCCTCGAGTCGGGTGTGACCAATTAATCCCGTCATCCTCATCTTCGTCCACACTGACAAGTACCCCAAGAACGCACGATCAGCGAGGCCATGCTCGCATTCTGGTGGGGGGACGTTGTGTCGATGAGGATGGCTGAGTTCAACGGTACCCCGCTCCCCATGCCGGCGCGCACGCCCATCATGATCATCCCTCGTTTCTACCCCTCCTCCTTCCTCACTCATACCCCTCAGTGTTTATCGTACAGCACTCGAACTCATCATCAGTCAGGGGGCTCCAAGCCCCGAGGGCCACCCGGATCCGAAGAGGGCTGTGTCAGAACGTTGCACCATCCTGGCGTCCACAGCGCCCACTCCTAAATATTGCATCGGTGCGTCCACCAGTCCGGTTGAAAGAAGAAAGCGTTATATTTAGTCCTCACAGGTGTGAGAAGAAATCAGATGTTGATATTCAACAACACCCAAGGAACACTCAAACGCGCTCAAGCTGTTCATCAATGTGAGCAACGATAGCATCTTGCCAGGAGCCTTGCCAAACTCACAGACTCGGCACGCTTGTACTCAGCAACGTTTACCCCATTGGGGCCCGAGCGTTTATATTCTGCACCGTTTCCCCCGCCAGGCTTGCCGCGTGCGACCTGAGTAGAAAGGGACAAGAATGGTGAGATGTTGCAGGCGGAGACGGAAGCCGTCTGCGACATACGACGAGGTCTGCGGAGTCGACGGGTGTAGCGGCGACGAGGCCGGCGAAGAGGGCGAGGAGGAGGGAGAAGTGCACACGCATAGTGCTTCGGTTGGCGGACGAGTTGGGCGTGGATTCGCAGTGGGGGCGAGGGACAATGGTGAAACCGCGCTCTCCAGAACACTCGGATACTTATACAGGTTCTGAAAGCGCCTGCAGTGGGTTTGTGGCACGTCCACAGGCAAATGACCCGCTGGGCTGCGGAGCCAGCTCAGGCTCTCATTTCCCCATTTGTTCTCCTCAGGCCTCGTATGCTCACGTTGCAAACACTTCGCACTGTTCGCCCTGGCATCTGTAACCAGGATCTCCCAATCTTCGCGGCTGTGTGCATCGACATTCAGAAATACAATTTCGGAGGTCCACTGTCACCGGTGAAGATGGGGCAAAGATATTCGTGGTCCACCACGAGGCCTCAAGACGCTGTAAGTACACGCCCTTCCGAACTCTGAGTCCCTTGATAGTACCTCAGTATGCCGTTCTCAAGCTCTCGCAGACTCGCACAAGTGTTCTCCAATGTTTTAATCTCGGTATACATTCCATTGATTTTCCACTCAACCCCAATACGCAAACCACGAGCTCTAGCTCACAACAACAATATCAGCACGGCGGCCTGGGGCGCGCCGCGATAAGTACTAGTAGGGATACAAAGGGGGGTGCCGGGGCGAACAGTGATACACGGGGGTATGCAAGACAAGACGATGCGAGAGGTATGCCGGGTAGCAGAAGAAACGTGCAGGGGAGAAAGTCCGGACGCGCGGCGCGTAATAGTGCGATCGTAAGGGATTAGTGCGAATGTAAGAGGTCCAAAGCGGAGGGGAAGTGCGAAGGGTGCATGTGCGTCTCGCGACGCGGCAGATGGAGAGGTGGGGGGTGAGGGTTTTAGATGCAGCAGCGGGCCGGGTGCGAGATGCAGGTTGCGCGCAGAGGGATGGGCAGGGCGCACAGCGCCGCCTACCGGTTTTCAGCAACCTGGGTCATCGCCGCGAGCACGACCTCCCACGCGAGGTCGAGCACGCCCCACAGCTCCGCGTCGAACACGCCCAGCGCGCACACGTTCTGCCACAGCCCGTTGATCAGCTTCACGTGCGCCATGAGCCCGCCCATCGCGCCCTGCGGCCCGCCCCTCTGGAACGCGGCCCCCGCGAGGGCGTGCGCGAGCCGCAGCAGGCGCTCCGAGCTGAACTGTGCGACGTATACGAGCTTGCCGGCGGGGGGCGCCGCGCTCGAGCCGGCCGCGGGCATGTGCGGGAGTGCTGCTGCGAGTGCGGGGAGGAGGGACGCGAGGAGCGTGTCGGGGCGCATCGTGTGCAGGTACGCGTGCAGGAGCGCGAACGTTTCGGGGCTTGGGATCGTGAGCGGGACGACGGGGAGCGTGAGCGCAGCGCGGCGGCCGGACGCGGGCAGCCCTTGTGGGAGCGGGGGCAGGAGGGAGCAGTGCGCGGCGAGTACGAGCGCGGACGCGGGGTACAGCGGGATGGTAGTGGAGGGCGGGAGCGAGCCCTTGTCCGCGAATGACGCGACGGTGGGCGTCGCGGAGGAGGAGCGCGAGGAGAGAATGGCGAGGACGTGTGTGGGGAAGGCGGCAAGGTCGGGGGTCTGGCTGCTCGGGCGGATCGGCGCGTCGAGCGTCGGGGGGAGGTGTGCGCAGGGCAGCGCGCTCGGGATGGTCAGGAGCGATAGCGCCGCGATCATCCTGGGCGGTGGAGCGTGGTCAGCACCCGCGCAGATGGGCATGGAATGGTAAGGGGGACGTACGAGTGGGCGTTTCCTGCCAGCATCTTTCTAATGTACTCGATCGGGACGCCCGCGAGCGCGGGGTCGATGCGGGCGACGGCGTCGCGCGAGGGCTCGGAGAAGCTGGGGCGCGCGAGGCGGCGCGGGATGTTGAGCTTCTGCGCGACGGGCGACTGGTAGTGCGACAGGCCGGCGAGGTTGAGCGGCTCGGGCACGCCGTGGTGGTGGCGGGAGGCGACCTGGAACATGGCGGGCAGAGGCAAGGAGGACGAGGAGGACTGGGACGCGAATTAAGGCGGGCGGGCGAGCGAGCCTAGGAAGGGTATAGTCGGATACGTGCGGCGGACAATAGAGTACGTGTGCGGGGGCGGGCGCGGGCGCGCTGTGATCGACACGGGGAGCGCGCGAGGCGGTGAGACGGAGGGGGCTCTGTTCGGACGCTGAGTCGACCGTAGGCGTGTGTGGGCGTGGGCGGCGATATCTGCGCGCGGTGGTTGCTGTCGTTGTTCGCTTCTCGGTCGCCGAGGACGAGGAGGAAGACAAGGTGAGGGCGGCCTGGCCATTGGGTGGCACTCTTATACACCATCGCAGTCCCCGGTGGAGAACAAGGGGCGGGGAGAGGTCGATCTTGCACATGGGTCCGCGGCGGGCTCGAGGAATAAGAGGAGGCACATATCTGGCAGCTCGTTTGTGCTCCCGTATGGCCGCCCATCACGCCCTCCCACACGTGGCGGCCCGCTTCTGTCCCCAATTGGGTATGTTTGTAGAGTTCGCCCTCGCCTCAGCCTATCCCTCCTCTTCCGGCATCCACCTGCCTCCCATTTCCGCACACCGCTGCGTCGTAGCCATCGCAACTCCGTCTTCCTTGTATTTTTTCGTCCTCGGCCCCATCAGGCGCAGATCTGTCGAACATCTCATTGACCTCCGCTATCGTCCGTCTCGCGCCTTCCTCGAAGCCGCCCTCTCTTTGTCCCAAGAAGCATCGTCCTCGCCGCAAAGTCCGTAACGCAGCAGCAGGTCTCTCGATGACAGACTGCAGAGCTTGATGCCACGCGCCTCGCCCATGCGTCTGAGACTTCACTAGTAACTTTCTGATGAACTCTCGGTGCGTCTACCTGGAAGCGCCCATGATGTCGGCAACATTCCAGTCTCAAGTTCTGCCAGGGCTTGTAGATGCTGGACAGACCATACTCAAGACGACGCACTCCGCGCGCACAGACGAGGTCGCGCCTCTGTCCGGATTCGGAGGGCGCGGGAATCTGGCCATTTAGCCCACGGCTGTGCTTGGGACGGCTTGGACTAATCTGGACCTAGGTTCGGACCGCACGCGCTCACTCGTAGGCTTCCGCGACTTCTGGTGACGATACCCTGCACGTGAAGACACACGGCATAGCGATGATGTCCAGGGATGCTTCCGGAGGTAAGGTTGGACATGCCTCGTCGCTTCTGCCTTCCTGCGACGTCTCTCGTACTGGCGTTCACTCCAACCCTTGTCTTCTTGCAGGGACTCTCCTCCGCCCGGCAAGCCATTGATCACTGTTGGCTATGCATGTCTACTGCTCGCAGAACGAGCCAGGGTCATCCGTCCACCAGCGCTATTACATCAACGTCTAGTCATCCTCTTCCCAGCGCACACACAACGCGCACCCGCATTTCCCAGCACCATTGACCCGTGGCCAACTGTCCTTGTACTGGCGTGAAGCATATCACGCGTGGTGGACCGCATCAGCCTCGACGGCGATTACGAGCAGATTTCACGGCGACTGAGCACTCCTCTTCCCAGAATACACACAACGCACGTCTACAGTTCCCAAAGCCATTGACCCGTGGTCACCGGTGGTCCACTGCCCTTGTAGTGTCGCAAAGTATATCACGCGTGGTGGCCTCGACGGCGATCGCGAGCAGATTGCACGGCGAGGATTCCGCGATAAGCACAACGACGAACGTCCATCTAGCGGGCTCGGGAACCGTATACACTTGACGGGACGTCGGATCTCTCCCGGTACGTGGTGTCTTGTTTCCGAGGCTCGAGGTCCGCGCAGCGGGCGTCTTCGCGGTGACTGTACGCTCCCGGAACTGCTATTGAAACGCTGACTCGACTGCCGCATGCTTCGCGAAGATTTGGCTTTGTGCGTCATGACGGAAGTTTCTCGCTCGTCGCCGTCGCGGAAGATTTACGGGCGGTTCCCTGCGAGGCGAGGGAGTATACCTGGGAACCCACCGGCAGACTTCCCGAGGCGGGCCGTGACTTGTATGGCGGCTCGAAAATAGCGCACAATGGATGTGGACGGTGGACCCGACCCTGCTCCTGCGTCCATGTGTCATTTAGGCCGCACAAGTCGTGCACTTTGTACTCCTTAGACACGTTGGACGGTGCGGTGACGTTGGAGCAACTGAAGAGGGACTAGGTAAGTTCGTTATTGTTGGGATGAAACGATGCACATTCAAGATGACTTACCTACCTGGTCGAAACCGGAACGCGGCCACAACTCGGAGCACTGAGCGCGCAAGGATGCTTCCCGCTGCCGCGAGCCAGCTCGCGAGCCTCAGGAATCCACAGCCGTCACCTATGGACCGCGGCCTAGGACACTGCCGTATGATTCGTCCTCTCTTGGGGCACCCTGTGAGTAGCGACCGGTCACCTCTCAGAGCTGTGTCGGCACCGTCTGAGTATACGTACGCTCCTTGCTTCAGATCACACTTCCCTCTGTCCATTCTCACCCGACCAACTAGTTTGTACAACTCATGACCGCGATGCCGAAGTAGAGATTCCTCGAGCGCGAGAAGATTGTCGCGGCGTCACCCATACATGTACATACTACATGCTATTGGTGATTCCTCACTTCATACACGCAAATTATTCTATGTTTGCAGCCGTTCACTGTACCGTTCAAGCTCCCCTCGATCTTCACTAGCGTTTGTCAATCGCGCTCTCTGCCCATCAGCGAAGCAGGACGGTACTACCGAGGATTTGACGCCCACTCTAGGGAACGCTCCAGCGTACCACTTCCCCACTTCAAATATCACCTCTACGATCGAGGGCACGCCAGACATGACAGATTCTAGCAGTAAGACGACCTTTTTGGGTCACCAAATGTCAGTTATTCAAATCCCGCGCCATCTTCCACTTCGACTCCTACATATAACTCGACACCTTCCGTCGGGGCTGTTTTCCCTCTGTCGTCCCTCTTCCTCTTACCCTCTCCATCGCTTGCGCTCTGGACTTGCCTCGGTGACCCTGATCACTTTTTGTCGAATACCTGGTACAACTCCATACGTGCGTCCGCCCCCCGTTCCTCTGTTCGCGCGAAGTCTCACACTAACATTTCCAACAGGTGGCTATATGCGGCTTAACCGAAGCTACATTGTTCAATCGCTCGCAGAACATGCAACCTACCGCCTGTGCATCACTCGCCCACAGCAAGCGCGTCTCTTTGCAACCAGTCCATTCCCAAATATAATGAAGATGACGGGATGTGTACATTAATGCCAGTGGTAAGCGTCAAGGCTCTGTCTTACCCGCACGATGCGAAAAAGAGTACACGGGCTATGTCCATATGCATTAAGGGGGAATCGAACCCCCGGCGGGTCGATGGCAACGACCCAGGTTACCACTACCCCATTAATGCGGTACATTCTGTAGCAACATAGCTGAACTCCAGTGGTGGACATGCCAAGGCCGTTAGCGGTGTGGGCGTCTGTGGTAAAATGAGAACGCGGGCCGACTCGACACCTCCGATGATCTCGGCTTCTCGGACTCACTCAAAACGGGCCTCATCCAGCGTCCGCGCTACTTGCGACAGCGCAGCCTCGAGTCTCGGCGTTGCGCCCGAGACCTCCTCCGACTCGTTCTGTCCAACACCGTTCAAGACAGCATTCTTCTTGGAGCGAGCACTGCAGCACTGCGAACCACAGCACCTGCCAAATGCGACGAGACACGGCAACCTTCATTTTTGCGTATTCCGCGCCCCACCCGGATGGCGGAACGACGGATGAGCCAAGGCGTCCAGCGTATCAGGAGCAGGCTTGGCAATGAAATGCACAGACACTGACGCCGCCCATTTCAGCCCATTCCCCGCTGGGCGATCAGGGGTACCAGGCCCGCAGGCGGCAGCGAGTCGGACGGGACTCAGCCTGCTATGCCCAATTGCAAAACATCTAGACAGCAGTTCACCCACCAACCTGCGACACTGCCCTCTCTCTCATTCTCTGTTTCCTTTGCTCGTCGCCTGAGGCTCCTGGATTCTCTGTGCTAGCCCCGACCGCCTGTCCTTTCTCGCAAAGTTACCCCTCTTTCCGCTGCAATGCGGTCGTCTGCCTCCGCCGGGCTCTCCGCGGCCATCTCCCTCTCTCTGGGCGTACTTCTCATACAGCCGCTCTCCGTCCGCGCCGTGACCAGCTATGCGAACGACTTCGTCGACCCCACCTATGTCCTTGCAAAGGACTTCAGCAATATCACCACCGAGGCGCAGGCGACCATCATCTCGTGGGCCACCTCTCTCGCTAGCGAGGGTCCCTGGAGTAAGTGCACATTGTATCTACCCAACGCGCCGTGAGCTGACGCGATACAGCCGTAATGAACAAATCTGTTACCCCTCCTTCCGGCGACAAGCACGACTACATGAGCTGGGCACCATAGTACGAACTGTTCATGCACACACCGAGCTCCCTATAATCTGACCGTGCGCCCTATCCAGCTCCTGGCCAAACTGCACGAGCGTCGGTAACACTACCGCGCTCACGGACGAAGAAGGTACGCAGGATCCGTTCTCCCGCGCCCGCCGCGCCCATTCCTCTTCCTCCGCAGTCGATAGTAACCACGCCCCACCATTTGCGCAGTCTGGACAACGTGCCCGTACGAGACGCGCGACGGGCAGTTCAACCCCGACGGCCGGCTCGTGAACGACGTCGGCGCGTTCTCGGACCTCGCGGACGCGGTGCTCTACAACGCGCTTGCGTGGGCGATCAAGGGCAGCGGCACGTACTCGGGCAACGTCGCGACTTTTGTCAAGTCGTGGTTCCTCGACGCGGATACGGCCATGAACCCGAATCTCAACTACGCGCAGATGGCGCGCGGGCCGGACGGCCAGGTCGGGCAGCATACGGGTGTTCTGTGAGTGCGCGTGTGAGGACGGACGGACGCGGCTGCGGAGGGCTGCGGAGGACTGACCTGGGTGTGTGTTTACAGCGACCTGAAGTGCATGGCGAAACTCGTCAGTGGGGTGCTGATCCTGCGCGAGGGCAACGCCGCGGAGTGGACCTCGGAAATCGACGCGGGCTTCACGACGTGGGCCGCGAACTACACCACCTGGCTCACCACCGCGTCAATCGCGCTCGAAGAGGAGGCCGCCGAGAAGTAAGCATCACATCCTGTACTGCAGAGGCAGCCCACACTGACGCGTGCGCGCAGCAACCACGGGACGTTCTACTACAACCAGCTCGCGGCGCTACAGGTGCTCGTCGGAGATACTACCGGCGCAAAGGCGACGCTGGAGAAGTACTTCACCACGCAGTACATGTGGCAGATCGACGCGAACGGCGACCAGGTACCGTTCTCCCGTGCCTGGGTATTTCAAGAAAGTTAACAGGTCGTCCACCCCTCTCACAGCCACTGGAGACCGCGCGGACACGCCCGTACCACTACCGCGCCTACAACATCGCCGCCATGATCGTGAGTACCTCCCCCCTGAGCCCCACAGGTCCCAACAAGCCCAAACTCACGCCCTCCCGCACACAGACCAACGCGAAGATCGGAGCATACATCGGCTATGATGCCTGGAACCTGACGACCTCGAACGGCACAACGATCAAGACCGCGCTCGACTACGCGCTCAAGCAAGACGCGGGCACCGAGACCGCGTCGGAATTGTACCCGGATATCGTCGCAGTCGGCGCGACCTACGGGGACGCGGACGGGGCGTACGCAGCATGGATGCTCGCGAACGCGAAGAAGGCGTATCCCGAAGACGCCCAGTTCTTCTGGAACCAGCCCTTCAGTGACTCCGGGCTCGTCAAAACGAGCAGTAGCAGTTCGACGACCTCATCGGGGAGCGGGAACGCGGCGTCCGGGGATACGGACACGAGCAGCGACAATGGTGCGGCGAGAGGCGCGTGGAGCGTCGTGGCCGCGGTGTCTGCTGCTGCGCTTGTTGCTGCTGTGTTGTGATCTGTATGCTTTCTCTCTGGATTCCCTCCAAGACTCTGCTCAGTATTTCAGTCGAAAGCGTTCTTCCGGGCCGTGCTCCACACAGACAATGGCCGTCTCGCGGGCCGCTGATCGCCACTCTCCTTGCTGTATTCCCCATGTTCCAACTTACACATGTATATATGTGCCCGCGGTGTGCCCACCCGGCGCCGCGGCGCCGGCCGTCCCGCACTCATACCATATCACAGCCACTTCGAAAGTTTCCGCACGTGTACAGGAACGGCATTCGATCTTCGCATTATCTCCTCGACGGAGAAACCGCTCGTCATACTCGTACATCAGCAAGAAGCGTTCCCGCGAGCGGAACCTTCACACCCAATCCAGTATCGACCTTGGCCAGGAACCGCGACCCATTCCGGCATCCGTACACACGCGAGGACATCTTCAGGCTTCATTGTGGTCGTTCACTGCGAGAAGTTCTTGATCCCGGAGAAGTTCGTGATCGGGCCCGCCTTGCCGCCCGTCACCTTCAGCGCAGACCAGTCCCAGGTGCCTAGCGGAGATGTGTGTGAGTGACGGGGAAAACACATGGGGTGTGGGAAGGGTGGGTGGGCGACTGACCGGTGCAGGAGCCGGAGCCGCAGTTGACGGCGACGCGCTCGGCGTCGCTGTTCACGGTGAGGCTGTTGGTCGCGCCGACGAAGTTCACGCCCTGTGCGGTGTGATTAGAGCGTTGCGCACGCGCAAGAGGGAGGGTAGACACGTACGGAGAGCTTGACGCCGGTTCCGGGCGTGCCGAGGGTGTCGGGGTAGCTCTGTTTGGCGTACAGTCAGTACCGACTGCTGGTACGGGGATGGCGTCTAGATGGAGTCAGGAGTTGGGCGCGTACCTGGTCAATGAGGACACCGAACTGGCGGAGACCGGTGCCTGTGTTCCCGGAGTAGGTGATGTTGGTGACGGTCGAGGACGTTGCAGCAGACTTGGTCTTGATGCGGAGTGCTTGGTCGCTTTGGGAGCAGAGCGCGGTGAGAATATATTCACAGAATCATCGGCACGGCGGCAGAGAGTCGTGTATACGTACTTGTTGGTGATGGTGTTGCCGCTAATGACAATGCCAGAGACGGTGACGTCGGAGTCAATCGAGCCCTGGGAGTTGCGAGACTGTCAATAAAGGCATGTCATGGAGGGATCCTCGAAGGGTACTTACAACCGAGATGCCGTGTCCACCGGTGCAGGTGTTGCGCTGGAAAACGATGTTGCTGCCCTTGTTGATGGCCAAGCAGTCGTCCTGGTTGTGGATCGTGCTGAAAGCAATGTCAGTCGATATACAAAAAGACGACCATATCGAGCGAGATAACAGCCGACTTACCTGTCCTGGATGGTCAGGTCAGTGGTGCTGCAGTCGAATCCGTCGGTGTTGTGGCCCGCTGCCTTCCCGTCGCTCTTCGAGTTGGGAGCATCTCCAGCAGCTGCGTCGTAGAAGGTAAATCAGCATTCAGCATGCGTGTATGGAGTAATATTTGCCTCACAGTCGTCGATGGTCAGCTGCGACATGGTAAGCGGAGCGGGGTTCGATACACTGTACACCCGAGCCGGCGAGTTGAGAACCTTCACGTTCTGTAGCCGCGCAAGTGAGTTCGCGGTTTAGACAGTTCTGCGAAGGCACTGACCGTGTAGGTACCAGATATTTTGATCCTGGTCAAGAATAACGAAACCTTGTAAGACAGGGTGCTTCCTTGAGCTGGCAAGGCCCGACGTACTTCATCATGGGCGCTGGTTTGGTGACACCGCCATTGCCACCCTGGCCATCCTATACAAACAGTCAGCACGCACTTCGTCTGCCAAGAGAATGCCATGACGTCTTACCCAGTACGATGGGCCGTTCCCATCGAACGTATGTCCGTTACCGTTAACTTACGCGGGAGCACACGCATGAGCACCAATCGAACGCGCACGCACGCCTTCGCAAACCTACATGTGATCGACTTCCCGCTGTAAGCTCCTTTCAGCACGCAGTTCGACGTAATAGTGTGCGCAAAACGAACCTGACTTGGAAGAGAGGGCCGTCCCAGTTCTTGACGGCGAAGGTCACGTCGCCCTCTGCATTAAGACGCCAGGAATAGGTGAGCTATCCTCGGCATTGCAGCCGCGCGAAGACGCACGCATGTTCACGGTTGTGCCCGTCGCGAGGTCGAGGTTGAACGTCTCCCCAGCGGGCACGGTGAACGAGTTGATGTTCACGGTCGTGCACTTGACCGCGGCGGCGACGTCGTCCAACGACGAGATCGTGCCCGTGCAGTCGGTCGCCGACGGCGCGGCGAGCGCGACGCGCGCGAAGACGAGGAGGGCGGCGAGGCGGACGAAGGCAGACATTTTGTGTGTGGGCTGGGTCCTATGTAGGGGAGGGGCTGGTAGCGAGGAGCACGACGTCCCGACCACTGGTGCGCACGCCTTTTAAACCGACACACCGGATAAATCTGGGAGGAGAGGGCCTCGCGACCCCGCGAAGAAGGCTTCGCGCATCATGGGCATGCGGTGTCATGAGATGCTGGAACATTCAGCGGGGCGCGCCAGCACATGCGCACGCAGTGAGAAACGCGGAGTAACGGAAATGGGCAACACGATGTCTTCACGGAAGACCCCCCGCAGCGTGCGCCGCCCTGCGCTTCGGTTCCCTCCGACGGACTGCACGAGCCGATATTTCCTGCAGCTGGAAAATTTAAGCTCATCGCACCCACGACTGCTTAACAGACCTCGGTGGCATGTTGGACGGCGGTCGAGGAGGAGTCGACGAGGTGCGCAGGTCTTACCCGCGCGTCGTCTCGCACACCTTTCCGGGTGTCTCCTGGCCCAAACCGCTCCCGACGCCCAGGTCATTTGGTCAGGCTCCCCATGGTGTTGGTCGGAAGATCCTTCTTGAGAGTCAGATCGCGATCGTCGCCTCGCCAATTCAATAATAACCATCGCTCTCACCTGATTCCCGAATGACTTCTGCGGACTGGCGTATTGCTATGACAGCATGCCCTCGCCCCGCGGCTGATATCCCGCCGGTCCCGATAGCACCGCTGACATACGCCCTGTTCTTCGCGATACAAAGCTTACAATTAATGTCGGGTGCTCGCAGAACGCACCTGCTGTTTGTCCGGCGACACAACCTGTTCGTGCTAGTGGCATCCACGGGTTCCCAAACAACGTCATACACGGCTAGACCGGGCGCGTGGCAACGCTGCACGCTGCCCCGCGTCTGACGAACTCAACGACTGCCTTTCTCGCCAGGATGGCAGCCCCCGCGCGGCCCGGCGCGCGGTCCGCCGTGGCCCCAGGACCGACATCAGAACCGCGAGCGCACCCGGCAGGCAGCGTTCCGTGCTGCCCGTGCCCAAGCTACCTCACGCTCGGTCGCCGCTGTCCAAATCACAGCTGTCGCGCGCTGCGCGAGCACCAAAAGCGAGTCGCCGCCTCTCACAGCGGGCCCGAGGCATAGCCCTGTTTTTCGCGGGCCAATGGCGGTGAGCAGGGTTAATGAAGGAAGCTGGTCATACGAACGCACCTCCGACGCAGGCACCCGAACGCGCAGCCTCACGGTTGATGGACGCGGCCCGCAAACACTGCCCTGTACGGAGGGTGTCTATTGACGGGTATCTGTAGGTGGGTAGGGATACAGAGGATCCGGGAGGCATAACGACATGGGTGGGTAGGATATGACAAACGCCGTAGAGGAAACTAATAAGGTACATGGAACAGATCCTCTCCTGCATTGAAGCTGCCAAAAGACGAAGAGAAATGGTGGGTCGGCTTGCGTGTATAGCGCATCCGAGACGTAGGGTGGGACGAGGTTAAGCGGGTGGGGAGGGGACATTCGGACCATGTTTTCGATGTGAAGGACGGAAGGGATAAGGGAGGTGTAGTATGCAGGTCCGCCTGCGAGATAGATCGAGTGGGAGATGGCGTGAAATGGGAAGGGAGCGGCGTATGTAGGTGTGCGGGAAAAGTAGTGGTAGTAGTAGTGTCAAGTAATAGTGGCGTACATGGGGGCGGCAGACGTGCCAATAAGGAGAGGAAGCGAATAGGAAGTGATAAATATCCATCAATAAAAGCCCGCGCGGCCCTCATCCAGTCATATTGTAGAACTTGTACTCCCCCCACATGTCGGGGCCTGGCGGGGGCCCCGGCGAACCCTGCTGCGGCCATCCCTGGACGTGGGACGGCACCGGCATCGGTGCGTGCGGGTGTCCGTGCCCATGTCCATGCCCGTGCGAGCTGGGCGGCGGTGCGTACTCGTGCGGCGCGACCTGCCGCCCTTGCTCCGCCATATGAGGGTGCGAAGGGTGCCCGTACGAGGAATGGTGGGATCGGTCCTGTGGCTGCTGCATGTAGTGCTGTGGCTGCTGCTGTTGCTGCTGCTCGTGACCATGCGGCATGGTCGTCATCGTCGGCGCGATGCCGCCCGGGTTCGGCCCATTCGATGTGAGAGGCGAGGGGCCGACCATGTTCATGGTCAGCGGGTGCGTGTGGACCGCAGGACTGCTCGCGTATGCCGGAGAAGAGCCGTCGTCGGGCGGGTATTGCAAGTAGTACCCGTGCTGAGTGGGAGTGGGGGGATATGCGGAGGAACTCTGGGGTGCGTACCGGCCCTGGGGCTGAGGTTCGTACATCACCGCAGACTGAGGCGAGTCGTAGCTGCTCTGCGCGCTGTACCGCCGGTCATCAACGATGTCGTCTCCGCTGCTGTACTGCATATTGTAGTCCTCTTGCGGTTGCTGCATGGGCTCATGACCGTTCGACGCCGGCGGCGGCGGTGGCGGGTAGCTCTCGTACGGCGTAGACACAGAGGGCGACTCAGGCACCGACACAGACGCACGGTTCGACGTGTTCGGAAGGGAAGTCTGGATCGTAGACGTGAGCGGCGAAGGCGGCGGGGGCGCAGCACGCGCGGCCGGCGCGAGGGGCGGCGCAGAGGGGGCGGGCGTCGCCCCAGCAGCGGTGGAGACGGACGACGTGCGCTGCCTCCTCGGGTTCGGTTGCCCTGTCATGGGCCGGACCCGGAGCGGGCCGTCGTACACCTTCGGTCCACTCCGTTCCTTGCCCTTCTCCTTCTCCCTGTCTTTCGGCGGCTTCTTCGCATCGGGCTTCGACTTCCCCTCCCCGTTGACCGCCGCGGGCTCCTTGGGTGGCGCGGGCGCCGCGCGCGACGACGACGCCGCGGCGGAAGGGCGGGGACGCTCGGGCTTCGACGAGCTCACCGACGCACCGACGAACGGCAGCTGGAAGCCTGAGGACGCGACGAGCGGCTCGGACTCGACTTCCGCGTGCTTTCGCTTCGTGCCCGCCGACGCGCTGCTGGCGGATCCTCCGCCTCGCGCGGCATCCGCCTTTCGCTTCATGGCCTCGACGATCCGGACGGCCTCGCTTCTGCTCCCGACGCCGTTCTTTTCGGCGTGCGAGCCCTCGACGCCCATCCGGGACGAGCCGAGCTCCCTGAGGACGTCCAGGGCGCACGTCACGCTCTTCATGCCCTCCGTTGCGATGATGCTGTTCGGCTCCTGGATGACGGCATGCGCGCAGACGACGGCGGCGTCGAACAGCGTCCGGCCAAAGTCGTAAAAGTCGAATACTGCCGGCCGCGTCTGGCCCCATACGGAATGTAGCAGGCGTGACGCATACACGATGTTGTGCGCCGCAGTGATCGTGCCGAAGACCGCCTGGTGTGCGGGCTTGTTCTGAGCGGCCGCCTCCTTGAGGAACGGAAGGTAGAGCTTCATGATCAAGCGCTGGGCGAGGATGGCAAGCTCGCACTTCTGGGCAAGGCGGAAGGGAGAGCCGGAAAGGGGAGGAAGGGGCTTCGACATGTCCTGTGTCATCTCGAGTTGGAAACCCGAAGGCAGCTCCTGGAGGAAGACGCTGACGTCTCCTTCGAAATTGCTTGCCGAATCGATGGAGAGATCAGCGGTCTCTTCCCCCAAGGGATCCCTGAAGGTCTGCTTCTTGACATTCTTGACGAGCTGTGCGAGCCTGGACCAACGTCAGTTGAAGGACTCACTTGTGCGGCGATAACTGAGCATTACCTGCACTTCAAGCTGAAGTATACCGACGACTTATCGCCGTCCGCGCTCTCAGATGTAGGTAGTGAGGTGGACGAAGGGGTGAACTTTTCTTCGTCGACGTCCGCCGGTAACCGCGTTGTATGCGTGTTGTCCGCGATCAACGGAGGGTGCCCCATACAGTCGGCAACGAAGCTGCTCAATACAGGTCAGAACGTAAGGCATAAGGCAATCCAGAGGCTTACAGGTCATAGTAGATCACGTCCCACCACAGTCGCCTACGCGACTCGGCTTCGAAGAGGTTGAACGTGCCGGGGAACTCGTCCGGGTCTATGGCCAAGCCCATCATGCGTGCCACGTTGACCATCTTGCCGACCTGTACAGGCAATTAGCATGCCTCTCCAACGATGTTAGGATATCACTCACCAGAGGGAAGACATTCTGCGCGACGCTCATCTGGCCTTCGTGCAACATAAACAACACCTGTAGGACCATGGACATGACCGAGTCTGGGTCGTACGCAGCCGTCTTCTCGGACAGCTGCAGAGCTTGTTCTGACAGCGCGAATAACGTGGCCGACGTGCCCACAGCATCAGAGGACGGCGACGGCGGTGGCGCGCCAGGGGCCGAGGGCCCTGACTGCTCGGGGCCCTCGTCCCGGGATATGAGAGCACCCAACGCAAAGGCCGCGCTCGCTGCTGCAAAGAAGCTTAGCGTGGGTTTTGGCGCGTTCCTGTCCGGCTCGCCGGAGCCTGAGGGTGGTCCTGACGCTGATGCGCGGGTCTGGTCCTTCTTGCTGCTCGAGCCGTTGCCCTTCGATGACGAGAAGAAGATATCACGGGCGAGATCCGCTTTGGACATGGGACCAGTGCTGACCGACAGACTACCACCCTCGGCCCAGGCGAAGATCGCAGCTATTCGCTGCTCGAAGTGGGGAACGTTGAAGCATGGATGGAGGAGCATCGTTTCCCGGAAGGCCTTCAGATAACGAGCGCGTTCTGGTTCGGCGGGGAGGTAAGCGACTAATGCCGCCGTTACCTGGGGTAATGCGGAAGGGCCGGCAGATGGTGGAGGTAGGAAGACGTCGTAGGATGCGGGTGGATGTAGGGTACGTAGGCTGCCAACGGGAAGAGTGACCTGGCTCCCTACAGGGAACGAACAGGGAGGTATTGACGCGGCTGTTGGCTCCAGCTTGACGCTCACGCTGGAGGTGGACGGTCGCATAGGGCTAGAGTGGTTGTCTTGCGCCGACGTCCTGGCGGCTTTCGGGTCGCTGCCTTCATCCTCGAGCTCGTTGAGCCATAGGCTGGCAACGTCCTCCAAGTTGATTACAACAGAGCTACCGGAGGCGCCCTGTGCTAGGAGGGCGCGGTCATTGCATGGTAGACCGGCCATCAAGGTCTGTCCGGTGGAAGAAGGGCCGGCCCTACTGCTGCCAACAACACCCGACGATTGTCGCAGTGAGGGCAATCCTGCGAGGGCAGCAGAGACGGTTGTCGACGGTGATGTTGATTGGAGCTGGGCCAAAACTCTCTCGATTTCGATAATGCGATTGTGTAGGGTTTGCACGTCCCTAGAGGAGACGCAAGTTAGAGGGGATTGGCAACGGCGACACGGCGCAACTTACACCTTCTCTGCAGCGGCCTGAGAATAAACGCATCGTTGTACCGTGTCACGTTTAAGACATGAGCTGCAGGGGGTCCGGCGGTCGCATTTGAGCTTCAGTCGTTTGCACTACGAGATGGGATCAGCATCATATTCTCTATAGCTGCTATATCTCTTCCGCGGCTGACGAGTCGGTGGGAGGTTTACGGGGACGGCACAACTTGAAGCATGAGGATATTACCGAATACATCGGACACGGCAAGGGGGGATCCTTGGAAGCTGCTACTTCGAGTAGAGGGGACTTACTTCTGCACAGACAACCGTGATACGAGAGCGTATATGTCTACAAGGGCGTCATTCAGGCGTTGTGGCAGGAATACAGCGAGTGCGCGGGGACCGAGTACGCACGGTCCGCTGGAGCACTTCTGTTGTGTTGAAGAGGAATTGTGTCCGCCAGCACCACTTGGCGAATGTTCCAAGCCGTGTCCGTTCTGCATGGAGGAAGATGACGCTGAGGGCGCGTAGGCCATTGATGAACCGGCCGGGGTGCTAGGATGGGTGTGCCCTGAGTCGATGTCTAGTACAGGTGTCCCCTCCATTGCGGGGGTCGTAGTTTGGGCAGGAACCAGGGAGCCAGAGACAAGGACAGACGAGGATACAGGAAAGAGGCGGGGAGGCGGGAGGATGGAGGAGGGAGGGGAGGATGGGGGAGGGCGCGGGAAATGTGTCCAGCCATTGCTAGCCGATCTCATGAACCTGATCGGGACCCAGGTCACCGCCACCTACCCGATCAAGAATTACTGCTCGCTCAGTCTCCGGGGTCTACACCAGTCTCCAAGTAGTCTGAAATTCGAGCCAATTGGTTCGCGCTCTCACTCATACATGCACTCTGTCACCGTCTTGAGGCTAGTAGTACGTACGTATCGGGCATCTAAACGTCTACCAAAATGGCCTCAGTATATACAAACCTTCAAGTAAACGCAGGATCCGGAAGGTGTGTCCACAGGTTCAATGTTTTTGTCGCAAGGACGTGGCATTAATGGTCAACGATGGATGAGGCCAGTTAACCTTAACAGATGTGTGGGGGATGACCACGACGGTTTACCAGATAAATTTTACTGTTTCCGTTTGAGGGAAGTGCAGGTCGTTCAAGACACTGTTTGAGGCCCACACAGGAAAGGCGAGGCGCAACCCCATCTTCCCTTGGTAAAAGGTGTCGTCGCCTTTTCCCAATTGATAATTGCACCCTTCTCAAAGGGTATAATGGGGGAATTGTGAAGGATGTATTTGATTCATAAAACTTCCCAACAGATTCCGTCGCATGATTACAGCGTTTTCTCTCTGGTGAAACTTTGTTGGCCCTTCCTGAACGATAACTGACGGCGAGTACTTTCTATGCAGCGTCCACAGCTGAACATGTCGCAAGAAGGTCCAGAAAGTGTGCTTTATTCTGACAAGCTACTCCAATAAGTTCGCTGCTGCTCCGCTCATAAGACACCCCAAACCCGTAGTTCATGAGACGATGAGACGTCTCTGTGGCATAGCGCCGTGGCGCATCTTCAAGCCGGATACTTGCCGCATTTTAAGAAGCAAGCCGGTGAGTCAAACCCAAAGGGACCGTCTGATCAGCTGCTCCCGCACTCTGACATTGCAGCAATTCTGCTCCCATACCCGGACAGCGCAGCCGGTGCGCACCGTGCCATGCGGCTACTTGCCACCCACGAAAGGCTAATCGCTACGCCCTGCGCACATGCCCGCCGCCACCCCGACCCATGATCCCTGCATAGCGAGGCACGTTCTTGCCCGCACACCACCTCGCCTTCGAGCTTGACAAGACCCCGAAGTATGCGACGTCACCACCCCGTTCTTTCGCCGCAACATGAAACGGTGCCTATCAAGGACTTCTGTCTTCCGTGGCCCGGGGATGCCACCGACCCGTCAGCGGGACGGGTCTTCCCACCGCAAATCCCCATCGCGCTGCGACCATGGGAAGAGAACGTGGGTCGGACGCGATAGACGCGTCTGGGCCGGCGGCATCTGTGCACGGGACGACTCCTTCCGTTCCAGGATGCGTCTCCTCCGCTCTGCTTCCCCCAACGTTCGCGAAGGCAGCGACGTTCCCGCCCATTGTCCTCCTTTTTTCTCCCTTTCTCCCCAGGCGCGTGGAACCCCGGACGGCCCTTGGGCGCCTCGCTGGCGGGCTGTCGTATTTGCATTTTCCATGCCGGCGGCAGCCAGAAGAGCCCTCGATCGCGTTGAGTGTACCGCAACAGCCACCACAAGAAACTCGGTCCGCATGGCTGTGAAGCGTCAGCCACCTCACGCGGTAGTTTACCGGATGCTGCTGCAGAGCCCCTATGGCGCGTCATCTCGAAATTCGGTGCTCTGCTCTGCTGGACCTGCATGCGGTCAGGAGCCCCTATCGCCATCTTGTCATCTGCCACCACTCCCTGCGTCTGCGCGAATCAGAGCATTTGCAAACCATCTGCTCGCTGATACTGGCCACTGGGCCGTCTTCGCGATCGCGCCGTCTGTCACGCCGTCCTTGACTGAAGTTTGCAGCGCCATGATCTTCTCTGTCATATCCGTGGCCAACCGGGATATTGAACTTCATGACACCACAGCACTCGAGCACAGCTCCAGGACCACCGCGTGCCCCAATCAATTGACCCCTCTCCGGCCATCATACCTAGTTCCGAACTCCGCACTGCCGCTGTCGTACCCCGGTCTCCTCTCTCCCCCACAAAACGACAAATCGCCCTCCGCGGAACACCGCGAGCCCAAGGAGAGGCGCCGCGCAGTGCATTCCCACCGCGCCCAGCAACTCTCTTCGACCCCTGCCGTAAGACGGAGGATAAGCACGGCGCAGCAAATTCGAAACCGGGGGCAATCTGGGTCTGCGCATGATACAGGCACTTCCGAGGGCGCAACTTGCAAGCAACCCGCCACAGGTTAGGTCCGCGCTCGGACTCGCTCGCTCCTGGGAAGTGGTCTTTGTTTGTTCCGTGTCTTCTCGGTTTGATCTATCAGGACTCATCCCGAACACACGCCGCCGGCACGATGGTGCCGAGAGACTAGTGCAGGTACGCACTGGCACGACAGACGACAAACGGCGCAAGCTACGAGCCCGGGGAGCCCGTACAGTGACGCACATGCGCCTCATTTCGCACGACGGCATGTCAAGACCATGCTGCTACGCGTCCAACGCACAGGACGAGATGGCAGAAGACATCGCGGCGCCTGTTATCGTCGTCCAGGAGGCGCTGTTCCTATAGCACGTCGCGCAGATGGATGCGCCCGGAATAAACCCTGTAATCGCTCAAACTGCGTAGCGCATCAGCAGCATCGCTCGGAAACCAACGGAGCATTTTGGCAAATCGTTCCGGCGTTGACACTGACAGATATCGCGGCGCGTTCTTCCGATGTTCCTGGCAGCGGACGTATGTATTTGTCTCGTCGTTCATATCCACGCTCATACAGGCCCTGCCCCAGTGTCATGCCGCTAGCGTTGGAACTTGACAGGTCCATCTCATTATGCGGATGACGGCGCCAGTTCGTGACTATAATGTTTGCTCCCGTGTCCGAATCGCACCGGAGACAGCAGTGACGCTCATATATTGCGGCCGCAGGAACTGTATCACCGTGCAATAGTATGCTCTGCGGGCACAGTTTACGAGATGAAACGTAAATCCCGAACGGCATCCAATAAATCGCCGTGTCCTCCCAAATACCAATAACGCTCGTATACCTCTGTATTTCAACATTGGCAGCATCTTCCCGCCGAGACCCCCACGAAGCAAAGAGGCAGCTAGATAGGCACGTATAATTAGCATCTTTCTCGAGGGGAAGCGAGACGATAGCGTGGCTGCGTGGGGGCTAGCTTCGTGCGCGCGTACCTTTTTCAAAATGGCCGCATGTCGATTGCCCTGGCCGGTCCGAGGCTCACGTCCTGGTCGTTACGAGATCATAATGAGCAAGCAATGGATACTGAACACGAACCGAATGAGATGCATCGTACACAGGTATCTGAGCTTCGTAAGTTCGTAGGCAAAGTGCGATGCTGTAAGTAGCGCCTCTCCATATAACGTTAAAAGTTCCACCATGGTTTACTACCAAAGTCGAAACAAGTCCCCCGCCCCCCTCGCGCGCGGCGCCATATTACTAGGCCCACGCCCCTCCTCGACGCCCTTGCTCTCCCTCCGCGCCGCCCTCCTCCTGATATACCACAGCTCCGCCGCCCTCGCCAGCGCGTACACGGGCACGCTGACCACGAAGCCCATGAGCATCCCGATGTCGCCCGTGCCGTGCGCCGCGATCGGGCCTGTGTACCACACTTGCTGTATGCACGGCACGATGATCGCGACGGACGCCCCGAGCGCGCACATGGCCGCGAACCCGCTCGGGAGGTTGGGATGGCGCGGGGTGTCCCATGCGTTCGGGACGTCGTAGGCGGTGAGCGAGTAGGACCCGCGTCGGAAGAGGTAGTGCTCGGTCAGGGCGATCGCGCAGTAGGGCGCGAGCCAGTACCCGATGAGCGCTACGGGACGGTCAGTATGCGGACGCGTTGGGAGAGACGGGTGGAGCGTACCGAGGATGTCGACGAAAGTGCTGTAGAACTTGGTAGCGCCGACTATGGCTATCGGGATCATTCTAGAGTGCAACGTCAGCCAGGACCCGCCACCCGCTATGAAAAGGCGACATACATAGCAGTGGAGACCACGGCGACGACAAAGCGCGGCACGCGCGCGAACTTGCGGTGGATGGTCATGAAGCTCGTGCATACAGTGTACATCGTCGGCGCACACGCGCTGGGCGCGGTGAGACTGAGGAGCACGAGCATGAACTTGCCGAACCCGCCAGTTGGAGAGAGGATTGCCGCGACCAGCCCTCCGACGTCGTTCCCATCCCCCAGCCCCGTTTCCCATTCTGGGACGTAAACCGCGGTAGCAGCAAATGCCGCGCCTAACATGTGTGCAGGGAGCTTTACAGACCACGGTTAGCCCACCAGACCGCAGACAAATGCAGCGGATAAGACATACGCTGGAAACGAAGAATCCGAGGTACGCATAGATGAAGACCCTCCACGCCGACGCGTCTTTGTCGTGGTAGACACCGTGGTCCGGAGTGAGCGTCGCCCAGGCCACGACGGTGGCGGAGAGGGACGCGCCGAAGGACATGAACATCGATGCCGGCGCAGGCTCGGGGTTCACCACTGGTGCGTTAATAAGGTTCTTGCCTCCGACGGCCAGCATGACAATGAAGGCGATCACGTTGGGTATCCAGATCAGCGTTTCATACCTGGCCGTCTGTAGTCAGTACGTGGGCAAGTCCTTCATTGACGAATAGATACTAACCAATGGAGGACCCGGGAACCGCAGAACGTGATCTATGGGACAAAACAGTTTCAATCCACGCACGCGCATAAGCATGCACGACCCCTGCTTACTATTAATGTAGTGAGAGCAATGATGACGATCCCGACCGTTGCGCTCAGGTGGCCTGATACCTCGGCGAGCACTTGTCCGCCAATGATACTGTTCACGACGAGGTAGCCTTGCATCGACAGTACGTTCAGCAGACTAGGAATGATGGCACCGTAGTACCTATACCCGGAGTCAGTCTATATGCATACGAGTGGGTAGGGTGTCACTGACCCCCACGTAAATCGACTTTGCACCATCGAGCGCGTCCCCAGTTTTGGACCAAACGTCGCGCTGTATAACGCTATGAGCCCGCGCATTGGAATGCATACCAGAGGAAACCGTGCTTACAAGAACGCTGGAAAGGCACAGGTGCTGCATCATGTTCAGCGAAAACAAGCTCGAAAGCCAACGTGCCACACTCACATCAAGTCGACGACTAGGATCACATAAAATGAATCGCGGATGCCTAGGCTATAATACGCAGGCCCGACAGTCCCAGCGCTGAGTCTAAACACCGACATTGGTTTGGTAAGCATACGACTCGGGTGCATGAGCCAGAGAGTTGGTTCTACATACGTCAAGATGTTCGCGTTCGCGGAGAACCAGACGAAGAAGAATTGATACAAGCGTTTGTCCGTCCGCTGATCCTCCGGAATTGGGGATATCCTGCCCAGCACGCCCGGCCGTCAATACTATAGCGCACCTCCATATTGGCACACAACGCACCCATTGACCTCCAAGCCCCACTTCGCAAGCTGCCTAGTAATTCGATGCAGCAGCTTCCCAATCCTCGTCTTCGCTTCGTGTGCGACATTGTCTTCCTCGATGACGAGCACCGTTTCCGGGTACTTCTCGCGGACATCCGTCGAGTCGATCGTCGGGGACGCCAGATAAGACGGAAGCTCCTCCTTCTCCTTCTGGATGCTGTCCGAGTCGCCGTCGAAAACGAGCATCGTTCTACCCTCAGTGAAGCGGGGTGCAGTCCAGGTAGTCGGTGACCTTCAGTAGGCAGACCTGCAGGAAGAAAGACGACGACGATCAGGCCCTCTGTGGGCGTGAGGAGCAAGGTCGGGAGCAGGGGGCGGGCGGAGCGAGGACGAGGACATGGCACTCATAATGCGTGGGGCGTCCCACGATAAGTCCGCGATCCCTGAACCCCAGATACCAGGAAGAACCAGAAGGCTGGGATGGGAAGGCCTGCTGAACCTTTGGTCCCGCCAGGTGTGGATAAAGGGCAGATAAGCAGGACGCTTTGCCGCGCAGCCTCAGTGAACGCACCCCTGGTCGCCGCCAAGGACGGCAAACTGAACGCTGCAAGTGTATGCATGCGCATACATGTACGCAGAGGCATCGAGGTGAGGCGAGACTTGTGTGCAGGATCCGAGTTTGTGCACTGGCTCGCACGGGCGAGCGAAAATGTGTCCGAGCGTGTGCGCAGCACGTCCGGTGGATCGTCCTCGAAGCCACATACTGAACGTTGAGTGGCGGGAAGCCGGAACCGATTCCGCATTAGTGGAGAAGGATTCGGCGGCCTCCCACACTTTTAGAGCCGGTAAAGTAGAGCATCCTCTCGCCTCCGACCAGAACGTGGCTTTCTGTGAAATTGCCTTCAGATTCGGTCGTCGGAGAAATGCCATCAGAATGCGCGAGAGGATAAGATACGATCTAAAGTACAAGATAGCTGAGAGTTGCCCTTACTCCCTCTGAACAAGTGCCAAAAGCCCGAGGCCACCCAGCAGGGCGTACTTCAGCTGCGGGAAATCGTTCTGGGACCCGGCAATTACCGTCAGTATATGATCGTGGCTGAGTTAAAAGGTACGCACCATGGCAATAGTCACATAGCCAGCGTATGGTAGGAATCTGCGCAACATACGTACGTCAAGTCTCCGCGTCGAACGGACATGCAGGAGGAAGAGTGCTTACCCCCTGACTTTGCCGACGATGTGCTTCCGTTCTAACCACTCCAAACCCTGGTAGAGCTCGATGTCGTCTATGTGGTTGTTGTCACCCTTGGTCAGCAGTCGCTGCCTTTGTGCTAGCGGACTCGCTGCGACAGCACTATACATCCAGGTGAGTTGAGAACGGATCCACGCAGAGGCACAGCACGATCGTTGCGAAAGCACGCACTCCTTCTTTCCCGCCGGGGTCCAATCGTGCGTCTCCAACACTCGGTGGACGATGGGGATATCAGCGCCCGGAATCTTGTACACAGTGATATCGCCGGTCTTATATAGCTGGTCGGTGGGGTTTGTGAGGAAGAGGAGGTCGCCACGATAGAACGCCGGTTCCATAGAGCCACTGGCAGCACACTACGGTTAGCACCCCAGATCCTGCGCATCCATTCGTCCAATCCAAAATCACAGCGCACCTGAGCACAACAACGATAGGAGACTCCGTGTTCGTGATGAGACCCAAGCCCTTCCAGATCATGAGTCCGGAGGCGAGGACGGAGACAAAGTTGAGGATCTGCAGCAACACCTAGACGTCCCACCAACGCGTTTAGTGTCTCTTTCGACGCATCGCAGACACAGACAACGCACATGGCGAACTCCTAGCCTCCGGAGGGTCTTGAGCTCGTCCGCGAACATGGTGGGGAGAGGGTGAAAGTGCTTTGGGGAGACACGTGCAAGCGCGCACCCTAATGCAGCGACACGTCCCCGGCGTCAACGCGTCGCGATCATCCTGGGGGCGCAGCGCGGGTCGTTGCCCCCGACCTTTCTCATCGGCGCGTCGCGGTCGTACACCCTTCAGAGGTTCGAAATGCTTCGCGATCGTATCAAACTGTAGGGAAGTATGTCTCACAGAGTTATAAACTTCAGAAAACGTTCAAACTACTGGTCGCGGGGGATAATACTCCTCCACGGTCTCCAGCGCCCATTCTGACGCTCATTCCCCCAAAGACGGAGTTAATACCGTGTTCTTTCCAGATTTACTGCGCACATACACGCGGTCCTCTAGAATGACTGTAAGTAATGCTACAACATGATTTAATTGACTGCTTCAGCACTCTCTTCAACTTAACCACCCATCCATACGTGCCCAGACATCCTTCTGCTCGCCCCTCCACTCCTCCCTCTTATCCCGCACACACTCTTCGCATAGTCCCTCTGCCGCCCAGTCGATCGCGATGATCTCCTCCAACGTCTCCAGCGGCCGACAAAGTCCGTTCTCGTCCAGCGCGCGCTGGATCACGAGCGGCATCCACTTCTCCGCGAACACGTCCGTGCACGCCATGTGCCCCGCGGTCGCGACGGTAAAGAGGATCGGGGTGAAGTGCGCGATGAGGTTATCGAGCAGCGCGTCGCACCGCGCGGACAATTCGGGGGATAGCGGCAGGCGCGGGGCAGGTGCGTTGGGGTCGTCCGCGCCGTGGTCGTGCGAGTGCGTTGCAATGCTATAGTACAACGCTTTGCGGATCTGCGGTGCGTTAGCGGTGCTTAGAACATCTCAGCGTGCGACGACTACTCACCGAGGGTATGTCGTGCTTGACCGCGAGCGTAAGGGCTTCCTCTGCGTGCTCCATGGCAAACGGCGCGGACTCCGGATCCGCCGGGAACATCCCCTCGAGCCGCGTCCGCGCCAGAGCATGTATCGCAGGAAAGTCCAGCTGCTCCTTCGCCGACGCGCGCAGCACAGAAGCGACGCGTGTGAACGGCGCGGTGTCGTCTATTGGCCTGCGCGAGCACGTCTTGAGCGTGAGCGGGCGGGGCGCTGCAGGCGGCCGATTTGTAAGACTCACGCATCGTGATAGAGGTGCTCGAGGAGGGCCTCAAAGTCCGCGCTCCTCACCTCTAATGCGTCCGGGATGTGTACGACAACTAGTCCATCGACTGTGTGTCCGTCGTCGGTTGGAGAGGGCCCAAGCGCGGCAAGCACCTTCGAGTGCCGGTGCAGTAGCGTGCGGTGCACCTTGTAGAAGTCATCCTGGGCGCGCACGACGAGCGAGCCGTCCTCGAGCCAATACCGTGCATGCCGACGGATCTCGTGCTGCTGTTCTGTGTTGGTGGTCGCGGTCGATGTCGAGACGGTGAGGGTGAGGGCGGACATGGCGGAGAGGGACTCGGAGCGGCGGAGACTCGCGGGCGAGATGATCGATGTCGCGCAAGCCCAATGCCATTCAATGCAAAGAGGCGCCCATGCAACTCTCCTCCGAGCCACCGTCCACAGCGCGCACAACTCACATACTTCCACCAGTTTATCAAGCATCATGCATTAGCCTGCATGGTAGAAATAAACCTGGCTTAGTGCTATATCCATAGACTTCGACGAAAGGGTGATTTCTAGTGCGAGTCGACTCACGCATCCAGGGGCATATGAACCCACCGTGGTGAGAAAATCTGCATTCACCTCTAAAATCATTGACATGCGTACTACGTTACAACAGCTTCTCTATCTTACACCTCAGACCTACATAGCGTACAGCGCCAGGTATGAACGTCTAATTTTATAAAGTTACAGGAATCCACCGAAGCAAGCCTCTCTTCGCGCAACGCACAATGCACAATACACATGCCCAAACCGTGCAAGAGAAGAAGAAGGAGAAAAAAGGATATAAACGTTCCGAACCTCGATCCAGCCCATATGCTTATACTCAGTCCCGCATCCCCAACAGCGAGCCCGGAGTGACGGCCTCCACCGCCCTCGGGACCAGGCGTTCTCTCCCGCTCCCCATCATCTCTTTAGGCGACAGGACGCCTAGCGGCCCCGTATATGCGGGTGGGCTTCGCGAGCTCGACACAGAGCTCGTCTTCGAGCTCATCTGGAGCAAAAGCGACGCAGCGGTCTCGTCCTCCGGCGTCCACGGCGACACCGACGGCGACATGGACACCGACTTGCGCCCGTGTCGTGGCGGCATCGGCGCATTCGGGCCCTGAGGCACAGTCACCATGGGGTGTGCTGGGCCCGGCAGCGTCAGCGAGGGCATGCTGGCGAGCGTTGCCGTGGGCCGGAATCGGCCGGACGCAGGTGGGGAGGGGAGCTGTACGTTCGTTGGGGACCGTACCGGACCAGCGGAGGGCGACCCGGACATCAGACTGCTTGGGTCGACGTAGGGGTGGGGGAGCCACGACGCGATGGGCGGAAGACGGGGGGAGGGGGTGTTGAAGCCGGGCGACCTCGAGGTGGCCTTTTGGACGTTGAAGGGCACAGGCGAAGGCTGCTCCTCCTCGGCGCCGTTGCCGAGCCCGTGCTCGTCGTCCCCGCCGTACGACTCGTCCTCGTCCTGGCGATGATGAGGGCGTTTCGGCCTGGGGGAGTTCGCTGGGTCTACGACGTCCATCGCATCCTCGACGTGCTTGCGCTTCGTCGCGGGTGGGGACGCGGGGAGTGAAGACGGACGTTCCGTGGGACGGCACTGCGCGCACATCGTGCCCTCGAGCGCCTTCACGCGCGAAATGAGGTCCTCCATGTACTCTACCGCCTTCACAAGCACATCGAGCTTGAACTCCTTCTCCTCCGTCTTCCCCTTCCCCTTCTTCCCCTTTCCGTCGTCCTCCTTCGGGTCCTCGCTCTGGCCAGGCCCAGCTGGAACGACGCTGCCGCGGTCATTTACAAGGGTGCTCAGCGTTGCGAGCGTCTCGTTGATCTTGGTGCGTCGTGCCTTCTCTATCTTCGAGTGGTTCAGCTTCCGGAGCGATTCGCGCGCAGTGCGGGACATAGTGCCAGGCTTGCGCCCGCGTCGTTTCGGAACGCTGGTGGACTCCCTGTCCGGGTCGTACTCGTCCTCCTCAGAGCCCGAGTCCGACGCGGGCGACGGCGGGATGTGATACTCCTTGTCAACAACCTGAGGCTGCTTGGGGAGGATAGGCGGCCGCGGCGCGCGACGTTGTTGGGGTTTATCGGCGGACGACGCGAGACCCTGGAGGGCACCCGGCCGGTCCAGCTCGGTGACCGAGCCCGCGTGGTGCCGCTTAGCGCGGCGCGGCGGGTTGCAGCTCGCAGCGTAGGCAGTCGGCGCGTCCTTCGTTGCAGACATCGGTGGTTCGCGTCGGGCGGGGCGGGGGGCAGTGGGGGGCACACGACAGTCGCTCGGGCGGCCTCGCGAGACATGTGTATGCATATATAGCGCCCCCTGCGAGCGAAGCCAGCGCGTCCGTGGGCGATCTGCCCCTGCGGACGCCCCCTGGCCGACAAATGGTCGTGTGCGCTCGCGCTGCCCAGCAACGTGCGCGTCGCACGACCATCCCCGCGCGCCCTGATTGGCCCGCGCCCATGCACGTGTGGCGCCCCCTCCCGTCAGGCCCGAACGGGAAGGCAGAGTCGTCGCACCAGCCCCGTTCTTCGAGCGTCCGTCGGCGCCCCCGCGGTTCCGCAGGACGCTTCGGCGGTGTTGTATCACACATCAGCAGAGGGGCGGTGTCGCGGCCGATATCAGCTACAGATGGTGCGGGCGACCGTGTGTCGCGTTTGCGGTCGTGTGCAGCGCACCTCGTTCGGGCGACGGCGACCTCCCAGCTCGTGAGCGCAGATGACGGCGCAGCTGCGAAGGCGCAGGCTCGAGGGGAACCACAAACGTGGGAGCCCGGCATGGGAGAGCTCGCGCACGGAAGAGGCAGCGCGTCCTTCCAGACGGAACAGTTGTGAGCTAGCCGCGAGGCCGGACTGCCTCGACCCCGCACCCAAAGCCCGCGAATGCATTGCTTCCAGGATCCGGCGAGCGTCTTACGGATTGCGCAAGGGGCCGCAGAAGGTACCCCAACGGTGGCGGCCAACGAACCGCTAGGGCATGATAAGGCGGACGAACGTGTTTTGCTCGGGCTGGGATTAGGCGTGCGATGTGGGCGCATCGCTGAGCAAGAGGTTGGACCTTCTTGGTCTATCAGAACCCTGCACGTATCATGGGGTCGACGGTTACTCTCGCAGATGCTTGTAGCATGTGCTGTGTGGTCTTAAGAGGTTGCCAGGCGGTGTGAGCGATCGAGTAGATGGCTGCCCAAGAGACGCGTGCACTGTAATGCCACCCTTGTCCAAGCAGAAGCAACATTCGTCTGTTCTTTTTTTGTCTTCGAACACCGTTTATCGCCTGAGAGGGCTTGGCCCTATGGCAGACCCCAGTATGTCTTCGCGAAGCGCAATGGCTCGACTGCGACACGCAATTGATACGGCCAACCTTTGTCTGGCAAACTCAAAGCTCGCGCCCAGTTACGAGCACGCGCGAGTACCTCTCCTGGTCGGGTGGAAATATCAAAATTGCCTCTCTTGTGCATCATCCAGTAATTAACCGTCGAGGCATGATCTAGTACGGCAGACCGCTACCCCATCGGCAAACCTCCGCACAAGTGGTTATCGTCATTCCGTCCTTCGAGGCGTAACGCCCGTTATGTTCTCCCTATGGTTAGGCGAGTCCTGATACAAGCTTCGCTCGACCTCAACACGTACAATCTGTCTCGCACCACGCCATCCTCATAGAAGTTCCTAAAGGAACACTCCGGGATATCCAATCTGGGAAAGAGATGGTGCAGAAACGCGGCCAGCGAATGCGCTTCGCTCAGGGAGAGACATCGCCCGACTTCAGCCGCCACGCCGGGAGCCAGCACCAGCCGCCGCACGGTGCTGTCCCCAGGGTGCCGGGGCTTAGGCAGCGTATACGAGGGAATGTCGCCATCCGTGAGGACAGCCAAATCCAGGCTGACCAGGTGCGGACAGAGCGTCGCAAAATGGACCAGCGAGTGCAGCGTCGCGAAAGAAAGCGGGCCCGATACGTGACGGTGGTGTCGCAGCTCCAGGTAGTGTATACGGGGGAGACCCGCCGCCACGGCGTGCATGTCGTCGTCCGCGGAGTACTCCGCAGGTAGGGAGGGGAATGGCCGGCCGTGCAGCTTGAAGCACAGCGTTTCCAAGCGCTCCAGCGCAAAGAGGGGGCCGAGCAGGTCTGCCATAGGCGGGAGTACCGAGCTCTCGATACCGCCAGACACGCTGTACCGCGCGTTTACGCTCAGCGTGCGCAGATGCGGGGCGAAACGCGCTTCTGCGATGTCCCGCACGCACCCGGAGAGCACTGTCACGCAGTCTTGGGCGTGGTCAGGCGAGAAGCGCTGTCTCATCGAGAAGCGCAGCTCCTCCAGACAAGGGCACGTCAACGCAGAGGGCAAACTGGCGACTGCGTCCCATGTGCCGGAGTAGACGAGATGGCGAAGCCTCGGCGCCAGGGGGTATGCGGTGGCTCCTCGCCATGGATCCAGTCGGAGTGGGATACTGTGGACTGAGGGATTTCCGATATGCAAATGTTCGAGCCGAGGAAGCGCGCAGATGAGCCTATCTACCAAGGTCGCTTCGAGTTGAAAGGAATTCAAGATCTCGGAGACAGTCAGCTCGAGAGTCTTCAATCGCGGCAATGCGACGAGGCCGGCGATGAAAACTGGTATAGTCTTGCGTGATTGTAGGAGGGCGGAGAGGGGAAGAGTAGCCCTTTCCAGGGATGGGAATGCCTCCGCTACGGCGCCGCTGAGCCTGAAAAGGTCGGAGAGAGGGATGTCGATGTTAATAGCTGTATTTAGAATAGACACGACGGGGGAGGCAATCAAAGCCAGAGTAGAAAAGGGTGCGCGTGTTGGACCCACGTCCGACGTCCGACCACCGATGGAAAGCGCACGAACAGACGGCAGGATTGTGCGTCCACCATTGCATTTGACCAAGACGCGAAAACGGTCGCTATCAAGTTCCCGGAGTTCCAGTTTGCGCACTATACGGATGAGGGATGTATAGCGAAGGAAGCGCGTCCATGCTGCCTGCGGGGGATTGAACTGTACATGTACCGACGTAGTGTCAGCACATCGTACATCCCAGTCAACAAGACAAAGGACCGATATCGATGCACTCACACTGACAGTATCGCCGGGTTGTATGGCTCCAGCCACAAGGAGGGAGTAGAGAGGTTCCAGGCTAGGAATGTCGTGCCATGTTACCGCGGCCGCGGAGTGAAAGAACGCATGACACACAAGCGCAACATGGTGGGATGCGCGATACCTCTCGGGAAGCGTCCATGAGTAGAATTCCTGCAAGACTTGATCCAAGATTTCGGTGCACCGCAGAGCGCGATGACAGGCACTACTTGTCTCTGGACTAGACTCGGAGGGTGGAGGGTACGAGGTAGCAGCATGATCTAGAGTGGCGTTGCTGTAGATGTAGTCCATGGGCACAGTGGTGGAGGAGTCCCAACGATGCACATGTCCTGGTGATAGCGAGCACAACAACAGACAAAGATGTTTACTACGTTGTATGCGATTGGGCGCCTGATCAACCTAGTAAGTATGTACAAGTCCGAGTGCCTGAAGAGGGAAGTGAACGAACATACTTACTTGACCACAGTTTCATTACATACCAGAGGATATGCGGCAGCTTGTGTCTCGGGTTTCGTTGCCGTCTGCTACTCGTTTTTCCGAGCCTCCGGGTCCCGTTGTAGGAGGCCTATCTCGTCTTGCACGACAGCGCTTTTCGCAATGTCGTCGGCGAAAACGCACGCAGCAACATCCAGGTGCGGGAACAGGCGGTGTAAACACGCGGCAAGCCGTTTTGGTTCCGTCGCCGGACTAGAGTCCCCCAGATGCAGTATCCGCAGGGCGTCGCACTGCACGGGCCCCTCGCCGGGGAGCGCGCTCGGGATGGCGGAGTTGAGATCCACCTGCGACAAGGACAGGCTCACGAGTTGCGGGCAAAGCGTCGCGAAGTGGACCAGCGAGCGCAGAGTAGGCGGAGACTCGAGGGGCACGGGTCTCTCGAGCAGCAGCGCGATGCGCTGCACGCGCCGGAGCGCGACGGCGACGGCGCGCATGTCGCCGTCCGATATGTCGGGCGTGAGGCATCGGAAGCGACGATATAACTCCATGGTGAACGAGACGTCCTCCAAGTGCTCGAGCGCCGAAAGGGGATGCAGGATGTCCGCGAGCGTTCGGCGCTGTGCAGGGGGCAGCTGTCTCACTACGAACGAACCGCTGGCGGGGGCGTGGATAGACAGCCTGCGAAGGTATGGGGCAAAGGGCGCGTCGGAGATCGCCTGCACGCACGCACAGAGCGTGACGTGAGATGCAGAACCTTTGGCGGGTCGTAGGGCTATATGGAGCTCTTCCAGGGATGGGCACGAGATGGTGGATGGCAGATCCGCAACGACCTCCCAGCCACCACGACAGACGAGATGGCGGAGTCGAGGGGCCACAACACGTTGTGGCGCAGGCAGCGGTGTCGTTGCAGACCTGCTAAAGTAGGCGTCCAAGTGTTCAAGCTGAGGAAGCGAGGATAATAGCGCTTGTAGATACGATGACCCACCGTGAGAGGCATAGTGCCAGTTCAGTGTGAGATGGCGAAGGTGTTTGAGGGGAATGAGGTCGGCGACCGTCCTCAGAGGATCTTCAATCGTTTCGCCCGTGGATGATATTTTCAGCGAGCAGATACCTGGAAAGGCCTTAGAAACGGTTTCAGCTAATCTACCGTGAAGGAGATCGCGTGAATCCTGCTCGGCCCCATAATGAGTAGGGGTAAGTAGTATCTCTAGTGTGGTGACGGTGGGGGAGGCCAGTGAAGACAGAATAAACATGTGCGCTGAATCCAAGACACCACCGAGCCTTAGATTGAGTTCCCTTAGTGACGACAGGAAGGAGCGTCCATGACAACGCTTGAGGAGCAGGGTGATGAGGTCTCTTAAGGGATCCTTTTGGGAGGTCTTCGTATGGACAAGTAGGCGGAGTCCACGGACAGAATCGGCGTATTGTAGAAACCTCCCCCAGGTGTCGGATTGTGTGCCAGGTAGATCAGCTTCCTGGATCTGCAAGATATGGATTATGAGACATGTCAGCCCCAGCAATCAGAGCCTCTTCAGAATTTTGACACTTGGGTACTAGTAACTCACGGAAAAAGGGTGGAGTGCGTACTGGCCCCACTCAGGAGAAGTCGACAGGCTATCCTTTGGGACGTCTACAAGGATTCGAAACAGAGGCCATAGCCCTTGTAGATCGCTCCAAAGAGTGGCAGTCGCAGGATGAAGAAATGCACGACATGTGAGTGCGAGGTTGAGTAGAGACCGGCGCCCGAGGGCGACATCCCATGAGATGATTTCCTGCAGAACCTGGTCTAGTATGTCCGCACATCTCAACGCGCGATGACAGGCACTGTCCAAAGTGTGTGTGGAAGCAGAGGAGGATGACATGATGGTCGAAAGCTAGCAGCATCCGACTCAATTCTGTGCCTCATGCGACGTGCGACATTCTTGCCGGTGAGCCGTGGGCGCTAAGTCCCGGGCTGCTAATAGCAGCCTAAGCCGCTCGCCGCTGCCCTCTCTCGACTCCTCTCATCGCCATGAGTCGGGCTCCAGCAGGTTCGTGAAGTGACAATCTGCGGTCAAATATATCGTCAAAAAACCTACATTTTTCTCTCTGACGCATGACGCGCTTCGTCCTTTGGCCTTCGCGGCTGACAGACACAACTTCCTCCGTGTATACTTACCCCGCATTTCCCATTCGTGACACTAGTACCTTGGTCACTGCTTAGTGCTCCAAGCCAGCCTATCTATTCCCAAAACTATATATTAGCCAACGTGCATATACCTTGTGGCTCTATGGTATAGTATATCCTAAGTAGCCTCCGGCCAAGCTAACATCTCATGCGGTAACGGTGCCACATTGCTCCCGAAGATTGCAGGCAAAGGGGGAGGCGTTCAGAGCTTCGCAGACGGTTTCTGCGCCTGCGCGCGCAAGGCCTTGCTCTGGTCGCGCAGCACCCGCCGGAGGATCTTCCCGCTGGGGCTCTTCGGAATTGCCTCGATGAAGATAACGCCGCCCGTGAGCCACTTGTACTTTGACTTCGTCGCGGAGACGTGCTAGCGCAGGATCCTTGTCAGCGTCTCTCTCCAAGCCAGGCGGTGTAGTGCATCGCGCATACCTTTTGCAAGCGATCCTTGACCTCCTCCACGAGCCCGGGCGTCTTCGCGACCTCTGCAGCGACGGCGGGCTTGAGGACGACGTACGCGAGCGGCGCCTCCCCCGCGAAGTCGTCGGGGATGCCGATCACCGCGACGTCCGCGACGTCTGGGTGGTCGAGCAGATGGCCCTCTAGCTCCGAAGGGGCGACCTGGTTGCCTTTCACCTTAATGAGTTCCTGGCGTAGTGCGGAGGTACGGGTCAGGGTATGCCGGAGGCTAGATGGAAACGGGTGCGGCGAACCTTGATACGGTCCGTGACAAACATGTCGCCGTTCTCGGCGAAGAGCACTTCGTCACCGGTCTTCAACCAGCTGGCGAAAAGATCAACAAAATACGCTAAAGACAAATGGACATAGGACCGACTGACCCATCGATGAAAGTTTCGTTTGTGCTGTCGGACTCGTCAGGACCGCCAAACAACGACTGACAGTGGTGGCAACTCACGCTTGCTCGTTGTGGTAGTAACCCAGCGCGATCTGTGGGCCTTTGAGCAGCAGCTCGCCCGGCTCCCCGACGCCCGCGAGGGAGCCGTCCGGCTTGACGACCTTTGCGGTGATGCCAGGAACGAGCTGCCCCGCGCTTCCGAGCGTGCCGACCTTCTGCGTGATAGGATACTGAAAATGTACTGTAAGTATGCCTACGTCCACAAATCCGACGACATGAGACGTACAACCGTGACCGCTGCGGTAGTCTCCGTCATGCCTGAATACATCGTGTGTGAGTACACGTGCAGCACAAGTCTTTTTGAAGTACTGACCGTAGCCCTGGCCGATGTGTAGCTTGGGGAACGCCTCTACGAGCTGCGTGGTGAGCTCTGCAGACACGGGTGCGGCGGCCGCGACGATCACACGCAGTGTAGAGAGATTGTACTTCTTGGTAGCAGGGTGCTGTATAGATAATGAGCACAACTGCGTTGTAAAAATCGGCGGCGTAGCTTACCTTCACAAGGAGAAGCGCTTGTGGGGGGACAATACTGTCTGAAGGTTAGCCTGGGCATAGGCGGAGGTGATAAAATACACGTACAGCAAGTGTGTGATGCCGTAGGTATCGATGTTCTCGAGGAATCGTTCGTAGTTGAACTTTGCAGACACGACGACGGTCATCTACGGCGAGCCTATGTCAATATATGGCATATTTTAACGTGGCAGTGTATCATACGCACGGAGACGTAGAACATGGCGTGCAACTGTGGCAGAGCCTTAGTGAAAAATATTTTGACAGGGACGTAGCGGGGGACTCACGTTGACCACCAACCCATAGATATCTTCCATGACCATGAGCCTGCTGTCGTACAACAACAGGGAATGATCTTAACTCACGACTGAAAGGCAGAACTATAATAATATCAGCCTTTGAAGAATAATACATAGTAAGATAGCCCACCTCCAGAAACCACATCTCCTGGACGAAACCGCCGCTCTTCCGGAGGCGCGTGATTTTGCCCTTGACCAGCAAGGGTTGCGAACTGGATCAAGTCGCTTATCACATTGTAGTGCGAGATGGCCACCGCCTGGACGCCCACAAGTAGAACTTAGCTCAGGACTCGGCCTAGGACAGGACCGTGACGAGGCGTTTCTCGCACGCACCTTCGGCTTCCCGGTTGTCCCGGACGAGAAGCACAGGAACGCAATTTTCTCGCGGGCCTGCCCGGGCTTCGTGAACTTGTACTCGACATATGGGGGAAGCGTCTTGTCATTGACGAGGTCTTCGACGGTCTTGAGGGCAAGCTTCTTGGGCGCCTTGTGTCCGTCGAGCACGATAATGCGCGAGTGCGGCAGCTTGACGGCGTTCGCGGCTTCGATGGCAGCGGGCAGGTTCTCGACGTATGCGACTAGGAAAGAAGGCTTAGCGACAGTTAGTTGGTAGGCTGTAAGGTACGGTCAGCGTAGCTCCTGTTATAAAGAACGATTCGCCCACCGAGTTCTTCAGAAGTCAACGAAGCGCTCAGTGCCCTGGGTGAGGTTAGTCGGAAGTTCAGTGCACAATTCTATCAGCGTGCGACGTACGCCACAATGCCGCCGATTTTCTGCGTTGCCCACGTCAACGTGGGGTAGTCTGGGTATGAATGAGTATCAATCATTACCGTACAGGGTGCATTATTACGTACCGACATGGTTTGGAATATAAAGGGAAACTACGAAGACAGACGGTGAGCACAAAACATTAGCGTTTAATGAACGCCGTGGGTCACAAACCAATGTCCCCATCACCTAGCGAGAGTTCGACTCGTGAGCAATGCAGCCACGGGCAGTGGTGCTGGGCATAACGCACCAATGTTCCAAAGAGCGCTGAAGGCCCTCGCCAACGCGTCTGTTCGATATTGAAGCTACATACGACTCAGCAAACGAATGTCACTTCACAGCTGCACAATGAGACGCGTACTTCCGAGAGATACACCTTCCGGCCCGTCTCCTCCTCGATCATGCACGGAAACTTGCCGACATCCGCCGACTTAGTCGGGTGCTCAAACGTCTCGCTGAATACGAACTGAGGGATGGTAAGGTCATCGCGGGGCTCCACGTAAGGGATGGGCGACTGAAAGAGCGTCATGGTGGCAGAGAGACGACGGTTGCAGGCTAAGGGGTGACCGCAAGGACGAGGGTTAAGTTGTGCGAGAGTCGAGACCGAGAGCCGCGGGGTTACAACCGGGTCCGGTAAACCTTCGCGGTCTTGTGGCGCGGTCGTAATCACGGTTGCGCCTCGGCCGAGGGGTACCCGCATGCAAGGAACGACCGCGAGCGGTCCTCGTCGTCAACCTCGTCAACCGTCTTTGCAATCTGCCGGCGACGGCTTCGACGCTCGCGCAACATCGCGGACGCTTTCTGAAAGTTTAAGCATGGCAGGTGTCAGCCTGTGTTGTTTTTGCAAGGCCAGATCGGTTCGGAGCTATGTTTTGCATGCATCATTGGTTCAGGCCGGCGACTTCTAGTTACCGACGTACTCTTTAAATGACGTCTTTCCGGTTGTTCGAGAACTTCGAGGTCTGGAGTCCCTTCATCCTATATGTATTCATTCCATAAGACAGATACTCGCCGACGATGAGGTTAGTTGATGAGATTATGCCGACATATGGAGATAGATTTTGAATCGAGCCGTTGCGTTGTGGCCTAGAACTTGGGGAAATCTGCACGGCAGTGATGACAGCCTTGAACTGACGGACTTTACAAAAAGGAAGTGAATATTCCGCTCTAGATGATACGCAATGAGGGAACGTCGGACGTGGTGGTTCGGAGTAAATGTCGAGTTTGATCAGCTCTCATCTTTCTGGACGGAGCACACAGAGAAAAAAGTGGCCAACGCCGGGATCGAACCGACGACCTTGGCGTTATTAGCACCACGCTCTAACCAACTGAGCTAGTCGGCCAATATTTAACTGGTTGAAGGTAACATCCCGATTCAGGTTTGCTACCGCACGTCGATCCGCTTGACATAGTAATACCTCCTTGAAGCTTGCAGTATGGGATAGAGCTTTGGTCTCGTTACCTACAGCATCTGAGATACATTCCCGAGAGCATAAATGAGACAGGATATAGTAGGCATGACTAGAGTGTACCGTTCCAAAGACGGTGTGTCGACGCTACATCGTCCTTCCTAAGTACTGCTCCCTCCTCCTCGGTAGGGCCTCTAAGTTCCCTCTCGGCGACTCCCGATTGCAATATGCTATATGTACTGCAATGCGATTTGGCCGTCTGTGCTCCTCGTAGCAGAGCCCGTTGTGAGGGCAAGCAAGCAGGTTGACCTGGATGCCTTGTAGGGCACAATGGCGGCGAGGTTTAGGAGAATGCGTCGAACGCATAGCGGATAGTTCGCACGTCGACCTATGGTTCCTTCGATCCGCCTCGACGGGGCATGGCGTCCGGCGGATTGGAGTCAGGCTCCCGGACAGCAATATACGGCCCTTCGAGAGGGCTCCCCCACGGAGAATCCTGCAAGCCCCAGAGTCTATGTCAGCACTGTTCTCAAAGGGTTTGGATGAGCGGCTGAGACTAGACATACCGTGAGGCCGCTCTTCAAGTGCCGGTCCAAAATGCTGCCCAAAGTGCTTGGTTTCTGCGGGCCTGGCGGATTAGACGGTCCCTCGGAGCTCTCATCCTGTTGCGATTGCGAGGACGCAGAAACGGGGCGCGAGAGTCGCTGGAGGGCCTGCGTAAACGATAGCTGGACCGCCTTCTCCTTCTTCGTAGGCTCCGGGGGAGGTTTGGACGGAGGAGGTTTGGGCGGACGTGGTAAGGGAGGTTTCTCGGAGCGTAGCGGGGAGCGTGGCAGAGGGTCCCTCTCAGAGCGTAGCTGGGGAAGCTTCTCAATGTGCGGCGGAGGGAGCCTGTCAGAGCCCGGTGGAGGGAGCCTCTCGGAGCGTGGCGGGGGGAGCCTTTCGGAGCGCAGAGGGGGCAGCTTCTGGGAACGTGGTGCCCTCACGGCTACCTGCTTCATCTTCGCCCACTGCATCTCGAGTCGCGTTCCGGTGGCTGCTATCATCTCGAGAGCGTCGCGGAGGCTGGGGATGAGTCGTGTATAGGGCATGTTGTACACTTGATCATATGGGTGGATGATGTACACCCAGTCTACCAGCATCTACGCGTGAGTCTTACTACAACAGAGTATACAGGAGAAAATGGGGGCGCGCAGCGAACACAGGCTACTCACTAGGCATGATCCACGCATCCGGGGCGGCTGCTCCTCTGAACACGACCTTCTCTTTGCCCTTCGGTCCCTCCACATCGGCACCGCGCGTAACAATGAGCGAGACGACAGTCTTGATCTTCCGCAGTATGTCCTGGCGCACTACATGTCCCCCAACGTCCCGCGGGGCGACATCGAGCAGCGACATGTTCACGCTCCGTCCCCCGCCGTCGCCCCTGCTGAGTTTATACGGCGGGCTCGGGAAGGGCGTCGTGGGCTTTTCGAGTACGCCGTGTGGTAGCGCACGCAGCTTGAATCCCGGGTAACAACGCCATGGGAATGCGCGCAGAAATTCTGGGTTGCGGTAGCCAAGCGCAGGGTGGGTGGGGTCGACGGCGAAGTTCTGCGGAAGCGGTTTGTGCGCGTGGACGACGCGGTAGATGCTGCCTGGAGTGGTACGTCTGAACTGTTCAGGGCGTGCTGTGAGCACTGCAAGAGGCATGACGACGGTGTATACGCACATTAATCGACCTAATGCCCTCCGTAAGTTTTGGGAGACGGCTGATCTCAGCGCATGACGGCTGGCGCATTGCTGAGCGAGACCAGAGGATACTTCCCTCGAATCAAACAGAAACAACCCGTTTGCAGTTTGGACAATCCGGAGACGAAATTCAGACCATGAGTGAGCAATACATGATGAGGGAGTAGAGAGAAGAGTGACACGCTCCTTCCGAGTCCGTGCCAGTCGGAAGCCGCCCGGCCTTCGATCAGCTGGGCAAAATGCATTAAGGGGGAATCGAACCCCCGGCGGGTCGATGGCAACGACCCAGGTTACCACTACCCCATTAATGCGGTGACGGACTGACCTCCGCGAGCGTCTCCACCTCCTCAGAGAAGAAATACCGCCATGAAGCTCAAGTTCACTGCGGACGCATGCCCCGGTACCGTCTCATTCCAGCGTCGCGGGTATCCATACGTACATATACAAGTACACAACGAAAGCATAGATCAAACCCCGCATAGCCTCACGCTCGCCCAGCCCTCGCCCTCGTGGCACGCGTCTTCGGCACCGGTTGCGCCTCCTCCTCTACCTCTTTCACGCTGGACGCCGCCGCCTTTCGCGCGCCCTTGCCCGCCGCACGCACTCGCGCCGCCGGAGCTTTCGATTCCTCGTCGTCCTCACCAGCCTCTGGGGTGTTCTCTTTGTCTTCGGGAATAGCAGCCTCCCCGCCTGCAGTAGGAGTCGCAGCAGCAGCCGCGCCCCGCGTCCGCGTGCCACTGCGCCCAGCCGTACCCGTAGTCGAGGGCGTAGCATGCCGTGGTACAGGCGTACGCCGTGCGCGTGTAGCCCGCGCCCCGGTTGCAGGCCCCGCATCTTGTCCCTCGGAGGGCAAAGACGGCTCGACGTCCTCCTGTTTTACCGCGCCCACCGGAATCTTGCTGCGTGTCCCACGACGTACACGGGCAGCAGCGGGTGCTGACGGCTCCTCCTCCGCAGGCGTGCCAGCGCGCGGCAGCGAGTCCAGTGGGTCGTCCTCGTTGTCCTCCTCGGGGACCTCAATGGGTTTCGCGCGTGTGCCACGGCGGGCGGGGCCGGCCTTTGTGGTGGTAGTAGGCGTCTTCGCGCGCGTCTTACGGGCGGGCTTGACGTCGGCGGTGTCGTCGGTGTGCGACGACGTAGATGAGTCGGTCGTCTGGCGGCCACGGCGCGTCGCGCGCGCTGCGGTAGTAGGTGGCTGATCCCTGTCCTCCTCATCCTCCTGAGGCTCGGGCGTAGCAGGCTTCTTCTCCGCAGCCTTGCCTCGGGTTGCTCGAGGAATCTGTAGTCCACAATCAGTTATCCGTAAAACGTGTCCAGAATGCTCCATACATACCTGCCCAACCTCGCCATCAGCGGTGCGCGCCCTTGTACGGCGCACCGCACGACCAGTCTCAGCGCCGGCATCCTCCGTTGGCACGGACTCCTCCGGCACTTGCGAGGAAGCGCGAGTGCTCTTCGCAGGAGCCGACTGTGCGGCCGCAGCGGGCGTACGTCGTGCGATCCTGCTCGTACCAGGGGCCTTCCGTCCTCGTGTGCCCCGCGCGGGAAGAGATTCAATAGGTTCCTCCACTTCTTCCGGCACTTCAGATTGCGGCGCCTCTGCAGGAGGCTCCTCCCGAGACGAGCGGCGTTCAGGGGAAGCAGGACGCTGCGTCGTCGGCGTGCTCAGCATCTCCTTGACACCCTCCATCCGCGGGGTCTCCGTCGGGCCCACGGGTTGTACGCGGAACATGTCGCGCATGCCAGTGAGGGCAGGGGAACTCGCCTGGGCGTGCGCTCGCCCAAACACGTGCCGGAGGTCCGCCATCCTAGGTGTCTGTTGAGCCGGCGCAGGAGCGCTGTTGGAGGCAGCGCTATCGCCCTCCATATCCTCCGCCTCGAGGTCGGTTTCGTCCTCCTCGATAAGGATGCGCGAGGGCGCGTGCGCCGTAGCATGGCCGGGCGCGAGGAGCGAGAACCCGCCCTCGCGCTTGCGCGGGCTGACGTTCAAGCTTTGGCGGCCGAGGCTCTGGCGCTGCTTCATGCCGTCGACCATCTGCTGCATGCGTGCGAGGAGCACGGTCGTGTCCTCCTTCTCGTCGTCCTCAGCTTTGACAGAGGACGATGATGTCTCTTCATTGCCAGCAGCCGACTTAGACTCCGACGCTGCAGCCGGAGGCTCGTTGGGCTGCGCGAAGCTTGGTGAAGGGAGCGGCGCAAGAGACGGGAAAAGCGTGCGGCGCGAGCCGGGCGTTTGCCCCTTGAAGAAGTTGTCGGGGGTCGCGAGCGCCGAGCGTCGGCGTGCGCGGATAGCCTGTTTACGCTGGAGCATGAGACTTCGTAAATATACAAAGGCGAATAATACGTACCTCGCGTTCTTCTTCACTGAGCTTCTCTCGCTTGGTTGGCGAGCGAGGGGTGGACGGTGGGGCGAGTGTGCTGGATGAGGGGACACTGCTTTCTTCCTCTTTCACGGGGTTCGGCACTTCAATCTCGCTCACTTTCCATGGTGCGACGACACGAACACGGCGGGGCCCGGTGTCGGCCCCGTGGCCGCCCAGAGACATGCGCGCCTCCCTGACAGACATGGTCCTGGGGAGCTGCGGTGTCATGAAGTGACCAAGAGGGCGCGGAGGCTCATTTGACTCGTTGTGCTGTTCATCGTGGTCATCATCAAACTCATCATCTTCGTGTACGTCTTCGTCATAGTTCCCTTCGTCCTCGTCCTCGTCACTTTGGATGTCGTCCATCCCTTCGTGGTACTCTTCTGTGTACTGATCGTCGTCGTCTTCGGCTTGATTCAAGTCTGTCTCTTCCTCTTCCTCCTTCGGCTGTCACCGGTCAGATATATGTAATTGTGAGGCTGAAAGGGAGCATACCTCTACAGAGAGCCCTCGGAAAGCCCAGCCAAGGCTGCCCTTGACCAAGTCGAGGCTCTTCCGCCACCCCGTAACTTGCTTCTGTCCGTCCGGCGGCGGTATCTCCTGCACATCGTCATCGTCCTCTTCTCCTTCAGCAATCGCCGCGATAGTCTCTTCAACCTCCTCGACCTCGTGCTCTTCCTCCATCTGCATCTCGCGCTGAATAGCCACGCGCTGTGCCGACCGAATCAGTACCGCACGGTGTAGCGAAGGGCGTGGTCGCCGCCGAACAGGTGTTTGAAGGACTTGTTGAGCGGAGGGGAGAGGAAGGGGGAGGACGGGCTCCGGCTCCGGTTCGACTTCGTCGAGGATGACCAGGTCCTTATCCTCTTCCACGACGCGAGGCGTGTCACTCTGTACGAGCACAATCTCCTCGAGCTCGCGCGCAAACGGCGTGCGGAGCGGGGTTTGCAGCACGCGTAAGTTCTCCTCAGGGTTAGGACTTGGCCCAGGGGTAAAGACGTGCGCGCTCGCGATCATAGAAAGGCGCAAGGGCCGACGCGCGGGAGTGGCTCGCGAGGGTGTGTTAATAAGAGCAGGGCGAAGGTGTTTTGGAGGGTAGCTAAAGCGGAAACGTTTCTTGTGGATGTCGATGACAGAGTTGTTCTGCAACGGCACGGTCGTGGGTCCGGGCGCGTTCGCTGCGGCGGGGAATAGAGGGTCATCGTCCAGCAGAAGTCCGTTCGTACCGAGAACTACAAGAAACGCCTTGCGGTCCACGAAGGTGATCTTAGCATGCAAGGCGGAGACAGCGGGGTAATACAAGCGGAGAGAGCAAGACTGGTCGCGTCCGATAGTGAGTTCCTCGTCGTCGATGGGGTAGGACGTTACAATAAATTCAACGGGCAGACGGCGCAGCAGAGAGAGCGTCCCGTATCGGCCAATGTCGGTGGCGTTCATTGTCGCGTCGGAATGCCCGTCCGGCAGAGGAAGGTGGCGGTCGGGAGAAGGTCGCGTTCAGGGACAAGTTCAACATCCACACGCCTATAGCCACTCCCGTGACCGCGACGCGACGGGGAGCGCCCGCGCGACGAGAATTGCCGCTCTGACCCAATCAATAATGGCCGACTAGCTCAGTTGGTTAGAGCGTGGTGCTAATAACGCCAAGGTCGTCGGTTCGATCCCGGCGTTGGCCAGAGTTTTGTGCCTCGTTCGTCATTTATATCCTCCCGCCTTATGTAGCCAGCTCTTTCTCGGAGCTGTCTTGGTCTGTAGCTGACATTCTTGATGAGTTTCAGCGGCTCATTGAGTGGTGCGTGGACACAAGTGGAGCCTGGCAGCGGACCCACATCACGAAACATGACTTCCCACGACCACGCTACGACCACTCTCCGGGGCCACCTGTAGTTAAACACGAGCGCCCATACAAACCCCAACGTTATTCCAACTAGGCTTCAAGGGGCAAAGTCCTCTCAGGACCTATATCCAATGGCCAAAACCGCACATTCATCGAACATGAATTCCCCAAGCAGATGCCCAACACCCCGATTGGGCTGGGGTTGTAAGCCTCTAGCGACAGCATCGTCAGCATATTATTAGTTATTGCGACCCAGTAGGAGATTGATCCCCAGTGTAAGCATGCCACAATGTCGGCGGCCGCGCAGATCTAGAGATTGATATAGGTTTGAGACTCAGAAGTTCGCAAAGAGACAGCACAACGATACATTGCCCAAGAAATCCTAGAACTCTGCGGACGACAAAGGATCAATCTCAGAGCACAATCACCGTGTATGGAGTACGTAGGGATACAGCAGTCGGTCATGTACGCAGCCAAGCCGTCTTCGCCAGTTTCTTCTGCTTCTTCTGGTCTTTGTAGCGCTCCTGAAGATACTATCAATATGTGGCCAACATGGAGTCTTCGTATAAGTACTCACGATGTCCTTTTTCGTCGGACGTTTGCGCTTCCGGCTCTCCTCCTCCTGTGCCTCCTGGAGCTTACGCATTTCCACCTCGCTCTCCCACGCGTTGACGTCGAAGTAGAACTCGCTCATCCGCTTCGACCGCTCAAACTCGGACAGATGCGATGGGTCGCGGGCGTCCGGGCGCGCAAACGCTCCTGTGCGGGCGTTAAACTTCGCGGTATAGGTGTTTGCGCCGGGTGCGGCGCTTCCCCCGGCCAGGGAGGGGTCGAGATGTGCGAGGGCGGGGTCAATGCCTAGCGCTGCCGCTGCCGCGTAGATATCAACTGCTGAAGAGGGCCCTGGGGTGGCCTCAGACGTCGACGAGGCGGGCGCCGCGTTAGACGGTCCGGCTTCCGCGTTTGGCTGCTCCAGGGGGTTCACCCAGGTCGTCTCATGGGTGACTGAGTTGTAGAAGTAGTACGCGCTGTGCTGGGGCGACCATACAGCCTGCCATGTTCCTGAGGTTGCTGAAGGGGTCGCTGAGGATGTTGCAGGCTGAGGTTCGGCAGAGTGGGAGGCAGAGGCAGCGCCTGTGGCTGAGGGAGAGGTAGACGTCGCGCGCGAAGGTGAGGCCTCTTCGTCCAACGCAGCTTGCGACTTCTCTGCAGCATGCTCTGGAGGCTGAGACCCGTCTTTGGGAGCCGGACTTTCGTCGTGCTCGGCATCGTGAGCAGCAGGAGAAGCAGAATCTTGTGCAGGGGAGGAGGAGCGAGACATGGTCACGGTAGAGGAGCAAGCGCAGTTCAAACTCCGCTCTGCCGTAGCGCGTCCAAGATCGGAAGGAAGCCGGTGGGCCGCGGCCTCTCCTGCTCTCCTCCACACACGACCACCATCTCGCCTCAGGACATTCACGTAGGTATCGGTTACGGGCGCAGGACAGTGGATGTGTGTGTCTACTCTGCTAACAAGCATTATTCCAGGCACACACCGGCTTCTCCCGCGACCCCGCAATCAGTCCGCACGAAGACCCACCAGATACTGTACCGGAGTCTCTTCAACTGGAATTAGCATCGTCTCGGACCCTCTACTGCTCAGGGACCATACGCTGCAACTCGAATCAGGGCCATCGTATCAGAACCTTCTCCTCCTTTGTACGCTTGCGCAGATCGACCATGACTTCTCCAGAGGAACGCCCGCACTACATCCCTCTACCCCCGCCTCTGCGCTCTGCGATGAAACACTCATCGCGGCCTAGCACGCCCAACTCAATACCGTCTTCGTCTCCAAACCTCCGTGCATCGCCCCTCTCGCCGCCGCTCTCCGGAATCCCACTTGGCTCCCCGGCTCTTTCCTCCTCCACGCTCCCCACCTTCGCTGCGTCTACCCCCGCTTTTCAGACACCATACTCTCAAGGTATTCCTGCGAGCTCCAACGCATCATCTACAGCCGTTACGATGGGCTCCCCAACCACCCCCGCATCACCGCTCATCGCCGCTCAAGGATACACCCCGAAGGTCTCGTTTGACACGCTTGAGAACCCGCAGGCAAGCATGTTCTCGTATACCCTTCACGTGCAAAGCGAAGGGTACGCGCGCATGCGGAGTACGCGTGTCTTCCTCTGCGCGTCGAGTCCGGACGAAAGCGGCCGCCAGGCGCTCGACTGGTGCCTCGAAAGCCTCGTGCAAGACGGCGACGAGCTCGTCGTTTTCCGCGGTGTGGATCCCGATGACTTCGGTACGCTCCCGGTTCTATTTGAAGACATGTATTCCGTGCTTATCCCGATTATAGCTGATAACGACCACGACCAGTATCGTGAGGACGCGCGGGGGCTCATGCACCAGATTCAGGAGAAGTGTGTCGAATATGATGCTGAGCGCAAGCTCTCTATCATCGTCGAGTATATCGCCGGAAAGGTTACACAAACACTCGACCGTCTCATCGCTCTGTATCGCCCCGACTCCGTAGTGGTCGGCACGCGCGGTCAGAGGAGCGTCATGCAGGCATGGGCAGGTGCCTTCGGCGCGCCCGGTGTCGGGAGTGTGTCCAAGTACGTGCCATTTGCACGCGTTGCATGTTCCTGTGCTTTGCTTACGTTCGTGTCAAGATACTGTCTGAGTCACTCGCCTGTACCAGTCATTGTCGTTCGCCCGGAGAGTAAAGTCAAGAAGACGATGGCGAAGCGGAGAGCGAATCCGAAACGTGGACAGCACTTCGACGAGTACGTGTGCTCTGTGCTCTTCTAATCCCTTTCTGCACAAGGCCGCTGCCCCATTTCTCTACTGGTCTTGCATCGTAGTAACGGAATGACTGACATGCTCCATCAGGCTCACGAAACCGAAGACAAACAACGGCTCTTTGTCCGTACCCATGTTCTCTACGCTCACGCGATAATTCAATGGGCACAGCGTTGCCACTTCGTCGGATGGCTATCTTCCAATTTCCTGTAGTTTCGATTGTCCTTGGGTGTTGCGACGTCGTGCTCCCGCATTCAACGATCAAACTTCGCATTCCAATCCAGACCGCATGCATCTACGATAATCATTACCGCATGGTCGTACTTTATTTGTGCCTGCTCATCCTTATTTTTGCCATTGTGTTGTGTCGGTCTTGGGGTTTTGAATGGACTGTGGCTTGTAGAAACCAAATCAAACTGTACTAGTCTACGCGCACGTTAGGTTCCAAACATAACGCGATTTTGATTCTTGAAAGGAGGCCGCACCTGCAGTGTCTCCCAAAGACCTCAAGGTAGGGCCTATCGAGACGTTTCATTGCTGTTATGGTGCAAGATGTAGGCGGTGTATACAAAAGTGAACGACACAAAAACATATGCATTAAGGGGGAATCGAACCCCCGGCGGGTCGATGGCAACGACCCAGGTTACCACTACCCCATTAATGCCTTATAAGCGCTTGTCTTTAACCATCCAATGATTGCATGCTGCTCCTCTCCTACTCGCACCGATCGGTAAGTACGCGAAGTACGGCTTGCACTTTTAAAACCTCTTCATTCGCTCTCTCATCCTCGCTATGGCTGCCTCGAAACCGACGTCGATATTGTCCAAGCAGAAGGCACCGGCTGCATCCAATGGAGCCCCGGCTCAGCGCAACCAGAGCACTCGGAAAGGCAAACGCGCCTGGCGGAAAAACGTCGACATCGAGCCAGTAGAGCATGGGCTGGAGGGGCTGCGCGCCGAGGAGCGGACAACTGGGTGAGCATCATTTGGGCTTGGTAGTGGCATTCAAGCCTCAACTCTAAGCAAATTTCAGGACCATCTTGCAAAAGAAGACGGATGCGGACCTCTTCCAGGTCGATGTCAAGGGAGACGACATGAGTGCGTTATACAGACATCACGACTCAAGGCAAATCGTCCTAATCATGCCGAACTTCTTCGTGAACAGTCCGGAAGACGCTGCCCAAGTTTTCTGAGCGCGTGCTAACTTCGACGAAAATCCTTTCCGAGCGGTCCGCCGTGCCCGCCATATTCTCGCGCCCCACACCGACCTCAAACGCAGAGAAGCGCAAGGCGCTGGTGTCGCATGAGGACAAGAGCCGGCTGCTCCGGATGGGCAAGCGGCTGCGGAAAGGCCCCTTCAACGCATACGTTGACCCGAATCAGGTCGGGGAGGGGAGCGCGATGCTTGAACTGAGCGAAGCGGCGAAGAAGGCAGGGGAGTACAATGTCTGGGAGGAAGAGGTCGCTGAGACCATCGAAGTCAGGGTGCGTACTGAGCAGGCTTTCGGTTCACCGTTCGAGTCTAACAATATTTCGCATCATAGGCTCCGCAGACGAGTAACCCACGCTCACACATCGCGCTAGCGGCGGTACCCTCGCCTCACGAGGGCACGTCGTATAACCCGCCGCTCACGGCCCACCAGCAGCTTTTGAGGGCGGCGCACGAGAAGGAGGAGCAGAGGATCAAGAGTTTGGAGCATGTAGAGGCGCTCAAGGATAAGCTGCTTAAGGCCCGGGCTCTGGCCCTCATAGAGTCGGTGGCAGCGAACGAGATGGTCCCTGGCATGAAGATAGGCAACGCGGAGGAGGCAGAGGGCGATGAGGACGAGGGAGCGGAGGGTGATGAGCCGCTACCTCCCAAGAAAATGCCCGCCAGGAAGACGAAGCAGCAGAGGCGGAAAGCCGAACGGCTGCGTGCAGAGGTCGGTTATTCTCTTGTCGTCTTTCAACAGATATTGACGCGCTTTCAACCGCAGAAACGAGCATTGGCAGAGAAGGCGGCGCGGAAGCGCATGCTCGCGACGGTCGACTCCGCGAAACTCCTCCGTAAATCGATCGCGCGCAATCTCGCAACGCGGGAGAGACTCCGTATCCAAAGACAGGCGGCGCTAGAGGAAAAGCGCAAGCAGGGCTTGGCGGGTCAGCGGATCGGTAGGCACTTCGTCCCAGAAGGAGCGATCGATGTGCAACTCGGCGACGAGCTTAGCGAAAGTCTGCGCGGCTTGAAGGTTTGTCTTCCTTTGGTATGGCCGGGTCTACTGGGATACTAATTCTTGGCCGCTAGCCCGAGGGGAATCTGTTCAGGGACCGCTTCATCAACATGCAGCACCGTGCCCTCATTGAACCGCACGCGCCAAATCCGTACGTCTACCGCTGCAGCCCTGGACCGAGCTATACTAACGCGCTTTGTAATTCTAGGGCGAAGAAGCCTACGCGCAAAACAAAAGAGTACGAGAAGCACTCGTACAAGCGGTTCGACCGGGACTTCTAAGCGCGCTGCACGTCACTGTGTGGTCGAGCTCGAGCTATACTGCATTTTATGCTCATCGCTATTTCATCTCTCGAGGGCAATTCGGGTGCCCGCTTGTACCTCAATGTACTGCAATCTATGATTGCGGGTCACACTCAATGGTCGTGCTCATAGTACCTCTGTGCCATCACTACCAAGGAACCTTTCAACAAAGTGCCCTGACTCTAGGGCGGCCATCGGTGACACTAAACCGACTACGTCCAAGGAGCCTTGAGAATCTCAAGCCGGTCATGGGCGATATAATTTGATTTATTTTTCATCTACGAGAAGGTACAATGACAAAGAAAATCCAAGTCGCCGTCGCGGCGAGCCGCTGGGAGTCGCCGAGCGAAGTGCCCCTGCCTGGGGATTGCATAGCCCCCTTCTGCGTCACACTCTAGATCGTTGAGGAAGGTTCAAAGGAACCGGAAATAATACGTACACCAGGGCTTCCCACCACGAGCATCAGACCGCGACGGTAAGGTGGAGGATCCAAGGCCCGAACGCAGATTCTGCGGATGACGCAGCCGCAGAATGTGCGTGCTTCCTCCGGCTTCCCAAGGGATGTCCAGTGTGGGACCGAGGATCAAGGTGAGCACACGCTGAGGTCACCAGCGGGCGTCCTGGGGCCCGGGGCTGGGGAGGGTGGTGGGCGTCGCGGGAGGTTCTGAGCATGGATTTTCGGATGGTGGCGTTGAAGGCGATAGAACCGCATGACATCGACGGCCACACGGCAGAAGACATCGAACACAACGTCCGACGGTCTATGTGCACAGGCGTGACGCAGGTGCGCGCGCCGCCGGTGTCCGGGTACAGACGCAGCGTGGGCTAATAGCACCGAGAACTATGTGGCTGGGTGCTGTGCGTGGCGCCGCCAGATTGACCAGGTCATGTAGCCGACGTCGTACAAGTCCAGCGCTGATGGAGCTTAATAGTTCGGGCACTCGCGCGCTGTCTGACTGCGAGATTTGCAGGAGTAGCATCCGATCGAGCCGTGAATATTGTTAGGACTTACCAACTTCCAGGCAAGAGAGAAGACGCGAAGTCAGCTCGATACCACATAATAACCGCGCGAGTGATGATTCTGGGGTTGTGCGTGAAGGCCGGAGTATTGCATAAGAACGAGTGCACAAGTGCGATCTCTTAGACACAGACCCAAAGAGCGGAATCCTGACAGCCAGTACGAAGAGCAAGGGTTTGAGCGCTGGTCGACACCGTCCAGAGCAGAGGAGTATCCATGGTAGAGCAGCTTCGCAGCGCTCAGAAGCATTTCAACGCATACGCGGACACCAGTTCATTGCTGCAATAGGATGCGACGTGCAAGACACAGCGACACGCGTGGTGCATCGACGTCGAGTACAACGTCTCGATTAGGCAAAGCGCCCAATCCAGTATTTGACCGGCAATCTCCGGGTACTATACAGCACCTCTCAGCCACCCGACCACCCTCTAACGGGAACATACTGAACAGCGGCGGCCCACAGCAAGTTCAAGATCAAGGTATGTCGAAATTATGCTCGTTGGCTGTGTCTCTGAGTATACGTGCTGAGTGCATTCATTACAGGCAGCCCTCCCTTGAAGCCACCAAGAGTGAGTTTCCGCTCGCAGATCAGGTTCTCGTGCGGCCCAGCGGAGAAATTGGACTTTGAGCACAAAGGACATGCTGGGATTTTGAGGCAAAGAACGGCGAGGGGAGAGGGGGGCATGGGCCGCACGGGAAAACCAGGACTGTAAGACAGATACTGACCGTATGTTCCCAGCTCAGCAATGGCCCAACGCGTCACTCTCCGCAAGCGCAACCCGTACAACACCACTTCCAACCGCCGTCGGGTTGTGAAGACCCCTGGTGGCAAGCTTGTCTACCACCACATCAAAAAGCTCGCCACCTCTCCCAAGTGCGGTGACTGTGGTATTGCGCTGCCTGGTGTATGTCTTTGGAGGACCGTGAAGGAGGGCGCCCGAGCTGAGTTTTCTTTTCTAGGTCCCCGCCCTGCGTCCCCGTCAGTACGCCACGATTTCGAAGACGAAGAAGACTGTCCGTCGGGCGTACGGTGGCTCACGATGCGGAGACTGCGTTAAGTCCCGGTACGTCCATCACCTCGTCTGGCTATGGGCGCACACTCAACGTCTCGTAGCATCCTCCGGGCATTCCTTGTTGAGGAGGCGAAGATCGTCAAGAGGGTGATCAAGTCTCAGGAGAAGGGCGGCCGCAAGTAAACGTCTCAGGTTTATACGCGGTTTTGTATTCTCTATGTTACGACGGACAGGGCAGACGGGGCTGCCTTTGCCTGCGACTACCTACCTCATCCCGCCACGACGCCATGTCATCGCTCGTTTTCCATCATACATGTGTACTGCTTATCTCGCAAACAAAACATGACCGATGAGGTCGGTATGCAGTCTTGCGCAGGCTTTTGCTCTCCCTCGACTCAGTTGACGGCATCTCCCTGAAGCGCCTGGAGTGCAAACACCAGCAACGCAATTTGTCCGTCGTCCGTGAAGTATCAGCACGTTCGTCACGAGTCGGAAGTAATCTGCGCGCCGTATCCGTCAGCTTGTCTCGTCTCGACCGGCACAGTTCGCGTGCCGCATGCTGTAGACGTTCAGGCAAGTTGCGCATCGACATTTGTTTCCTCCTACCTCCCACTCAGTTGCATCACGATGGCCTCCCGTTTGAGCTCGCGAGAACACTATGCGGACTTGCTGGACAAGTACGATACCTGGCTGTTCGATTGCGATGGCGTCCTGTGGTCGGGGGACAAGACGATCGATGGAGCTATCGAGGTCCTTCAACTACTCCGGCATCATAGTGTGTACTCTCGTCTTGCTTTCGTGTGCCATCAATCAACTACGTTGTGGACCAGAGAAATCCGTGCTGTTCGTAACGAACAATGCGACCAAGTCGCGCGTGAACTACAAGAAGAAGTTCGACTCCCTCGGAGTTGAGGCTCACGTAGTACGTCTGGCTCGACGTCTAAGTGCACGCAACACGCATAACTGACATGTATGCGTGATCGGCAGGATGAGATTTACGGCTCAGCATACGCCTCGGCAGTATACATCTCGTCGGTTATGAAACTGCCCAAGGATAAGAAGGTCTACGTGATCGGCATGGGCGGGCTCGAGGAAGAGCTCCGCGAGGAGGGCATCTCGTTCATCGGCGGCACGGTCAGCAGCACCGTTGGCTCTCTACCTCTCACCGTCGCGCTGACTATTCCACGCGCTCTCGTAGGATCCCGCAGACAATACCCTCGGTTCGTTCTCGCTGGCGAACTGGACGCCCGACCCGACGGTGGGCGCGGTGCTGTGCGGACTCGACACGGCCATCAACTACACGAAGCTCTCAAAGGCGTTCAGCTACATCCTGCGCAACGAGGGCTGCGCGTTCCTCGTAACCAACGAGGACAGCTCGTACCCCACCTCGGACGGCCTCCTCCCCGGGGCGGGCTCCATCAGCGCGCCGCTGCGCTATGCCCTCGGGCGCGACCCGATTGCCATTGGGAAGCCGCAGCGGACGATGCTGGACTGCATCAAGGCGAAGTGCGCCATCCACCTCCGTGAAACGAGAATGCGCGGATGCTGATGCGCCGCGGGCAATTGCAGACACAACTTCGACCCCAAGCGCACCATCATGGTCGGAGACAGGCTGAACACCGACATCGAGTTCGGCAAGGCGGGCGGCCTTGCCACACTCCTGGTCCTCACTGGTGCGTGCCTTGCACCGCGCGTGCGGACATCAAATTCACCGGGCTTCGTGTTGTTCGCAGGTATCACGAAGGAGAGCGAGTTGTCGGGCCCCAACGCTTCGCCGACCGTTCCGGACTTCGTCACGAAGTCCATCGGGGACCTTCGCGCACTGATTTCCTGACCGACTCTCGCGCCGCCGGGATAGAAGGGACACGCGGGTTAGAACATCGCGCGGAAGCAATTAGACGTGTGGTACGGGATAGAGTCCGCAGAAGGCGTCCAAATGTATCATGTTCACGATTTTTTCGCCTTCTCCGTGAGAGCCTGCTCTATCTGCGCCTCCCTGTTCACTTGCGCGAGCGCGAAGGTCGCGCTGGTCACGAGGGCGACGAGCGAACCCACAATGTATCCGCCCACTGCGCCGAAGGCCGGGGTTAACGGCCATGCCTGCGGCGTAACGTGAGTACGAAGGCGGAAATGAAGATGGCGAAGGCGGGACCACACGCGCGCACCTGCCACGGACGCTCCCAGTCAAGGCCGATGGGAATCGCGCCCGCCCAGCAGCCTATGACAGCTCCGACAGCGGGGTAGACGAGCGCCCTCTCGACCGGCGTGCGCGGTCTGCGAGATGATGGTAAACCATTGTATGGGGTGCGGGCGGGGTAGGTACGTACGAAAGTTCGGCGAAAAGGCGGACCCAGGTAAACCATGACACCAGTGAGGGGCTGTCGGATCTCCAGGAAGGCAGACCAAGGGCGTACGCAGGTGGGAAGACCGTCAGTATAGCCAGTAGCAAACTCATCAGGTAGGTGTGAATTGGGTGCCTAGGATTGTCTATCAGAACTTGGCTTTAGAGACGTCCAGGAACCCATACTTCGTGAGCGGTGCCCCGAAGAGCACGACCACTACATGGAGAGCCACGGAGGCGGCGAGAGTAAGAGCGGCGGATTTCGCCAGATCCTAGGTAGTCCGGAGAGCTCGTAAATGATGGTATGGGGTACATTACAACGGGACATACCACATTGCGCTGGTTTCCTGACTCTTGTCTTTCCAACTTCTGTTTTATTACATCCGCGCCGTCTGTTTGGCTGCGCTGCTCATACAGCCATTTCCTCACCCAACCCGCCCACCATCCCTGCAAGAGGAGCGTTCCGGCACAGATCCACGCGACCGTGCGTACCGGGTTCTCTGTGAGCACCTGGACAACTGCTCTACGTGGTCGATCCCCAGTTTGTAGACCCGCAAGACCCTTTGATAGTAGCGCAGTAGGTGTAGTTGGTAGTAGCAGAGTGCTGAACGCAAGGAGGGACGTGTGCACGCCGACAATGGAAGTGTACCGCGCGAAGGGGAAGAACGGGACCGCTGCAGGCGACGTTTCGGGCTGCGTAGCAGTGGGGGCGGTAGCAGCGGCCTGCGCCTTCGATTTCCGCGCTGGCATGGTGCAGAGAGCACAGAGCAGGGGATGTGTACACTGGCGGTGTAGGCGGTCGGAGAGCGAGTACGGCAGCGACTGACGCGACGCCGACACCTGCCGACACGATGCGCGCGTCTCGCGCGTCTACGCGCTGCTCCTTTCCTTCTTCCCATCGTCCTCAACCATGGCTACACCCGTGTACATGCGCGAAAAGCGAACCCCGCTCCACACACCATTCGTAAACGTTGTAGAACGCCCACGCGTGCTGCGAGATATCTCGGTCAAGTCGGGTAACGAGACATGTCGCGACCTTTCAAGACCTACGGTGCGTGGGGGATTGAACACCACCGTCTCAAGCCGCGTGTGATAGTCTGCCGGTGAGCATCCTACTGCGAGTATCCTATTACCCCGTCTCTTTCTCCCTTAGGTATCTTTCGTGCACATTTGCAATCGATGCATCATCTCGGCGTCTTGAGAAGCCCGTTCACTCGCAAATGAGTTGTAATTTGCGGAACACGGCTGTAGTGACTGTGAGAGGTGCTCTCTTTAGGCAGGAGAATGCCCAAAGACGTGCGCTCAGGCTCTTGTACAGACGCTGCACCATCTGGCTAGCCTGCTACTACCCACTGATCGTCCCGCACGCTGAAGCTATTCATGACTAGCTTCTGTCAAGGATCATTATTTCTCCCACCCTCGGGGCGGCAGTTTATAATGTTGCAGCCCGCCTCTTGTGCCATTGGTCACCGCAGCCCAGCCTAAGCTTCGAAGGTAGGTCCGTTCCAACAGCGGCGTAGATACGAACCTGAGAATGACTCTCCCTTTGAAGTTTTAACCAGTATCATGAACATCTAGGACTCGATCGTCGCTCCGATGCCGACGCATGCATTCATTCTCGCGGGACGCCAATGGCGCTGAGGTGCGAAGATCCCTACGTCGTTGTATCGCCCGCGGCACCCGCCTTGGGCTGTACCTGGCTACTGCTGTCCGTAGGTGATCAGTACTTGGGCGCGCAACTTAGACCAGCAGACCTCGAGGCACCAATTGCGCCTCATGACCGACTTCCAACTTTGTATCATTTTCCAAGTCAGCTGCCGAGCGCTCCGTTCTTCCCTCGGAGGTCCCTTGCCTACCGGTTTCTCTCGCGGCGGAATACAAGCTTGCATACCGGATGACGCTGCTTTGGGTCTGTTTTCCTGCTTTGCGGCTTCTCTGCACCGGCCACGAAGCGTCATCTTCGCGCCGCTTCCCGTGCATCGTGGAGAGCACGTTCACTTGAAGCCCTCTTATCTCCCTTCGGTAAGTGCTGACAGGTCTGACGTCGAGGGAAATTGCTTGCTCACTATGGCTCATTAGGACAGCCATCGGCGTATCTTGATGCAACGTGAAGACCGGGGATGTATATTTTCCAACAGCATATCGATACACGACGCTTTACAACAACCTCTCTGACCGGAGTCGTGCATCTGGTTCCTAGGAAGTCCCGCTTCTTCGTGCTGGAACTGATTGGCGACACACCCCTGGCTGCCGCTCATACATCTTCATGTCTTGCATCGGAATTCTCGAAGGCCTGCCTCTGTGATTCCTATGTCTTCGGTACCTATAGTGGACTTCAGGCTACATCGATCTGCCTTCTACTATTGCACGCCGCTCTTGTCCTCGAGTCCTTCGCAATCCGGACGATACAGTGCCGGCTCATCCCAAGTGCTGTAGCGCAGGCGGAAACCCACGTCGTACCACCTGACCGGATATTCCTCCTCCGCGCTCTTCCCCGCCGCATTCTGTCCCCCAAGCCGGTCGGCCTCCATCTCGTCCAAGTCATAGAAACTCTGTAGCACAATATCGTCAACATGCGCAAGCTGCGCTTCGCCCTGGATGAACTCTAACATATGCATCGATGCCCGATGCATATGCTCCATCAGGTCTTGTAGTCCGGTGGCAAGCGTAACCTTCGCCGTGGTGCGCGCATCGACGGGTATCGCCGACAAAAATGCCCCGTCTTTAGACGCCAGGTATGATGTGGGGTACTGCGCCTCGCAGGCACGTTGCTTCGCCTGTGTTCCAGCAAGAGATATGGCGGCTTGCGGCAGGCCTGGCGCTGGCGCGCGCGCAGCCAACGACTGGCCGGCGGTGAAAGCGACAGCGTCCACCTCCCCCAATCTTTCCGCATCGCTAGTCTGTCATGGAAGGCACACATGATGAGTTGGAGTGTCGCTTCAACAAAATTCCGATATATATGTACTAACGCTTTCCAGGTTGGCCACAACGATGGCAGATTGGAGCTTGTGCATGTTGAAGTATGCCGCCGTCTCTTGGATCGTCTCTTCGGCGAGCCGCCTCGATGGTGCGCTGAAGGCCTCCCAGGCCCGAATGAATGGGTTGCTGCTGTTGGTTCTTCTGCCGCAAGCATCGGAGACCTGGCGCTACATGTCAGTCTCAAACTCTTGCTTATCGTTGCATGGATCTACTCACCTGTCTGTAGCACAGTGTGATGCAGGTGGCTCCAGCTTCTGCGCAGGCCGCCGCGTGAGCGAGGCCAGACACCAGAGTCAGGTTTGTCTGGACGTGGTGCTTTACCCCCAGGGTCTTCGCAGCTTGGACGCCGGCCTCCGTGGCTGGAATCTGATGTCCTTCGTCAACTTCTCCCGTTCTAGGGCGGGGTGGAAATTGCCGTGAGGCCGCTCACCGTGACGACTAGGCGTTCCCGGCCATAGCCCTGCTTTGCGAATAGCCTGGCCAGCCGTAGCGCTTGCTTGACCATGCTAGCGGCGTCATCGTGGTACCGCGGGTCGACGAACGTGTAATGGGGGCCGTTTACTCGGTCGGCCATCGACGCGCCGAGCTCCACGAGCTGGTTGTGCAGATAAGCCTCCACATTGCATCGAGGCCCGCCCGTACTCACATAGAACAACATTGCTTCGTCCAGGATGCGTTTCAGGTCCCATTCTCCGCTGGGCCGCCTACAGACGACACGATCCCCGGGGATACTCAGTTGCTTTAGCGATGCACAAATGCCTCCGATACGCACCTATCTTCGATGGCCCTCTTCGCTCCCACCCAAGCGTGGTACGCCGTGTCTGGCGTCAACAATCCCTCGCGCAGCATCGCGGGCGTCACCATGCTCCCGCCGTACGGTAGGGTGCCGAGCACTGCACACAACGGGGAACACCATTGTCAACACGCATCCCCGACCACCGTGACAGCGTATGGAAGGCGAAATTTTTTCTCCGGTACTCACGCTCGTAGTCTAAGGTTTCCGCAATCACCACCTTTCCCTGGGTCTCCAATGCGCGCCACAGGGGCGGGGACGTCGGGAAAACCGCCTTCTTCTGCTGGTCCTTGGACTTGGTCCGCGTAGCGCTCGGTCGGGCTCTCTTGCCTAACACGTACTCGCCCTCGCCCTGGGCGAGCGTCTTGGGCGCGTTCAGCAGCCGATACGCGATGTCGGCGAAGCGGGCGTGGGTGGCGGTCAGCACGGGAAGCGCCAGCCCGCTGCTCGTCGGGAACGCGGCGGAAGACTTCTCACTGGCGGACCTGTGGGCCCGCTCGGCCTTCAGGTAGACTTTCGATCCACCGTTGCGTGCAACGGTCGTTACGGTCGAGTTCGATTTCGAGTTCGAGGCCGGCGGCAACGCGACCGGGGCCTTGGAGCCTGCGTTTTCCTCCTGCGCGTTTGTTTTGCGCTTGCCCCGGATTGTGGCAAGCGGCATGGCCGGCGTCGGCGGCGCGAAATCGTGGAATGGTGAGGGAGGGCGCTCGGACATGGTGGTGCTCAGGTTCAAATGGTGCGGCGCGCGCGATTTATGACTATAGGCTTTGGTGGCTAAGTGCGCAGTGGCGGGACAATGCCCGTTCGAGGTTCGACTGGCGCACCATTGGCGCCGTTCTGTGGCCAATGTCTCGACGCCAAAGCGCAAGAGCAGGACGATCTAGCTTGCATTGGCTTTGCGATACATGATTGTGCGTGGCTCCTGCGATATTCTGTGCACGCGGAACAGATCGAACCGCTATTCCGTGGACAAGGTCTTGTGCATGGCTTGTGACCACACGGCATCCCTAGCGGTGAGATAAAGTATGTTGTTTTTGGATCTGTGCCACTTGTGCATATTCATTGGTTAGCACCATTCTGCACAAGTCCAGCGTCAAGACACGAAGGTCTCCGCCGTCATTTGCCCTGACTAATGCTCTCTCCCACACATCCATCAAATCTTCGTAGCGCCATAGGAAACGATCAGCGGTGCAATGTCTTCTGACGACGCAGGTGCGGCGAATTTAATACACGCATGCAATTCACTTCAGGTGCGTAGCCGTAGCGCTCTTCATCTTATGTAGACATTGACCTCCTAAATCCGCTGTACAGGAGCCGTTGGCAGGTCATCTAAGCTCTCCACCAGTGGACCTACAGCGGCTGGAAGTCCGGAGCCGCTCGGCGGATGGGCCCGTCCGAAGCTCTCTCAGAGAAGCAGGGCCATGAGGCCCGCATAGCCTAATAGAGAACGGCGACTTGCTCAGGTGGCCCGCCCGGACCATTGAGAGCGTGGAAAGACTATCTGACAGAGCACCTTTCTTCCCCATGCTCCGAGGAGAAGTCCTAGGATATGTGCGCCACCGCGAAGGCCTACTGTATGAACGCCGAGCACGGCTCGGGCGTGCGGGCCTGGCAGTCCTATCGCACATGACCGCCTTCGTCAGGCTCGCGCATCGATATAATGTTGGAGCCAGGATGGAGGGCCCGCAGGAGCGCCGTTAGTCTCGGCACTAGTCATGAAGGGGCATGAGCTGGTGGTGGTGGTACGTGTCAAGTGCACTTTACGCGTCCAAGACGTACTGAGCGACCGTTAGCTGTCCCATCTCGGGAGTTCCCCTGCCACATGTGGCGTCGTCGTCGCGCGGGTGCTGCGACGAGGGATGGTCGTCTGCAGGCTTGCTACGATGCCTGTGCCCGTTAATGTGACAGGCCCTCTCCCATGGCATTTAGGCTGAGAAAGTGCGCATTGCCCCGGTGCGACCGTCAGCCGGCAATCACACACAGCTGCACGAATATTTTCAGTTCTTGACATGCCTGCGGGACCACAGGCGCCGTCGCGAGCCCGTCTGCGTTCCCCGTCCCTGGAGCCCCGCACGGCTATTCCTGGGACATTGTCGAGTGGAGAGGCGGCCGCCCAGGCTCGACGCAGCCATGTGCAGCCGGCAAACCAACCGAGCCGCCCTCGACTAGGCTCATCTCATGTGGGGCTCACGGAGATCGAGAGCGCTGCCGGGCCCTCCGCAGGCCGCCTTGGGCGAATCGTTCGAAGACCCCTGCCCTTCTGAGAATCAATCGGTGCGCGCTGGGTCGCTATTCAAGGTCAGGGCTGATGTCCTGTGAGTTTCGTCCCACCGCGGCCCAAATCCCAGGAGACCAGTACTTGAATCCCCGCCGCTCGGTCGCTCGCCCGCGCGCGATCTGCCCCGGCAGCAACAGCCCACCGACGCGCGGCGGGGCCCCGACGGGTGGAATAAGCTCTGCACAGACTCAGCAGACGGCCCCTGGGCCCTTGCCCCCCTTAGCGGGCAGCCGCATGCGTATAGACACCGTCCCCGGCTGCTGGCGAGACTGCCCCCGCCAGGAACGCGCGGAGGCGACGCACCGTCGTCCACGCGCCATGCATGCTCGCCCCGGTGTGGCGTACACGGCACGGCACAGCCTCGGTGTGCAGGCAGCAGTACCACGTACATGTTACTTGTGTACTCAAGACGTGCACGTAAAGCCCTCGGGCCGCCCCGCGCGCGCGCTGGCCCGGCGGCGGCAGAGCGCACGCAGTCCAGCTATCCAAGGACCCAAAGCCTGACGGCTTGGATCTCTGCGCCCCGGATGGGCGCACACACGAAAATAGCGTCGGGAACGGCCGCACAGATGCATAGCGCGTGCGGTAGCGCAGCGCCGCTGACTTTGCGCGGTGCACGAACCGGCGTCGCCAAGCGGGGGGAGGCGTCAGCGTGGGGGGCGCACCCGGCCCCACCAGCGTCGACATCGATGATGCATGCACGCAGGGGCGCGCGCCCGCAGAGAGCGGGCGCGGGCAGCCCTCGCTGCTGTCGCGATGTGGACGCTGGGCGGTCCGGTGGGACGGGCAGAAGGGGTCGAAGCAGGCTGCGCCGCCCAGGGATCCATCAAACCCTGGGGGGCTTCGCGCCCCATCGAGCCTAGCTGGCGGCGCGAAATCAGACGGCGTTTTGGGCTTGGGAACGGCCTGCGGGCCATATGGCAGGAGCAGCGCTGGACGCGGGCGACAGGGAAGCCGCCGCGCGCGCAAAAGCACGGGGGGCGTGCTTCGCTGGCGGCCTGTGGTCAAGGAACGGCCGCCAGGAAGGAAGGCAGACGGGGGACGGAGAAGAAGTAGGTAGAGGGGTGGTAGGGGTGGTGCGGTCGAGGCGCAGATGTCAGATTGAGGGAAATCCATTGAAATAAATCCGTATATCCTACATGAGCCATTCCAGACCTCCGGGCATTATTGGGGTGAGATACGTATTACGCCTGGCCATGAAGAGGGAGGGGGCGTACGGACAGCACGATAGCAAGCGAGCAGCAGATACAACAAGAGAATATACAACCACGGGGAGTCACCCGGACCACGTTTTCACATCACATCGGACCACGAAAGCACTATGGGGAGCAGGGAGGGGGACAGGGTATAGCAGCGCGCGCACCGCGGCCTCAGCGTTCATCGTTCGGAGGAATACTGCCAGTGCGTCGCCACAGCGGCCTGTCCGCCGCCCCCGTGACCGTGCTGGACCGCGGACGGGTAGTGGCTAGCGTGAGAGGTGGCCGGTTGGTGCCCCGCGTGCTGCCAAGGCCGTGCTGTCAGTTAGCGTCGTCGATAAATGCCGGCGGGAGCCGAGACGTACGGAGTAGTGCTGCTCGTCCTCCATCTTCACTAGCTCGTACTGCGACGCGGAGTGGGCGGAGAACGGGGGCAGGGGGGACGTGTGACTACTGTACGAGGAGAGGTTGCGCTGATGCGCGGAGGAGGGCAGCGAGGACGGCGCGTAGTCGGAGGGCTGTGGGTGGGAAAAAATATGCCGTCACTAGGATCCCGAGTTCTCAGTACGCGCAGTTCTGCTGGGGAGCACAACTGGCGGAGACGGAGAGAACACTCGCCGAGAACGATGGACTTGACGTCGTGCTCGAGGTGGGCGTCTCGGGGACGGGGTACGCGGACACGCCGTAGGACTGGTAGAACGACGCGGTGCTCGGCCGCGACGAGTAGTTGTACCCGTTTGAGCTGTGCGACGGACTTTGTGAGGAGTACTGGCCGGGCGCGGAGGGGATCGTCAATGGCGGAGGTGGACTGTGAGCCTGGAGACGCGCGCTATGGATCAGCCACAGCGGCGCGGAGAGGACAGGTCAGTGTGTGCCCACCACGTATAGACCGCCCGCGTCCGACGTTCTGCGTCGTTTTGCTTCGCGGTCCGCGCTTCGGTGGTCCTCCGTGGTGGCGAACGACTCGCGGCGCATGTCAGGTCGGAGCGGCGCGCTCCGCATGTCTAGTTGTCGGCGCAGCTCCTGGACTTCTCGATGGAGCATCTCGTTCTCCTGTTCGAGCTCGCGTATCCGCACCAGTGGTGGCGGGATGGCGGCGACTTGGTCGGGTGTGAGGGCGAGCACAGATTGCAGCTTCGTCACGGTCTGTTCGAGCTGCACAGCGGGTCAATCGCGCGAACGCATCGGGGCGATAGCGAAGTCGCGCACCTGCTCAATGTACGCTTTTCGCTTTGCGCGGTGGCGCGCCTGGGCTGTATGGGGTGTCGGCGACGGTGCCACTGGTATGCGGGATAGGCAGGACCGCACCTTTAGCATTGCGCGACCGTTCAGGCCGGTCAGACTGTCCAGCGGGCTGGTCGGAGGAACTGTCGCGCTGGGAGTCAGGGAGAGAAGACATTGGCGTCATTCACGTAAGAGCAGGGGGAGCGAAGGCGATCGGGGTTGGAAACCGGGGAGGGGGGATCAGTGGAACGCTTATATGGCGTAGGGGGATTGGCGTAGCCGCCGGGGAGGACACTAGGAGCGGTTGGCACGCGCCTCCGTCCTTTATTCCGGGAAGGCGCGCCATTTCTGGGCAGGAGGGGACCCTGGCTCAGAGGCTGGCGAGCACGGCCGTGGCGAGCGCAAAAACGCGGGATTTCCGGACTCGGCGAGCTGAACGAGGAAAGCCGGGGGCTCCAGCACACCGCATCGCAGTGATTTCCCCGTGGCCGCCTGGGCTCATGTTCGCCGGGGACGACGGTTGGAGAGCCGCGAAGCTCGTGAAACGAAACAATTGGTGCCCCTGCGCAAAAGAGGGAGTTTGCCGTGCGTGCCGCCCGCGAGGCGGTATTTACTTGGAAAATAAAAGGAGTGGAATTCATCGTGGGGGTTCGATGCGAGATGGGAGAGCGAGGCGTGGAAAGATGGTGCAGGGTCGCAGGGGTGTGGGACCGTTCAGCGCTCTCGTGCGCTCGCCTGTCCGCACTCCGCGATGCCCCAGGCCACGAGTTTCTTATCGTCGCGACGGCTGGGCTGCAACCTTGTTCGCTGTCTTCGATGCTCGTCTGTGGACAACGCACTCGCGGGCGATATTCGCGAGGATTATTCGGCGGCGCTGCTGGCGTAGAGCGGACGGGGCGCAGACGGCAGCGGCAGGAGGGGGCCACGGCGCGGGTCCGCTGCAACGTGCCTGGCCGGGGCGGGCGAGTCCGAGCGCCCGTCTCCATGTCCACAACTTCGTCCTTCGCGGCGGGTGTCGCCTGCGAGCCGCCTCAGCCTCGAGCCTGCCCCTTTCGCCCGTGCACCCTCGTACGAGCCCAGGTAATTGTGCACGCTGCTCGCCTGCGGCCTGCGTCGAAGGCGGCCTGCTTTCTACGGACGCCTCGCTCGCAGTGCGGCCCTCGCCAGGCCTCGTCGGGCGGCCTGCAATATCAGACCGTCCGTCTTCTCTGTTATCAGCCACGCTCCCAGCCTGCGAGCCAGCCTCGGACAGCCTTTTGTCATGCCCCGCAGGGTCGTGCAGGACGTCATGTGAGTCGCCTCTTTTTCCTGGGATCCCTCCATCCGCAATAGGTCATCCAGAACGTGTCCTCCAGGACGGGGCTCTCACCCGTAGCGCGCACCCGCCGCCCCCAAAATCATGATCCACTCCCGCCTTAGCAATGTACTGATAATAAGTCCCGGCCTCGCCCAGCGACCATCGCCGGAGAAGGACGTCCCGCCGCCATAATCGTCGTTTGCAAACACCAGTTCAGGGCCCGCGCACAGCCAGCATCACCCAGAAATCAGCTAGCCTCGCACATTCCCGATGCAGTGCGAGACATGCTCACTGACTGCGGCCCGGCAATCCCACCCCCACACCCTGCCATCGATCGCACACCCGACGTCCCCGCCGTCGTGAAGTCCTCGAGCATTTACAAGGATCGCGCGGGCAACGAACGGGCCAAGGCTGCAGCGGACGCCGCGATAATTTCGCAGTCAGCGTCGAACGGTTCTTTGTTCCTACCCGCCCCATGCGTGCTTCTCTCGCCCTGGATGTGGATCGCGACGCTGGGCCCATTCAATGGCGCGGTCTCGATCGCGGGTGGACGATCATAGCGGCGACCCGCTCGTCTCGTGCTGCAGCGCATCACCGTCGATTCGCGTGCATCACCCGATGCACGATGAAACCTGGGAGCACGCGCATACTCAGGTTCTTCGGAGGCCGGCACGATTCTTCGACGGAACCCGCTTCGCGTTCAGACTCGCCGCGACCCATGCAGATACCTCCGCGGGAACCGGGCCTGCCCTGCCTCTCCCTTGCCCCGGCGGAGGTGCGTCATCGCCCGTCGAAGTCCCGCGAGACCCCTGGCCGTCGACGACGGCGTCGCAGGAGCCCTCGGCATCGTCTGGAGCGGCGGGGAATAAGGTTGGCCCCCGCTCAGCGACCGTTCGCAGGCCTGGCGGACAGTGTTCGTCGCCCCCAGCTACCCGCCTCCGCCGCCGCCGCTTGTGTATCGTTCTGTTCCATTCTGTTCGTTCTGAATTCTCGATCGGACGGACCCACTTACTCAGATAATCTTCCACAGATCCCGTTTTCCCACTCCCGCCCCTCCCTCCTTCACGCCGATCACAGCGCCGTCCCCGAGCGTGGGCGCGCGCCGCGACGGGGCACCTTCGCGCCATTCAGTCTCTGCCCCTCGCTATGTTTGCACACGGGCTACGCGAGCGACGCGTTTCTTTCGCCACAGAGCCTTGCAGACTGAGCTCCGTACGTCTTCCGGCGCGCAGCCTCCATACCCCCGCTCCGGCGCTCGAGGCCCGTTCCGCCCGCCTCTGCACAGTGCGGAGCCTCGCGTACGCGTAGTTACGTACGCACGCACACCGCACTCCGCGCACCTCCTGGCCCGGCGTGCCGCTTACCTGCCAAGGCACGGTCAGGCGGGGCGCGAGCAGCGGCGGCGGGATGCACACACATGCACACAACGCGCGCCCCCGCGTGCTGTGCCGCCCGAGCCCAAATTCCATTAACCCAACAGCCCCGAGCACATGCCTCCAGATCGACGCCCCTTGCGCTAACGAAACACACGCATCGGGCGATCGTCCATCTGGGATCATCGTCACAGGCCCAGGGGGGCGCCGCGGCCGATTGGACGGCGCGAGCCGGATGCCGTACACCCTTACGGCGTGCGCGTTCGCTGTGGAAGCGCGTATACAAGCCCACACACCGCGAGCCTCGAGGCTGCTGCAGGGAGGGCTGGGGCGAGGCCCATGCCGAGAACAAGTTGCCGTCGCGGGGCGGCGCGTCAGAGCCGGGCCAAGGACGTGGGGAGGCGCGGGGGGTGACGGTAGGTGTGATGGAGAGCTGGCGGGGACTGTTGCGATTATGGCATGGGCTCGGGCTCCTTCGGGGGGCCGGAGGAGGGCGGGTGGGTGGGTGGTTTAGGGTCGATGATGACTTCATTGCGTACTACGCTGAACGTCGCCGCCGGAGCATTGAATTCGGAGTGGCCTCGTGTAGTGCAGTTCGGAATGCCACCATTCAATTCGGAAAAGAGCTGTCAGTTCGAATGTTGCTCGGGGGTGTGGTGGGTGAGCGTCCGGCGTGAACTGGGTGCGTTGATGCGGATAGAGGTTGCGAGGGTCGAAAACCCGCTGCACCCACCTTCTTGCCCGCGCTGAGGCCGCCCATCGACGGCGAACGATGAACGGCGGGAAACCACCTACTGTCTAGGATCCCGCCTGCATGCTGGCAGCGCACGAGGCGAGCAATTGCGCGAGCACCGTGCTCGTCGGTGCCCCGCATTCGAGTCGCTTAGCGGGACGTCGGCGGGCGGAGGACCTGCAAGTATATGATCGCTGATGGCTCGCGGCCCCCGAGTCCGCAGCTCAAACTCGACGCTCCGGTGTACTAGGGCGCGAGAGTGATGGCGGTGCTTCACGGCATCCCGGTCAGTGTCAGTGTTGGTGGCAGGACCGGGGACGGCATGCAGAGTGCACTGATATTGGATCTTGATTGCGTTAACGTTTGCTCGCTTTGCGTTTCTCGTGCGGGCTCAAGCCCGGACTGGCGTGGCGGTACGCGCGAGTGTCGTAACGACGCCTGAAGCGGTGTTAAGGTATGCAGCACGGGGCCGGAATGTGGTAAGGCTTGGCTTGCGAGCCGTGACGATTACGACCCCCCGGGTCCGGCGGGGCTTGGGACTAGTGGTGTACTGATTGGTGTGCATCACGCCTGGGCGGAGAGAGATGATCGGCCACCGCGAGAGGGCGGGTTGTAAGATGCGGGCGTGACGTTCATACAAACTACACGATGGTGGTACATTCGACGTTGTGCGCTGTGGTGCGTATAGCAATACTGTCCGGGAGTAGTAGGTCGGTCGTGTCTGCTTGGCTAGGACGTGCGGGGTGCAATCGGAACTGCGGACGTGGGTATGGGTGGTAGGTGTGCAAGGCTAGCCGGTAGCCTAGAAGCACGGGGCGGAGGGAGGCGGTTGCAGTTGCGGTCGCGGGCGTGCCGTTACTCCGCCTGGCGGACAGGTTCACGGACCATGCACCACAGCGGAAAGCCGACCGAGTCCTTGGAGGTGAAGTTTTTCACAGCGCGGTGGGCAAAGCCCGACTGTCTGAACCACTGCACCTAGAAGCCCCGGCGTCAGCAGGCTGGCGGGATACCACGGGTGGACACGGCGGAGCGGGGGGAGCTGGGGGAGACGAGGGACTCAGCGACGGACAAGGTTCGGGCTCTTCACGTCCGCAGTGACGCACGTCGCGCCAGCGTCTGCCTGTCGCGGGAAGGGAGGCGAGAGTGAGCCCGACGGTCTCGACACGACGGCCAGAATTATCCAACCTGCTTGCATATCGAGCCTAGCAACGCCCGCCCGATACCCCGCCGCTGGAACTCAGGGTCGACGGCGAGGAGCTTTAGGTTCCATGCGTCGCGTCGCCCACGCTGTCCGCTGGGCAACGCGTTCCGGTAGAGTTCGTCGTATGTCGGCATATACTGCCGGCGCACGACGTCGGTTAGCGTGCAGCGCGTAGCGGCGAGAATGCGGCGGGACGCACGTGGTAGGTGTACCACTCGTACAGGTACGTCGAGAGGTCCCTCGTGAAGTCTTCCTGGTCGCTAGAACGCAAACCGCCCGTCAGGAGCTTCACAGACACCGCAGCGGTGGAAGGGACGGGACGGAACGGGGACGAACTAGAATGCCCAGTCTGCGCCGGGCGCAATCAAGAGGGCCACGCCGTGCAGCTCGTCGTTGACGAGGCCGAGGTAGACCTCGCCGCGAGCTAAGCAGCCCCGTATCGACCTGCGGTAGATGTCCCGCGCAATGCGCGCGGACCCGCCGCTGAAGGACTCGATCCCGACATCTAGAGCGGGCAAGAACGGGCACCAGTGAGTGGCGCGGCGCTTCGTCGGACGAGGCTAAGTGACAAGCTACGCACCGTCTTTGAATGCGTTTGCGAGCACCTGCACCGCCCTCTCGACTTCCTCTTCTACAACCGGACGCAATCCGAAATAGTCAGCCTCCAGCTGCATGGTGCAGTGCATACGAAACGGCGGCGCATGAGGAAGTACCTGACGGATTGCTCATCTTCCGCACGACGATCTTGGCGGCGCTCATAGCACAGTATCGGACCGACGGCGAACGGGAAGCGGTAAAACACGATTGGCGTTGGTGATATGCGTTCGCGATGCGCCCATCCCGCGCACGAAGGAGGAGCAGTACTTATACCGCCGCGAGAACGCTGCAGCGTGCCCGGCTCTGGCACACCGCGCACCGAGGGGCGAACCGCGGACCCCGAGGATCACGCCCCGCATCGATGCCGTGCGCCCCTGTGCGCACGCTCGCGGCCTGTAAAACGGTAAACCGCAGGCGGTCGAAGGCCCTGCGGCTGCGTGCCCCATCGCGCCGCGCCGGCGCCCACCGAGACGGAGCGCCAGCCGCGCGCGACGCGTCCTCCGACCCGGAGCTGTCTCCCGCGCGTCGGGCGGACCCACTGCGGGGTGCAGCCAAGGAGACGGCACTTTGTGCGGGCTGCGCACTCCCTCGCGGCGGACCAGCCTGTACAATTCCGTCGTCCGGGTGCGGGGCTGGGGGAACGCGGGGGACAGGGCGGCTGAGGGGGCGCCGGAACGAGCGGGCTCGGAAGGGTTGACCCATGATCGTCTGGCGATACCGCTCGGGGCTGCAGCTCCTGAGGGTCGGGGCAGTCTGCCTATAGATGTACTGTCAGAAACACAACGGCCGACCGCTCGCGGGATCGATAAGTGGGGAGCACGCACCAAGGGACGGATTAGACCGTCTTCGTCAGTCCGCGCGCATTCAAGGTTCACTAGCGCCCGCCAGTGGCACCCGCACCGCCTAAGCGCAGTGCGTGCATTGGGCGAGAACCCATGCGTACAGCGCGGTCATCGTGTGCGCGCACGGCTTCGCCGACATCGGGCATGCTTGGTGAGACCACCGCGCCGGCTGCTGTGCAGGAAATAGCAGGCTACCATTGCAGCGGACGAAGAGAGCGCGGAAGGGAAGCCAGTGGAAGCCAGCCCCGCCCGGAGATGCACACACGAGGAGGCGGCCCGAGCGTTGTACGTGTACCCTGTCGACGTACCGCCGGTCTCACCCCCGCTCTTCTCGCCGCAGACGACTAGCAGAGGGCCGTTCTGGCCAGGCGCACTTCATCTTCGGCCTGAAGAGAGCACGGAAGCCAGCGTTATGAACGGGCCCGGGCTCCTTAGCTTCGCGCCAATCAACCTAACTTGACGTTTCATTTTGCGTCGCCGCGCTCCGAGAGGCCGTCCACCGCCAGGCCGACGTCCGGGAGGGCGACCGCTCGGAGTCCCTGCACGCTGACTGACCATAGTGCCTACGGTCGGCCCTGCGCATGTGTGCAAGCCCCCGGCGGATCTCGAGGCAATCAGCGTTAGCTTGGCGACGCCCCGGTGTGAGAACGCCGTCGGACGCATACGGTGCTCGTCGGGCGTCGGGAAGGGCCTGCCCTGCGGAAGTGCGGGGCAGAAGCGTCGAGAGGGCGAAGAGAGGGCCTCGGAAGAGGCGTGTGCCGCGGGTGCCGCCGACCCGAGCTGGCCAGCGGGCGCGGGTGCGCATAATTAGGCCGCGGGGGCGTCACGAGCGGCGTGCGCATCCGCGCCGTTCACACCGAGTGGGGTGCAGGAGCCCTTCGCGCGAACCTGCGTGGGCGCGCAGGACAAAGTTAGCTCGACGATATATCGGGTGCACAGCACCAGATTGGCCGCTAGCGCGACGGTCACATACCGCGGAGCTCGGGCGGGGACGGGGACGGGGAGGACGTGCCAATGGCGGCGCAGCCGCAGTCTGCAGCAGCGTTGGCCGGCGCGCACCAGGCCCCGTCGCTGTCGTTCTCGACGTCGTTGCTGACAGTCCCTGAGCACCGCCGACCGCTCGGAGGGGAGTTCGCGGACAAACTTGGGAAACACGTGTGGTGGGCAGACGGTTCCCGTTCCTTCGTAGCTCGAGCTATCGAGATTGGAAGCCATCGCTGCTGAGGCCCATGATCAGTGCTAGTGCAAGAATCACGACATTCGAAGTGGCCGATGCACTCACCTTCAGGCTCAGATCGTCCTGTTGACGTGGACACTCGGACTCCGAGGGCGTAAGGAACCAACCGGGGGCGGGTTGGTCAACTGTACATAAGCGAACCACACAACCATCTCCAGATCCGGAATATGCAGGTCCGTCAGTTGGCGGGGTGGTCATATGCAACGTGTACGGTACCTAGATCGTGGCCGATGCCTCCTTGCCGATGTTTGTCCAAGACATTCTGTCGGACCGTGTTCCAATGCACTCGCGGAAGATGCCCAGGCGGGCCTCAAGCCTCAAGGCCTCAAGCCTTGAACCTTCCAAGTTTGTCCAGGGCCAGCTGGGGAGGAGAGACCAGTGTGAACATTCCCGCGGTCACCTCACCGCGCTCGCGCGCATGTCTCCCAACTGCACATAGCATTGCAGCATATACTGAACAGTAAACCGAAAACGAAAGGACGCGTGCAAACGACTGGCGCAAGCTAACCGACTGACAGGCGAAGAGGTATCCGCCGCTCTCCTGGGGGCGACGAAGGTAGATCGTACAGCACTGACAACACAATCCAATAACAGCAGGCTTGATGACGATAAGATATCCAATCCAGAGATCCAGCACACCGTCCGCAATCCCGGCGGACTCGGCGCGCGCACGAGACCCGTCTAGAAGTTCTCTGTTCACGGGAGCGCGGTGAGCACAGCGCAACGGCACGCGGCGAGAGAAACGCGGGAGACGCACCCTTTCCGAAGAAGAACTTCGTGCCCTTGGGCGAGGACCACTTGTTGCACTGGACGTGCAGCTGCTTCGAGAGCACGGCGGGCCCGCAGAAGAACACGCCGACGTCCGTCTCCTGGTGCTTCTCCGCGATCGAGCTGAACACGCGGTCCCAGTTCGGGCGCCCGAAGTGCGTCGGCGCGCGCAGGTTCGTGATCGCGTCCTTCTCCGCGCCGACGTCCTGCACGATGATGTTGTGCATGTCCGTGTCCTTGATCTTCGCGGTCAGGTAGATGTTGATCTCGATCCGGTTCTGCGTGTCCTGCTCCTCGATCGCGTGCAGGAGACTGTGGAACCACTCCGCGCTGCCAAAGTCACGGATGACCCACGTGAAGTACACCTTGGAGAGGCGCGTCGGCTTCGAGCTGTTGAAGTTGTTCATGCGGTACCAGATCGACTTCAGGATGGACGCGAACGGCGTAACACCAATACCGGCACCGACGAGGAGCACGGTCTCGTAGTTAAGGAAATCCTCGGACGCGGAGCCGAACGGCCCGTCAACCATGACACGCGGGAGGACGCGGTTGATCGGCGGGTTCGCGGCGGTACCGACGATCTTTCCGCCGGCCTCGTCCTTTTCGCCCTTCTTGCGGTCAAAGTCGCAGCCGACAGCCTTGGCAAACTCGGACGTGAAGTCACCAGCGACACGAATGTGGACGGAAATGTAGTCCTCCTCAGGCGCGCTGTAAACCATTTAGTTACCAATCACTGCGCAAGAAAACACTTCGACTAACCTGGTGAGGGTGAAGGGATGCCACTGGAAGTACGAGATCTCAGGGCAGCAGAGGAAGATGTACTGGCCGGCCTGGGTGGTCGTCTTCTCCTTCTTAATCTGGATCTCCATGACGTTCGACGGGTGCTGGATGACCTTGGAGATGTAGGTGCGATGACGGGAGCGAACCTCACGAAGGATACGCTCGTAGATCCAGATGACACCACCAACGAGCCAGTAGCGCTGCACAACCGTTAATGTCTTGTTTCACTCGAATACGATATCAAACTCACCCAGAAGACACCGATAGTGTTGAACGAGCAGTACGGGGGCCTGTCGGGCTGAATCATGCAGAACATGCCGTGGAGCTGCCAGTTGATGAAGAACACGATGAAGAGGTGGTGCGAGTACCAGAACCACTCGAAGCGGGCACGGCGGCGCTTCTCCATCGCGTACCAGACCATAACACCGAGGGCGGCGGTCATGATCCAGCCAGTCGCACCGGGGCCAGTCGCGAAGTTAGCAGCGAGGAAGGCGACGATCTTCTGGCCAGTGGTCTTGGCGTCGGGGTCGACCATCGCGAGCTCGGTGAAGTTGACCATGTGGGCCGCAATGTGGATGAACGAGAACACAACAATGGACCAGGCGACGGCCTTGTGGAAGGTGATGTTCTTGTCGAAGGGAATGAACGAGTTCAGCGGCGTCTTGCGGAGGATGGAGATGAAGTTGCGGCAGACGGGGAGGAGGATGAGCGCAACATCGACGTGCAGGACAAGGGCGGCGGTACGAGCAATCGCTAAATTTAGTCGTAAGTACGGGTTGCCAAGGACGGGAGTGCCACTTCAGGTACTTACGGAAGGTGATACCGAAAGTCGCGCGGGCGGTGACGGAGTTGTCCTTGAGCTGGTAGTTCATGAAACCGAAGGCGATGACGAGACAGTGGAGGAAGATGAAGAGGAAGAAGAACATGCGGCGTCCTCCCTCGTTAATCATCCAGTGGTTGTACTTCTCCATCATCGTCTTCGGGACATAGGGCGCGACGGGCCCGGAGGTGGTGGTGTTGGTGCGCTGGAGGCCCTGGAGCCGGCGGCGCTCTGTCTTGTTGCGCTGGAGGTGGCCGGGCTGGTTGGCATTGATAACAATGTCCGGGTGCTGCTCGAGCGAGGGGATCTTTCCGTCTGAGAAATCCATGCTGGACTGACGCCGTTTGTTAAAGGGCATCGTCTGGTGGAGGTGGTGTCACTGTCGGTCAGTCGGGACAAGAGCGAAGTCGACGTCCTGCGCAGAAAGGGCCGGCCTGCAGCAAAGGACAGGAAGTACGAAAGGGAAGAAGGAAGAAGAAGGGAGGGAGCGACGGAGGAGGTGGTGGTCGGGAAGAGGGCGTTATGTGAGTCGCGCTGTTGGCAGAGCCAGGGCCAGGGCAACGGATGGCGCGTGCGGGGGCGACTGCCGGTTTGGGGTTGTCATGGTATTCCACACACGCTATAAATTCGAAAACGCAAGTCCAGGCTTCCCTCGCCGCCCTCCAGAACGCTGCGCCGGGATGCGTATGCAGTTTACGCCTTCCCATCATTCCATCCTGTCCCCAGCCGCGGACTCGCGCTGCCTCCTCTGCCACGCCCGCATTCACTGCCTGTACGAACCCGCGCACCCGCACACCCCCACGCCTCACGTCTGTCACTCACACCCATGTCCACCAGCCAGACGTCCACCGTGCCGAGCGCGGCCGACGATAACCAGCGATCATCGCGTAACCGCCCCATCATCCGCGTCTGGACGTGGGCAGCCGGCTGCCTTGAGCACCGTTGCGCCCCCGCACCTTCTTTCTCTTCTACGCCTGCTGCGCTCCGGCCACATCTCAGATCATTCATCTTTGATCCAACAGTCAGCGCAGCGGCGTCTGTCCTGAACACTGATGTCATGCTTGTAGAGTCGACGTCTCCTGCACTTCTTGTCTTCTTGTTCAACGGCCGTTGTTCAAGATTAGCGTCCATGCACTATCCGTAGACATCGACGATGTGGTCGACATCATCATTCCAGATGGCAAGGCAAACGTACACGTCTTGTGATACACCCGGAGACCTTATCAGAGCACAGATGCGGGGCTGCTGTGCGAAGATGTGTCGAGCACTGGCATCGTGATAGTTTCATCTCCGTTTGACTGCACTCGCACCGCACGCTGTCCGACGGGGAGGGTGTCGTTAATATAGCCCCGCGGCACACCATGCCGACCCATAAATACGCAGCACTCACCCCCCGCGGGAAGCCCTGTCGCGCTCGCGACATGCACGCAGTTGTACGCAGCGTCCTCGCCCGCCGGTGCCGCGATATCGATATCCTCGAATGTGAGGTCCGCGCATGGCGCCGCAGAGCTGCACTGGAGATCAACGACTGCGAGGGCCGAAACGTCGTGAGTGGTCATCTATCAATGTATATAGAAGATCGCGCGCACTGGTGGCGTTCTGTGCCGTCCCCGACCAGTGCTCGAATGTCAGATTTGCGAACTGCAGCTTCGACGCCGCATCGCCCCTGCCGACCCCGCTACGTCAGCCTTCTTCTTCCCCATTTACATTGAGCCAGTGTGCCAGAGATGCTTACGGGTGTCCCAGGTTCGTCTGGTATAGTTGAATAGGCGTCGTCACCTCGTCCAGCTTCACGTTGCGGACCACGACGCCGGAAACACGGCCTGCCGATGCCAGTGCCAACGTCGAGTGTCGAGGATATGCCGCACGTCCGCCACCGCCGTGACATGGCTCTCTTCGTCAGGAACCTCAGCACCGCATCTGCCAGGCGTTACGTACCGCCGCCGGCTCCTCCCCCGGTGGGCGGGAAGCCGATCCGCGTGCCCGTCCAGGACTTGAAGTATACCTGCGGGTCCGCAAACCAGAAAGTCAATCTCCGTACCCCGCACAGATTAGAGGTGAGCGGCGTTGGCCCGATATTACCCCATGTTCCATCAAAGGCTGTATCTGCGGGTCCGGGCGGACGAACTGTCGGGCCCGTACATGTGGTCAGTGCAACGATCGACCCGTCTCAAGCGGAACACTAGGTGCACGTACGGTGACGTCCTCCAGGACCACATCGCTAACATAATCTGGCTAACCCGTGCCAGCGCGTTAGCTTCAAGTTTGGCTAATGTTGTTTGTGCAATGTGCACTCACGAGGTCCGCGTATTGGCCCACCGACCCAAACGCGATTCCGGTCCCGCCTCGGCATGTCACATTCTGCGCGAGTATCCGCGTCGAGTTCTGCACGCATCCCCGTGTTCGTCAATTTCGCTTCTGGTGCAGCGCAAAAAGGCCCCGAGTTGCGCAGCCGTAGCCTAAGCCCGCGGACCCACTCACCCCCTTAATTGCCAAACAGTCGTCCCCGGACGTGATCTGCGACGCACGACGCTCAGTCAGCTCTAGTTCCTTACTCTCACCTATCCGGCCCGCCTCGAGTCTCGCATCCCATACCCCAAACTGGGTACACGACGGGAAGCACGAAACAGGTCGCGACTCGAGAGAGTCCGGCGGCGGCGTGGGAACCCGCGCGCCCACCGTCGGGTATGGATCCACGTACGTCGAAGTTGCGGAGCGTAATGTTCTCGGAACGGAACGTGTCGATCCCTGGCGTGGGACGTGGTCAGCGCGGTGCCTGTGCGGCTGAGAGCAGAGGGCGGAACGGCTCACCGTCGGTATTCCAGACGATGCTGGGAGGACACACCGAAAGAGCAGTGGGGTGGGGCGCAGTCAGTCGGTGGGACCGTTGCGAGGCGTAACGGGGGGCGTGGAGTGAAGCCGCACCCCGGGGGGTGGGCGGGACAAAAATGGGTGGGTGTAGGAAGACGTTGGGGGTAGGGTGGGGAGGGATAAGAATATGCACTCACTTCTGCCCAAAATATGTCGGGTCCGCGTTCGTCGCGTTGCAGTGCATGCCGTCGTAGAGCACGTCGCGCGAGTCTGCGACCGCATTGCACCAGAATGGCGGCGCATCGACGACGAAGCCGCGCACGGTTCCGCGCGTGACGTTTGAGAGCGTCAGCGCGACAGGCCGCCCGTCGCCGTCGAGCCGTGTCCCGTTGCCGTACCATGACCACCAACGCTGGCCATTTCCTATGATTCCGCCCGTGTTGTGCGCGTCGATGGTGAAGTCGTGGCCGGTGATGACGAACCAGGAAGACTGGGACTGGATGAAGATTACTTGGAAGGTGTTCGCGGGGTCCATCCAGTATGCGAGGTCGAACACAAACTAGGGAAGTTAGGCATGGTGAGCACAGGGTTGCAAGCTGAGAATCGCAGACAATGCGCACGTTAAGCTTGCCATGAAGGTCTACATGAGAGTTGGCCAAGTTCCATTGCATCTTTCTATCAAGAGCGTCAAACCGATTCGTTCCATGTTATATTAGCACATGCTTGTGAACCTGGTGATGTTGTATTCTCCGGCTTCGATGACGGTTGTTCCATGCTGCCCGCATTCAGCTATAGCCGCCTCAATCTGTGTATGTATGTTTCACCCATCCAGACGCGTTCCGCACGTGTCGTGTCACTCACCTGAGAGACATCGCTTCTACCGTGCCCGAGAGGCCTCACGGTGCATGTCTTCGCGAGACTATGCGCTGCAAATAGAGCTGCAATCAACGGTAAGGTGAATGAACGCATCCTGCCAGTGGGTTACGTGTGTGCGGCTGGATGTATGCGCCCAATCCATCGTCGTATGCCTCTTATACGAGATGTTCAGCAGGAACCCGTGTCCTAAACGCTGCCCGTTGCCGTCATGAATGGGCAGCCGACGGTCAGAAGTGGGCGGTCACGAGGTTGGCGGGCCGGCCTGTCCTTCGCTAAGTTTCATCGAGCAGGACCGTCATGGGCCACCAGGTGAGCACCATCAGGAGATGGAGATCCGCCATATGTGCATGACCATTCGCTTCGTATTCGAAGACGGCGATAGGACGGAGTGGTCGCCGCGTATTGCATAAGATTACCTAGCCCAGGTTCTTGGAGACTCAGATGGCAAGGTTAACGAATATGCGGAGAGTACGTACTCACCTTGCAATCTCCAGCCGTGCATGACTTTCATGTGCGCGCGCGTTCGTTTGTCCCTCCATGTTGCCGCCACAGCCGCATCCCATTGAACACGTACACATCACGAGCACGACATAGCGCGGTACGCCCATAGCAGGACGTGTCGCAAAAATGTCAGAAGGTAGAACTTCAGCAATGAGCGCAAGGTGATGCCGTTCAACACCGTCATGAGGGTGGAGAAATACTCATGACAAAATAGGCGTCCGACGTGAACATCATCTTGATTTCGTCCACCGGATCGTCGGCGTGGACATGACACAAGCTGGTCCACCTAATGAAGATGATGTGTTTCTGCAACACATTGCATGCGGCCGTCGACGACAGACGAATCAGACAAGGTGACCGAATGAGAGTAGCTATAGGGATGAGAGTCGCGCAACGAGCAGAAGTTCTTGAAGGTGTGGCGGGGCGCTCCAGCATGCGCGCCGGTACCGCGCTCGGTACCGCGACGCGCGCTGACGCGCCGTGATGGGGCCGACGCGATTGGCTCGGCATCTCGGCCCGAGCACGACTTGGACGCCAAAGAGCGCGCCACCGCGCTCTCGACGCGTTGACCCCGAACTCGACCTCGCTGTCCACAGCGACGCCCGGACGACCTCGGACGACCTCGGGCAACCGACAATTGTCTCCCAACTCACACGGGGAACGGTCCCGCTGGTGTCTCACGCCCATCAATCTTTCCAGGAGATAACGCGGGCTATTTCTAGGCGGTACTTACCCACTCGACTCACCGTTCAACCGCTCGTCGTTCATCGCGTCGCTCGTCGTTCTGTGCGTCCACCACCAGCATGGCGGTGTGCAACGACGCGAGCTTGACCTCGTTGTCGAACGCGTGCGTACGCGGCTTCTGGGCCGCGGTCGTACCGTTCGCGTTCGTCGGCCTTGCTCTTCTCAGCTTCACTCCTCCTGCTCGCGTTCTCCTCCGTATCGCGAAGAAGCCTCTCACCAACTTCATGCCTTTGCGCGAAGCCGAAGCGTTGATCACCGGAGATGACACCCTAGTAGACGAACAGGAGGATACGGCTCCGCTCTGGCGTACGCTCGTTCTCTCTTCCGTCTCCCTCACCGAGTCCTTGCTGTGGGTAGGGGTCGGATGCTATAGTCTCATCGTCAACCCCGAAGACACATGGAACGGAGTGCGCGACTTCTTGGTATCCACGACCTGGTTTTATGCTGCTCTTCGCCCCATCTTGAAGCCTCCCGCGACGGCCCCGCGCGACTTGCTCGTGCTGTTCGGGCTTCACTTTGTCCTTGGGCTCATCACCTTCTTCGGGCACCTGTACGACAGCTATGTTTACGAACTGCCGCTGCCTCAGCCTGTTCTGTTGACCACGGAGATCGTGAACTTGCTTGCCGTGGCTGGAGTGTTCACCGCCGTTATGAGCATGCCGCTTGCGCTTCCGAACAAGCGGATCAAGAAAGAGGAGATTGTAAGTCCCCCCACCGCGGAATGCATTAGAACCTTGTGCCATGCTCATTCGCTTGCTCAATTACAGGGCAAGACAGTCTCCCCCGAGGACTACACGACGGTATGGGGTTGGGCCTCCTTCCGCTGGGTCATGCCCCTGCTCAACCGTGGGACCTACAATACGCTGAACGAGTCGGACGTATGGTCGCTCAGCCCGACCATGCAGGCGCGTCCGTTGCACATCAAGTTCTCGCGCTCCACCGGCAAGCTTCTGCGGCGCATTTGGGCGACTAACTCTCTCGACCTCGTCCTCGATTTCGTTCTCACTTTTGTGAGCATCGTGTTCAATTACGCGGGACCGTTCTTCTTGAAGCGTATCCTCGACTCGCTCGAAGTAGACGGGCGGACGCCGGAGAAAAGGGCGCTCGCGTTCGTGTATGCATTCCTCGCATTCGCGAGTTCCCTCTGCAAGGTAAGCTGAGGCCGTTCTGGCCACTTTGTCGAGTGTGTATGCTAACGCGTATTGCTCAGGCGCAAGCTGACGTTCAACATCTATGGTTCGGCCGGCGCGCCTGCACGCGTATCCGCTCGGAGCTCATGGCGTCCATTTATGACAAGTCGCTCAAGCGGAAGGACTTCTCCGGAATTGTTGACAAGGACGCTGGAGAAAAGAAGGCTACGAAAATCAGCGTGAAGCCAGATAACAAGGCCGACGATCCCAAGGCGGGCGCGGACATTGGTAAGATCGTCAACTTGATGGCGGGTGACGCGAACCGCGTCTCGATGACGGTGTCGGCAATGTACTTCTTGTACGGAGGTGCGTGAATATGCAGCCGAGCACTACGATGAAGCTCAATCTTGTCTTGCAGCGCCTTTCGAAATCATCATTGCGAGTCTCTTCTTGTATCAGTATGTGGCGCGCCACTATACGTACTCTCTCGCTCTGACTAACTGTCCCCACGAAAGGCTGCTGGGCTGGTCTGCGTTCACAGGTTTCTTCGTACTTGTGCTGAGCTGGCCGCTGAACAACTTCGTCGCGAGGCGGTCGGTGCGCATCCAGAAGGGTGTGTCGACCGCCCGCGACAAGCGCATGGGTGTTCTGAACGAGCTGATCGGCGCGGTAAGCACACCGTCGCAGCGCATCGCCACAATGGTCGCTCATTGTGCGAATTATATGCAGGTCAAGTTCATCAAGTTCTTTGCTTGGGAGGACCGGTGGATCCAACGGGTCCTGGATGCGCGTGAGGTCGAGATACAGTGGATGATCAAAGGTGCGTGAACCTTGTGGTCGTTATATGCTTCCTTGCTCACGCCGACTTGGTGCAGCACGTATCAACGGCATCATGTTTTCCCTCATCTGGACGTGCGCCCCGATTCTCGTCTCGGTCTCAGCGTTCTTCGTGTACGTCGCATCGGGCCACGAGTTGACAATTGGTACCGCTTTTACGGTGCGTCCCTAGCCTCCAGTGAGCCGCACAGACGCTGACGCCGACACTATGCTAGGCGATTGCTCTGTTCCAGATGATCCGTACTCCTCTGAACGTCATCCCCGCGTGGATCGTCCAGCTGTTACAGACAAAAGTAGCCATGGACCGTATCGCCATGTACCTCGATGAGGAGGAAGTCGACGAACAGGTCTCGACTCTGAAAAAGGGTCATGTTCATCCCTCGGAGGAGACCGACGCCGGGCTCGGGATCGTCAACGGGACCTTCAAGTGGAACGAGGTTGAGCAGAAGAAAGAGGACGACAAGGGCAAGGGCAAGGATGCCCCGAAAAAAGCTAACGGATCAGACAGTACGAACGGTGCAAACGGCGCTGGACACGACTCGCCGCCCTCTGACGAGACCGCGACGCTCGCCGACAGCGCGTCCGCTATGGCTACCAACTCGAGTGACCACCGGTTTGAGCTCAGAGATATCACCGTTCTGTTCCCTGAGGGGAAGCTCACTGTAGTCACCGGGCCGACGGCGAGCGGGAAGACCGCGCTGCTGATGGCGCTCCTGGGCGAGCTAACGACGCTCGAGGGCCGCATCGTGATGTCCAAGAACGCTTCCAAGGTTGACGAACACGGGTTGGCGCAGACGATCTCGTACGCGGCACAGTCTCCGTGGTTGCGCCACCAGTCTATCAAGGACAATATCCTGTTCGGGTACCCGTATGACGAAGAGCGTTATAAGGCCGTGATAGAGTGCTGTGCGCTGAAGCCGGACCTGGAGATGCTCGAGGATGGCGACGCTACTGAGATCGGTGCACGGTATGTGTTGGTGATTACGATGCGCTTCTATGACTGATATCTGGGCGTGCAGAGGTGTCAGTTTGTCTGGCGGACAGAAGGCTCGGTACGTGCTGTGGTCATGTATCATGTGGCACACGACTAAACCTGCTCCTGCAGTGTGGCTTTAGCACGAGCCGTCTATGCTGTAGGTCGAATCTAAGTAAACCAGCTTTCGAGGCTAATCTTATGACCCGCAGCGCACCAAATACGTGCTCCTGGACGATCCGCTTAGTGCAGTGGTATGTTCTAATATGGGTCTATGATCCCATGAATGATTCTCATAAGCTTCACAGGACAGTCACACGGCTCGGTTCCTCTACGAGAAATTGCTCAGAGGACCTTTGCTCGCAAACCGTACCGTCGTGAGTAGCACATCTTACCGTCCGTGCATCTACGTCAAAGCTGATTTCCGCGTCCTAGGTTCTGGTTACCCATCATGTCGAGCTTGTACTCCCGGGCGCACACTACCTCGTACGCCTACTAGACGGGCGCATTGATACTCAGGGTACGGTACAGGACCTTCGTGCAAGTGGCGTGCTCGACGACATCACACAAGTGGAGGAGATCGAGGCCCACAAGGAAGAGCAGGCTGTGGAAGAGGCTAAGGTAGAGGAAGACCCCGATGCGGAAATCGACGCGGTGGTGGCCGGCGAGACCGAGGCGGCAATCAAGAGCAAGAAGAAGCCGAGGAAGCTCATCGAAGAGGAGCACCGCGAGACCGGCGGCGTGAAGTGGAACATCTACAACACCTATCTCAAGGCTTCGTGCGTATTATATATTGGAATCGGGTACTCTGAAGCTCAATATCCGACAGATCCTACATCACATGGGCCATCCTCTTCTCCCTGATAATCATGACACAGATACTTGGTGTCGGGGAGAAGTTTTGGATCAAGGTGGGCGGCTCTCTCGTTATTGGGCGTCCTTAATCAGTTAACCCTGCCTGTCCTGTAGATCTGGGGTGAAGCATATGGCGAAGCCTCGGGCGAGCCGCTGCAGTTCTCCTATTCCTACCGCGACTACGCGGAACACCAGCAGGTCCTCGACAACAGCTTTTCGGCGTTGCATCACGCCACCATGGCGCACAACCCAAGCGTTCCCTTCAACATGTCCCAGATCAAGTTCCCGCCCGCCCGGGACCACCCGTACTTCTACATTGGCATCTTCGCCGCGATCTCGTTGTCTTCGGGGATGGTAAACGTCCTGGGTTCGATCACCCAGGTTACGGGCGCTTTGAGGGCTTCGAGGATCCTGTTCGACAAGCTCCTCAGGACGGTGGTGAGGGCGACGATGAGGTGGCACGATGTGACGCCGCAGGGTCGCATGCTGAACCGTTTCAGCAAGGTGAGTTGACGATCTATAAAGCGCCAGAGCACTGTATCTGATATATGACCTAGGATGTCGAGACCGTCGACACTTCTCTTGCCGGAACCCTGCAGTCGGTGAACCAGTCGCTTGCGCTGTTTGCAGTATCAATGTTCACTGTCATGTGAGTACCTCCCTTTGCATCCCCATCGGAATACCTCTAATGTCGCCATGGTGCAGTGCCGTGTTCCCGCTTTTCGTCTTCCCCGCGGCAATCCTGGGCTTCTTCTACCGCCGTGCCGCTATCGCCTACCTGAACACCGGGCGCGACATCCGGCGCATGGAGTCGAACACGCGCAGCCCGATCTTCGCGAACTTCAGCGAGCTCCTTGAGGGCATCGTGACCGTACGCGCGTTCGGCGCGGAGCAGCGCTTCCTCGACGACTTGTACAAAAAGGTCGACCTGACGACGCAGATGTGGTACACGTTCTGGATGACGAACCGCTGGCTGCTGCTGACGTTCGACACGCTGGGCGCGACGGGTATCCTCGCGACGACGCTGTTTGCGCTCTCTGGATACGTCGACGCCGGTCTGGCGGGTGTGTGTATCACGTCGGCGATGTCGTTCACGAACAGCGTGTACTGGGCGTGCCGTTTCTGGACTGCGCTGGAGCTCGACTTGAAGTGAGTGCTGCTTTTCGTTCAAATTGTGTGTTATGCTAACAAGCGTATAAAGCTCCGTTGAGCGTGTGGTGGAATATCTCGATCTCCCGCAGGAGCCCGCCGCCATCATCGAGTCCAACCGTCCCCCTGCATACTGGCCCTCATCGACTAGTACCAATAAGGACAGTTTGCTCGTCGTGGAGGATCTTGTGATCAAGTATGCGCCCGAGCTGCCCGCCGTCATCCAGGGCATTTCCTTCTCTCTGAAGGCGAAGGAGCGCGTGGGTCTGCTTGGTCGCACCGGTAGCGGCAAGTCGACGCTCGCTATGAGTCTCCTGCGATTTGTATGTCGTAGCTTGCTCTGACAGAAGCTGATTGCTGAGCGGTATGAATTGTAGGCCGACCCCGCTAGCGGTCGCATCGTTATAGACGGGATCGACATTAGCACGATCGGTCTGCATGATCTGCGTTCGCGCCTCGTGAGTACTACTTTGTCTCCCTGTCGTGCTACGTGTGCTGACAATCCGTACTAGACTTTCATCCCACAAGTACGTTCATCGGAGTATATACTTGAACTTCACTAATAAGATTTTCAGGATGCAACGCTCTTCTCTGGCACGCTGCGCGACAATCTGGATCCTTTCAGTGCGTGGTTTGCCTTGGATCACACGTCTATACGTGTACTGACATATCACCAACCAGGCGAGCACACGGATGCGGAGTGCTTGGATGTACTCAACCGCGTGCAGATGCTCACGGATAGCCAACTGGCTTCGCAGCATGCTTCTCGCGAGGCCTCTAGGGCTGCGTCTCGTGCAGGCTCTCTGCCTGAGCACGAGCGCGAGCCGACGATTGCATCCGTCTCCACCTCGCCCACCGAGACGGAGGGCAAGACGGTCATCACACTCGACACCCAGGTGTCTCCTGGCGGAACAAACTTCTCGCAGGGCCAGCGGCAGCTCATCGCAATGGCGCGCGCGCTGCTCCGGCGCAGCGCGATCATCATCTTGGACGAGGCGACGAGCAGCATCGACTTTGCGACGGACGCAAAGATTCAGGCGACGATCCGGGAGGAGTTCGGCGACTCCTTGTTGCTGACTGGTATGTTCTATGATTCTCTGTGGTCGAGTGCTGGGGCTAACGATCACTAGTTGCGCATCGTCTGCGCACGGTCATCGACTACGACCGGTTGATCGTTCTCGACAAGGGTGAACTCGCCGAGTTCGACACGCCCCTGAACTTGATCCAAAAGGAGGGCGGTATCTTCAGGAGCATGTGCCTAAAGAGCGGTACCTTCGCGGAACTGGAGGCTGCGGCGAAGGAGAAGGCGGAGCGGGATCGCCAATTGGCGGCGTGAGGATACTGACTGTTTGGATTTGGATGTTTTGGTCATGGATTGTTGTCATTATTTATCTCGAGTCTCATTAGACCCATGGAGTGTTTTCCATCTTCCTTACATGCCTAAGCTCGACTTGAGAAAATGCGCAGGCTAGGATTCAAAGGAAGTACAGTGTGAATTGTTTGGCGGCATGACGCGCGCCTTGCGGGCGCCCTACCGTAATTGGGCGCCTACGGATATCTGGATGGCTTGCCGCAGGACGCGACGCGTGTAATCCGCCACACCTACCTCAGCCACCGTCCACTCCCTCCAGCTTCTTGCTCCGTTCCTTGATCCCTATCAGCCATGGATGTCGATATCATTGATAATGATTCTCAAGAGCCACCATCTTACCTCACCAAATCAGCTGGGAAACGGCCTCTGAAGGTTGTGGTGGACGAGTCGCACCCGCTTGAGCTCGAGGCGTATCTCAGCAGCTACTCAGGTCCGTAGAGCGATACGTTTGCTATTTTGGAGAGGCAAACTGACGTTATAATATGCTGTATAGGACGCGCACATGTCGACCGGGTGCTGCACATCATGTCTGTGTGTCCAACCCTCGCGCCACAGGCTCTCCAGCTCGCGATCACGGAGGCCTTGAGCGGGCGGGACCCCAACATGTACCGGTCCATCTTCCTGGGATACGAGCGTGCGCACTCTGAAGCCCCAGAGGAGATCCCGGAGCTGTCTGCGCTCGCGACGCCCGATCAGCAATGGCTGGAAGAGACCTCCGCGAAGAATCAGGCGGAGCGGACGAAGCTGGAGGTCGAACTCAAGACGTACACGAGCAATATGATCAAAGAGAGCATACGGGTATGTGCATATGCACTTTGTTTCCAGACATGTGAGACCTGAATGTGCGGTAGATGGCACATCGGGATCTAGGAGACTTCTACCGGTCTACTGGCGAGCAGAACGCAGCTCTCAAACACTACACCAAGTCCCGCGAATTCTGCACTACAAGCCAGCATGTGCTCGATATGTGCATGTCCGTCATTGAGGTCGGGGCGCTACCTATGTCCTCTGAACAATGAGTGCTAACACCTCCCGTGCAGCTTCTCATGGAGCAGCGCAACTATTCCCACATTGCAACGTACGTCTTCAAGGCGGAGGCTGCGCTGGACTCGGCAAGCGTTGCGCGCGCAAACACTGGACCGGAAGCACCTGCAGGTTCCGCACAGGCAAGCAAGGAGAAGCGGAACGCAGAGCGCGAGAAGGTACAGACGAAGCTGGACGTGGCCGCGGCGCTATCGCATCTGGGCCAGAGCAACTACGAGAAGGCGGCGCAGACCTTCCTTAAGGCGGGTCCAGTGAAGGGTCTCGAGGAGTGGGCCGGCAAGGCAAGTCGCCTCGTTCACGTCTTTGGTGTCTCATAGCTTATGGGTCATGGCCGTATAGATCATCGCGCCTGGAGACATCGCCGTCTATGCTACTCTGTGCGCTCTTGCGACCTTCACGCGCCCGGCCATTCGCACGCAGATCCTCGACAACGACAATTTCGGCATGTATATCGAGCAGGAGCCGTACGTCCGGGAACTCGTCGAATCCTACATGAACAACCGGTTCAAGAGCGTGTTGGATATCCTTGATCGGTATTCGGTCAGTCTCGACTGCTCACAGCACCACTTCTCGTTAACTGACCAGCGTGCTTTCACGTCTAAATAGACGCGCCACTACATCGACATTCACCTCTCCTCGCACGTCTTGAACTTGACGAACCTCATCCGCAGCAAAGCACTCGTGCTCTACTTCCAGCCGTTCTCGTCGATCAGGCTCGAGCGCATGGGCCAGGCGTTTGGCTGGACCATCGACGAGATTGAGCAGCAGGTCGTCACGCTTATCCAGGCCGGTGAGATCAAGGCGCGCGTCGACAGGCAGAACAAGGTACATCGTAGAGATACAATTGCCCATCCTCTTACTCTCCAGACTGACCTAGGTGTAGATCCTGAAAGCGAAGGAGACCGACCAGCGGGCGGCACTCTTCGCGAAGGCGATCAAGTCCGGACAGGACATGCAGGCCGTGAACCGCAAGCTGCTTCTACGCATGCGACTGTGCGTATCGGCATTTTTCTGTCTGGCTTCGTCCACCTGGGTGCTCTTGTCCGTGCAGATGGCTGACACGCGCGTCAATCAGGCAACAAGCCGACCTCGTCGTGAAGCCGCCAAAGGGGCAGCAGCAGGGGCTGGGGCAGCAGCAAGGGCACAACTACGGCGGTGGCGGCGGCAGCGGCTTCCCGTCGGAGCTCTTGGTCGGCGAATACTAACTGTTGAACATCAAGCGAAGGAGGCCACATCGGCGACCGCGGTCGTGTCCGTGTCGACGGATCGGTGCTTGCGAAGTGTCCTGTGTAGAGTATAGCGACGGGAGGGGTGTCCTTGTTCGACCATGTGTACCATTAGCGCTCTGAATCATGCATAGGTGTCCTGCAAGCACGAACGAGCGAGTGAATTGATTGCGGTGCCTATCTGGACGTCAATGTTCTGATACCAGTCCGCTCTTCGTATGAAGTCGTGTCTTGTGCAACACCGCGCGCTGCGTGCATTCGGTATAGACGGCGTTTATCCCACACATCTCCCTATGCAGGCCCTTTGTATACACTTTAATCGACATACCATAGCAAATCAGACGCAAAAAGAGGTCGCTATATGATGTGCGCAGTCCTAACCCTTGCCTGGGTCCATGAGCACGATGACAGACAAAAAGCAATCCTTATCCACTCACTGGACATTCAGGGGATTGAACCCTGGACCTCACGCATGCGAAGCGAGCGCGCTACCACTGTGCCAAATGCCCGATATGGGACGGAGCCCTTTGATATACCCTCGGTTGGGACAGAAAGCGAAGTCCTCACAAGAAGACAACGTTGAGACAACGGCCGCCCAATAGTACTAGTCGCACTCAGGTTTCCGGGTGATACAGGCTTGCATGATATCATCAACGATGATATATGCAGGGCGCCAGTGTTAATATACACCACACCCAGGAGTTCCAACGTAAGTAGGCCCCTGGCGATCCTCCTCCGCCTTCTTCATTGCGGCAGGCTACAGCTCTGAGGCTCTTCAATGTCGCGGGCCGAACTGATCCACTTTATACTCAAAAATGGGCTTTGAACTCGGTCCTGGGTACTTCTTGAGTTCAAGGCGACATCGGAGAGAGATACCATACTCTAGAACATACACAGTGACATCAATCCAGATTAACAAGCTTCGGTACTATATCTCATGGCTGCGGCTCACTGGCCTGTCGATCCCGCTCCGCGGCCTTCTCCTGCGCAGCAGCCTCCAGCTCCGCAAATGTGCCACTCTTCAGGCACATGCTCCTGAAGATACCGCCCTCCATTTGGATCAAGTTCAGCGGCGTGTCGAACTCCGCAAGCTCGCCCTTGTCAAGCACAATCAGCCGGTCGTAGTCGATGACCGTCCGTAGACGATGCGCGACTGTGTAGATGTTTTAAAATTGGCCTGCAGAACATGGAGAGCAGAACAACATACCAGTCAGAAGTAGAGAGTCACCAAACTCCTCCCGGATGGTCGCCTGAATCTTCGTGTCCGTCGCGAAGTCGATGCTGCTCGTCGCCTCGTCCAGGATGAAGATCGCGCTCTGGCGGAGCAGCGCACGCGCCATCGCGATGAGCTGACGCTGGCCCTGCGAGAAGTTCGTTCCACCGGGAGACAACTGGGTGTCAAGCGTGATCACCGTCTTGCCCTCCGTCTCGGTGCGCAAGGTCGAGACGGACGTGAGTGTCGGCTCCCGCTCATGCTCCGGCAGAGAACCTGCACGGGACACTGCATGGGACGCCTCCTGAGAGGCATGCTGTGAAAGCGCTTGGCCATCTGTCAGCATTTGGACGCGGTCGAGCACGTTGAGGCAGTCTGCATCCGTGTGCTCGCCTGACATGCAATATGTCAGTACGATGCTATGGAGTACGAAGCAGCTGGCACACCGAAAGGGTCCAGGTTGTCGTGGAGCATGCCGGAGAACAGTGTCGCATCCTAAACAACAGGTCAGCAGGATCATAGTCTATAAGCCGATGAGCTTACTTGTGGGATGAAGGTCTAGCGTGGATTGTCAGTGCATAGCAACATAGCGAAGGACGAAGTGCTCACAATACGCGAACGCAGGTCATGTAAGCCAATCGTGCTTATGTTGACCCCATCTATGACAATACGGCCACTAGCAGGTTCGGCCTGGAAACCGCACCGTACATTGGTGAGCACCACTCGCTTTAAACAGCTGGCGGCCACGTACGAATCGCAGGAGACTCATAGCCAGCGTCGACTTGCCGCTGCCTGTCCGACCCAACACGCCCACGCGCTCCTTCGCCTTCAGCGAGAAGGATAATCCCTTTATGACGGCAGGCAGTTCGGGCGCATATTTTATGACAAGATCCTCCACGACGAGCAGATTGTCCTTGTTCGTGCTCGTCGACGAAGGCCAGTAGGCGGGCGGGCGGTGGGATTTGATGATGCCGGGGGGTTCCTGCGGGAGATCTAGATATTCCACTACACGCTCAATGGAGCTTTGTGTACTCGTTAGCGGAAGACGCTAGGCAGGGGAATAATGGTGCTTACTTCAGGTCGAGTTCTAGCGTCGTCCAGTGGCGGCACACCCAGTACACACTAGTTGTGAATGACATCGCCGAAGTGATACACACGCCCGCTAGACCGGCGTCGACATATCCTGACAACGCGAAGAGCGTCGTGGCAAGAATTGCAGTCGCACCCAGTGTGTCGAAGGTCAGGCACAGCCAGCGGTTCAGCATCCAGTAAGTGTACCACATCACTGTCGTCGTGTCGACCTTGGCATATAAGTCGTCCAGGAAGTGTTGCTCCGCACCAAACGCACGCACGGTGACAACGCCTTTGAGAAGCTCGCTAAAGTTGGCAAAGATTGGGCTGCGCGTGTTCGACTCCATGCAGCGGATGTCGCGGCCGGTGTTCAAGTAGGTGATAGCGACTCGGCGGTAGAAGAAGCCAAGGATCGTGGCTGGGACAATGAAGAGCGGGAATATCACGCTGCAGAAAAGCGGGTCAGCGACCTTTGCAACTCAAATGCGGCGAGACGTATATGTTACATAATAGTGATGATAGAGACCACGAACAGCGCGAACAACTGGTCAACTGACTGCAGCAAGCTAGCAAGCGAGCTGTCAACAGTCTCGACATCCTAAAGGATAGCCTGAGGTGAGAACCATCGGTATCGAGAAGTGTTGCACTTACCTTGCTGAATCGATTCAGCATACGACCTTGTGGTGTCACGTCATGCCATCTCATGGTCGCCCTTACAACAGTCCGCAAGAGCCTGTCAAAAAGAATTCTGGAGGCTCTCAGAGCACCCGTAAACTGAGTGATCACACTGGCGACGTTCACCACCCCTGACGACAACAGACGCCGATGTAAAAGTACGGGTGCTCCTGGGTGGAAGGGAATTTGACCCCCGCGGTATTGAAGGACGGGCTCGAACTCTGCGCCACGACCTGATGCAAGCTCGAAAGGCCATCTCCCAGGACATGTTGCAGCTCCGCATAGCCCTGGTTGATATAGGAGATAGGCGCTGTCGATTCACTTGACGTAGAGCCGTATGCGTCACCCCATATCTTTCAGTAGGAGAGTATCAAATGGTTGAGTACCGACGAGCGTGTAAGTGGTGCTCACCTTGATCCAAATTTTCTCACCGACCCCGAGCACCTGAGTCATGATAATAAGGACGATTGATATGCCCCACGTCCAGTATGAGCTATGCGGTGGTCAGATGTTTCACCACCAGTGCAAAGCAAGATACGTACAATGCCTCAAGGTACGTGTGGTAAATGCGCCATTTGACCGCTCCGGTCTCGCGATGTGTCGTGGAGACGACGAGACCCCTATATTTTTCCGCATTTTTCCTGATTTTCTACGGCCATTTGTACAACACTTAGACTTAGAACCAGTAGATAGAGCATGTGACCAGTCACCTGACCCCCACCTGCAGACTGGCACTAATGTGCGCACAGACCACCTTTACGTTTGTACATGTTTGGCTCCCCTGACTCAGTATATAAACCCCACCTGTAGCGACCCTAGCCCTCATCTTGACCTCTTGGTCCTTGGGCTAGGTAAGCCATCCTTTGTATTCTCTTACTCAGCATAATATTAACTTGGTCCTTGGGCTAGATTTGACTTGAAAGTCTACGCTCGGCGTTAGCAAGCCTTCGCGCTCACCGCCCTTGGGTTAGATTGTATTAGTTTCTTTGTTGTAGGCGTTGCCTGGTCGCGTCGAGTCTAG